GAGGCACGCCGAAAGCCGCTTTAAAAGTCGTCTTACGGCTCTTTTAAACGTTCCGCTGCCCTCTTCGCCCCCTTGTTCACTCTCGTTACGCTAAATCGTCCGAAGTGTTACTTCACGTTCGCCAAATTGGCAATTAGCCTAAACGAAACAGGCAAAACAAATAATAAATGTATTACTTCTCAATAATTTCTATCCGGCGATATCATATCATACCGACGAGTTCAAAAAGAAAGCGAACGAATTATTGTATTCGTACAGTTTGGTCGCTCGTTATGGTCCGCAATCAGTTGCCAGCGCAACTGGTTAAAATATGAACCCTTTTCTCGATTGGCTTGTAGAGTTATAATAATATTTTTGTAACAATTAAGTAATCATTTTTTCCACTTGTAAAAACCCGTTGTTGATCAGAAAAAAATCACTAGAACTGCGATCAACAGAAATCGGCAAGAACATTTCCTTATATATAGATTGACAGAAGAGTTTCTGATTCATTACGGCGAAGATCGTCGTCGGAAGAGTTCTTAAATCGAAGTAAACGAGAATGCTAACAGAAAGATCGTTCGATCGCTAGTAATAAGTAAGACTGTTGTCAGAAAACTTTCCGAATGATTATAATCAAGACCGTAGTTGGAAAAATTCACGGGCAAACAGGATTATTGACAGAAACATTCTTGATTCCGTGTAAACGAGATTTGCCGTCGGCAAACTTCTTCGAATCATTGCAAACAGGATTACGAATATAATTTGTCTTGTTCATTTGCTCGGACAATTCCGAGCTGCCTTTGCTTTTCATTTGCCATAAACGAGAAATAAGACGCTGCATTCAAACCAATTTATAAAATAAGATAAATTAATACCCTCCAGTGGAGGAGGAACGTCTCGAGACTCCATTAAGAAAGTCTGAAAGGACTCTCCAAGTCCTTAGGTGTCTTTATCGTTCCGGGAAAGAACAACTTCCCGGTCTCTCTGTGAACGAATGGAACAGGTTTATGAACGCGAAACTCTTGCTTCCGTGTTGTAACGTTCAACCGGCTGCTCTCAAACTCGCTCAATAACTCGCGCGGTCTGGACATTGATCTACTAAAGTTCTCGCCACGCGTAAAATTTTGATACTTTCTCCTATCGGTTCTTTCCACGCCGCTGCACGTCCTTGCCTCTCTCTCTATCGAATGACTTAGACAACTTTGTCTACAGAATTATTTTCTCACTCGAGTTTATGACGTACGAGGTGTTACAAAATGTACGAACACAAGAATGAGTATTTGACAAGTTGCTTGTTCTTCACGAGACGATAACGTGTCGCAATCAATGTCACACAGCCGACAAAATCAATTTTCAAAAGTCTACTAGAAAGTGTAATGATTAGCATGAAAAAGAAAAGAAATAGAATCTAGAAGAAATTTACTACTTTGGATATTTTATGTACGTGCACTTTTCCAACTTGCAGTTTTCCATAAATTTCCGTAAAATCCGTATCACAGCAATAATAAATAAAGTGACAATAAACAATTGAAAACCTTACAGGACTCCGCGGTCAATAGAACAGATGATCAAACTTCTAACGTTTCTGATTCGTTCAAGATCGATGTGCTTGGACGAAATTCACGAAAAAAGAAAAAGACGTCTCGACAAACGACGCGTGCACGCCGTAGCTTTTGCGGAAACGGCGGCGCACGATGGCGCACGAAGCCACAAAAGGAAAAGTTGAACGTGAAATGTCACGGGGCGACCGCGATACAAGCCGCTGCGTAAAGCAAATTTCCTCGCCTCTGTCGAGGACAACGGCTCCGGCCTTTATGCCATCGGCCATGGCAACGTTTCGCCGGAACAATGCCCGTTATACGTCTCGATTTCGCCGCTTTGTCGATTCTACGTGTTTCCGCGCGGGCGGATAGAGCATCTGCACGGAAAATCGTGGATGCCTGGCCCTACGCTTCGCGACATCTCTCACGAAGGCTGGACCCTCTTGCGAAATTTCGATTGTCGATGTTCTCGCGTGTTTGCCTTTTGATTCTTGCGCAGTTTCACGAGTTTCGAGGAAATTTATACGACGTATTTTCGTCTAAATAATAAATTCTTTTCTTTATTTTCGAAACTTTAAAACTCCTTGTGCTTGAAATTGGAATTTTTAAAAATTCAAGATTGAATTCTTCGACTTTGGTTCAGGCTAACTGCGGGATAAGGCTTCGTTTTCAATCTTTTTCTTTTTTTTTTTTTTTTTGTTATCTTCAAAACTATAAAATTCTTTCGAAATTGAAATTAAAGTGTAAGAATTCAGTAAATTCTTGGATTTTGATTCTAATTTGAGATTAACTGCAGGATAAGGCTTCGTGTTTTCTTCGTTTCTCTTTTTTATCTTCAGAACTCCGGAATTCTTTCTGATTGAAATTAAAATGGAAAAGTTGCAGGATTAAATTCTTCGATTTTGATTCTAGTTTGAAATTAACTGCGGGATAAGGCTTCATTTCAATCTCGTATCTTTCTTCTTTCTTTTTTTTCTTTCTTTTTCTCAAAACTCCAAAATTCTTTCTGGATTGAAATTAGAATGTAAAAATTCAAAATCAAATTCTCGGATTTTAATTCCAAGTTTGAGGTTGGCTGCTGGATAAGGCTTGGTTTTTTGATTGGTGTGCAATATATAGCCAGAGTATCAGAAATGTACATATTTATCAACAAATACGGAACAGCGAGAGGTTCTACCGCAGTTAGACAATCAAAGGGACACCTATATATCGGTTCACGCGTGCAAATCCAAGCGTATCCCGTTGTTATCTGCGACAAACAGTAGCAGACAGGCGTTCACGGTTGATCGGTCGTAAAAAAGTGTCCTTGGCGCGCGAAAGGAAATCGAAGAGTAAAGTGGATTGAGAATTTTTCTTTTCCGAATAACTCGAACAGCGATCTGGACGATCGATGACGTATCGCTTTATAACAAAGGGAATTTATCAACGTCAATTCGTCGTGCTGCAGCGAGCAGTGTCGCGCGTGGGAAAGAAAATAAGAGAAGAAAAACAGAAGGAGAAGGTGAAGAAAAAAAGAGTGAAAAAGAAAGAAAGAAACGAGACTTGATTCTCGGCGCGCGAACGTTATCGTTCGATTATGCGGGAACATAATTAAGCGGGGATTAATTATATCATTCTCTGAATCTGTGACTCGAACGAGATCTTTTGCCACGCCTGTGGTAACCCAACCTAACCCCCTTTGAAATTTACTCCGATTACTCGTCACAAGTGACGAGCAAAGTTACTTTGTACGTACACAATGGGATCGCTTGAGCGATTCGTTTTCTTTTATTGGAACGACGCGGCGCGAAATACGCCCCGAATGAAAGAAAGCTACACGCTTCGCGTTACGGTAGTGGGAGTTACGCGTTACTTTCAATTTCAGCGACTTGAACACTCGCGTGATGTCCGCAACGTGACAAGAGGCGAGATTGATTAAGCTTAAATTGAGTTATTACGTTATCCGGCGTACGTTATCTGTACGCCGGCGTTCCATGGTGCATCTAGGGCATGATAAAGGGGCTGAAAGCTGAGGAGAAAAATAATAAAGGACGACGAGGGGAGTGAAAAATCGATGCCTCGGTGCCTCGATAAAGCATAAACAATTATCCGTGTAAAAAAAAAAAAAAAAAACAACAACAGTGATTCGCAGGGAGTGCAGTATATATAAATAGAACTCCGAGAACTTGGAGCGAACTGCTCGAATCGCGTTGCTTACTTTTAGAACGAAAGTTTACCAGAGTTCCTTCTCCGAGCTCTATTCGCAGAAGATTAAACGAAAATTCATTATCAGTGATAATCCAAGCGATTATTTTACTTGTCTACCCAGCTGCTATCCCGTTCTACTCGTCCGTCCGGACACACTCTCGCTCCCCTCGTAAACACAAACACACTCGTATTCTCTACACTGTCGCACGCTGTCCTATTATACTCGGCTGGCCAGCCACCGTTTCTACTTCTTCCGTCTGATAAGATACCGTGCCATTCCTCTTCTCCGCCTAGCGAAGACAGCGCGTTCCGTTCCACTTTTCCCACTCTTCCACGTAACCCAGTAAACTTATCTCGTATAAATCTAAATCATCCTTCATACACACGTCTCCCAGTCGTCCGTCAGTCGAAACTCGAATTAATCCCGAAAATTCAGCCTGAATAATTCTTAAGTATAATGCCGTCAGCTTCAAGCGAACGTGACGCGTTATTTATGCACGTTTTGTTTGTCGATGGTTTGAACAATTTGTGCAATTTGACGGAGAGAAAATAACATTTCCCTCGGTGGAAACGTTAGAGCATCGGAGAGACTGTAGAAAGATGGAGACAAACAAATGCAAGTCTGAAAGAAGCAGTAAACTGGCACAGGAGAAAAGAGAAAGAAAGATAAAGAGAGGCAGGGAGAAGGGGAAGAAGAGATAACGCGGGCCTAGAAAGAAGAGAGCAGCAAAATAAACATGAAATAAAACGAAAGAATTAGGTTAAGATATTTAAGTAGACAAAAGAATAGCATAGTTAAGATAATTATAGGTATAGGATACAAATATGTTACATGTAGAAATTTAGGATAAATGCAATGTGAAAATGTTAAGAGAAACCAATGTAAAAAACCAAAGTCAATTTCAAGGCTAAAGGCCAAAGAGGCTGAAATAAATATATACATATTTATAACATATACATACATATTTATAATATTTTTCGATTGACAAAGATCGAAAATATATTATCTCAAGATTTTTTTTCGTGAATAAATTTGAAACTTTTACGCTGTAATTTTTGTAGAAGAGCGAAATTTAGACTTTCACTCTGAACATTTTATTCTTCTACGACGACTGAAAGCGCATGGTGGAAAGAAAATCGTAACGCTATATCGATCCCGCAGACATTTTCCTAACTGGTACACGGTCTGATAGAGAATGCAGAACCAGCCATTACACCCTCTTCTTACGCGAAGCGCATGAAATACGCTGCTTACGATACTAATACCGTGAAAACTGCCCGTACTTGCAGTCCCGCCGCTGGAAGTGAAGATAATCGGGTCGAACCAGCCGTTGTCGGCCGGCAAGAGGTACGAGCTGATGTGCACCACTTCCGGCTCCAGGCCGCCGGCCAGCGTTACCTGGTGGAGGAACGATCAGCATTTGCTCGAGACGAAAGAGACGGTAAGTACGAACCAGACACTAACAAAACAATGTGGATCGTTGTTGGCGGGGGCGATTCGGTTTGGCTATTCCCTGGCCAGGCGTAAATCGAAGTCAACGCTCTTAAATCAGTGAAATATCTCGCGGAAATATATACTTGTCGAGAGAGAAGCCAAGGGGGAATCACGTCGCGATGAAACAAATCTCAGGGCAGCGTCGTCCATACGTATCTGAAGCGGAATCATATTTCAAACGAAACTTTTTAATCCAATTTTCGCTTCCTAGTCTTTGCCTGAAAGCAGTCGTGGTTATATTGGATAATATAGCGTCTACTATATCCATGTTAATGTTTAAACCTTTCATCACGACATATTAGAGTTTAATCGCGTATTAAAAATATCTAATACACTTTAGCCAAGACGTCGGGACGAGCTTTTTCTTTTCGACAATGGAATATTTATACGAGAAAAAATTATTGTGATCGAAAAATCTTAATCTATTGTAATTCAATAAAAATTGGTTTTAGGGTAACTGTCTAAATTTTAGGTAATAACTGTCAACCTCTTAAAAATTTAAGGTTAAATTTGAAACATTAAGTTACGCTGGGTTAAGTTAGGTTAGGTTTAGGTTTGAAAAATTAAAGTTTGTTTAAAAAAAAAAGAAGCATTCTAGGCTCTTGTCAAAATGTTACCAGAAAAATTCAAAAAAGATTCAATTCAAAATGAACTGACGGACTCGGAAAATCTTTCTTAATTTATTGCAATTCGACTAGAGGTAATAACTGTTAACTTCTTAAAAATTTAAGGTTAAATTTGAAAAATTAAGTTACGCTAGGTTAGATTTAAAAAATTAAAGTTTCTTTAAAAACGAAAGCATTCTAGGCCCTTGTCAAAATGTCACCAGAAAATTAAAAAAAAGATTCTATTTCAAAACAGACTCGGAAAATCTTTCTTAATCTATTGCAATTCGAAAAATCGGCTATAGATACCAACGATTAAAAATTTAAGGATAAATTTAAAAAATTAAGTTGCGTTAGGTTAGGTTTGAAAAATTAAAGTTCCTTTTAAAAAAAGAAAGTATTCTAAGCCCTTGTCAAAATGTCACCAGAAGATTCAAGAATGATTCGATCAATCGCGTATTTTATCACTTTTGGCGTGGGGGTTCCGCTTTCAGTGACGGCGCTTGAGCTAAGAAATAGGATAATACAAATTTAATTATCAAAGTACCAAGAAATATCGACCTTCTGATCGAGTCAGTACCAAACGCATTCAAACATAGACAGACGGTAATATTTCTCGAGATAACATACCGTGAATATCGTTTTCCCGCTAGCTGGAGAACTAGTCACGCCGAAACTCGGCTGGAGAAAACGTGGGAAAGCAAACAGGGTAAAAAGAAGGGCGATCGTAAGATTCGATTTACAATAGTCGATGCACTCAGCATAATTCGCCATCCCCGCTTCGCTTCGCGCGGCTCCTCTCAAAGGAGTCAAGTAAAATATGTTGTTCTCGCCGTGGTGCGTGCGCGCTTCGTCGTTGGGCGTGTAGCCGATCGATTCGCGATAGCGTGCCGGGATATCGTTATCGCGGGCTCACGTGGGCCACGGCTTAAGCCACGTTAAAAGCGCCATTAGACGGCAAATAATTTAAATCGAAAGCGAGCCACCGACGTGATAACGTTGCTCCTGCCCTCGCGCGAGACTCCATGGCTCTCGTTACGGCCGCGTAATTAAGGGAAATCGACCGGGCAACGGGAACCGGGAATACGCAACGATCCTGGCGATTAATTAGCCTCGGACGGGAGATGTCCTTCGACGAAAAACAATGGCCAGCCTTGGGGATTTGGGGGCGCGATTTAAGGGACGTTTCGAATACGAACACTCGACCGGGCGCCGGGGATCCCCTCGAAGCGATTAGCCAATCGAAATTTATCGACGGACGACAATTTTTTGCATGAAACGGGGAAGAAGATAGCGGAAGGTTTAAAAGGAGTTATGGCTTTTTGTACGTAGAATTGTACTGTGACGTTATTATAGTTTTCTTTGCTGTTTGGCCGCGAAGATTTGTTCGGTCAGTTGAAAACTCTCTTGAGTGTCTTTCTTAATGAGATGTACATTAGGAAAATTTACAAGTCGCAGTCTAGGTGAAATTCTGTACGATATAATTTTCAAAAGGTTGCAATCCATGGCGTACGCGCGGATAACGATAGCCAGGTAATAAAGTAACTGGTTCGCATGCTCGCGCAAGAGATTATTCGAAATACTCGGTTGATTCGAGCGGAAAATATTGACGCGGAACGATGCGAGACGTAAGCGTGTTAGCGGGGAACGAAAGTTTCCGTACTGCGAGATTACAGGAAGATGAAGAGGAAGAGAAGCAGAAGCAAAAAAAAAAAGAAGAAGAAGAAGAAGAAGAAGAAGAAAACGAGGAGGAAGAAGAACGATCTCGTTTCCTACGATGTACTCCTATAGATTATACTTCCCTCTCGTATTTCTTCTTACGCCTCATCCTCTTTTGTTTAACTTTCTTACACAGGCGGCGGAGGAAAGTCGGCGGGAAATGAGAAGCACCGACTTTGGAACAATATTTTCTCTGTTTCCTTCCTGGCCAGTGTCCTTCTTTTTTTTTTTTTTTTTTTCTTTTTTTCCTTATCTCGTTCGGTCTACTCAATCTCCGCGTCTCAAATATTTATATCCTGATCGGACGGAACGCGGCAGAAAATTGCGGATGAAAATTAAAATTTATAATTCGAACAGGTTGTCCGTAGGTTGGTTCGCGATCGAAATCAACATCCGAATCCTAATAGGTTGGGAAAGAACGCTTATTACGAAAAATTACTTTACGTACGAGAAAACGAACTGAATTAACAGTGACAGAGCTGAAGACTTTACGAAGAAGCTTGTACAAAGATGCATATTCAAAGTTGGCACTCGATTTATTCGTACTTCTTACCTCAGAGAGTCTGTCGATGGAAATTTCACATTCATTAGCATCGCTGGTTAATTGTACATGTAATTCTGGAAAGATGATAACTGAAGAGGGAATTTAATAAACGCGACGCCGAAGCTGGAAACTTTGATTCGAAAGCAAACAGAGGAAATATTAGCAAGTGAAGGGAGGCAAGTGAAGTTTTAACAAACATTCGAGAACCTGGAGATATATATATATATACGCATGTATATAGGTTCTTCAATAAGTCGGAAATAAGATAACAAGGGGAGAGGTGCAAGTCGCAGCTCCGCCTTCTACAACGATATATCTCGCGCAAGTCAATTTCAGAGTTCAACGTCGTAAAGTTTACCATAAAACTAAACAGACCCGCGAACTATCTAAGTCTATGGACACTTTAGACTACGAAAACTCCGAACTGGGCTACTTCTGGCCGGAATAACGTGCTCGAAACGTCCCTTTCTAAGCCTATAACCGTAGACTGGCCATTACATTGGCATAGCAATTCAAAGTTTACCGCAAGGATGGTCAAGGATGTACGACTAACAAGGGAGAACACGATCGCGTTCGGGAGAATAACTTTAACTCTTTTCGAACCAATCCACGTTCACATCAACGAACGAATGTCCCTCTCGTTGCCAAACGCATTTAATTACGACGTTCGATTTAATTCGACTTAACGACGTTTGTCTATGTTAAAAAAAAAAAAAAGAAAATTACATCTCTCAATTTTATCACCAACTGTCGTTTACTTTGCAATCGTCGCGAAAACGGGGAGGATGAACGCTTTGCGTCTTCCCTTTTTTTCCTTCTTACGTCTCGAGCTCGCCTCGGCTCGAAAGAGAATGAAAGAGAAAGAAAAAGAAAGAGGCGGGAAATAAAGAGCGAGACGTACGAACGAGGACGAAAGGGAGAGACGGAAAAGGGAAAAAGTAGATAAACGCGCAAAGGGAAGTTATGATAACGCTGTTACAGACATCGAGCGACGGGAACACGACCACCAGCATCTTATCTTTCATGGCGACCAAAGCAGATGCTGGTAGACAATTGTCGTGCCGGGCTGAAAATCGAATCATGGGAACCGAGTCGATAAAGGACGACTGGGTGCTCGAAATACAGTGTAAGCGCATTAAAGACACACGCCTCTGCAGGGGCTGCTGCTGCGCCGTCTCGGCGGAAGCCCCCGGTGTCGATCAGTTACGATTATTCACCGCGGCGCGCCATCGACATATTGACGTTTTCAATTTGCAGACACGCCGGAAACCCGGATACAGCTGGGCACCTCGTTGAACCCGAACGCGATCCGCGAGGGAACCGACGTCTACTTCGATTGTCTGATCCACGCCGAGCCGCCCGTTTACAAGGTTGAATGGCGACACTTGGTAAGCAATTTTTCCAATTTCGCTCAGACTGTCAGATTCTTACATATACCGCGTTGATCGTCACCGTAAAATCATGCAATATACGTAGGCTCGGTGCAATTGAGGGGGTATTCTGGTAATCCGGCTTAAAGAAATCAATACTTCTTTTTTTCACATTTTCTCAAAGTATATGCTTTCTTTCGAAAATGTCTGTGTAAAAGACATTTGTTTGAATTCGTAAAATTAGCGAAGTTATAGATATTTAAAGGAAACGGTGTAACGCAAGTATATAAGAATACTCTTGTACAACGGGTAACAAGAACTTCAAATGTGTTTTTCTCAAAAAATATTCTATTTTATAATATTATTTTTATTTTATAATATTTTATTTTTTTGTACTGCTCGATTGATTGTAAGTGTGAATATTTTTGTACAACGAGAACTTCAAATGTGTTTTTCTCAAATCCATATTTCTTAAACTGGCTGACGGGATATCTCAAGTTTTATTTGAGTTGAAATTTGGAGGAGATCTTCACCGGATGTGCCTCTATCGCATGAACCATGAATTTCAAAGTTTTTTTCTCTATTTTTTTTTCTTTTTTTTTTTTTTTTACCACCCAAAAGACGACATTGGTGTAACAACTCTCTTTGTTGCAGGGAAAAACTCTTCATCTCAACATCACGCAGGGCATCATAATCAGTAATCAAAGCCTGGTGTTGCAAGGCGTCGACCGTAAAAGCGCAGGCAATTACACCTGCGTCGGATACAACACGGAAGGAGACGGGGAAAGCTCTCCGTTTTATTTGAACGTAATGTGTACGTGTCACCCTCCGAAATAAATGATCAGACAAGGTCCCCGAGGCAATCTCCTTGTTCTCGCCAGCTAGGACAATTACGCGCGAAACGTTTGTGTTTCTCAACAAATTAAAACGTTTCTATTAACAGTAGAACGATCGTTGTAAATTTCGAGGTGTACCCATTTTGAGAAACAGACCGGAATTTGATGCCTGTTATTAAAAGCTTTTCATTTTCCAGCTCGATATTTCTCCGAATATTTGTCCGTGCGAAAAGAAAATATGACGAAATCGAAGAAGAACTCTCGATCAACGTTTTTCTTTTTTTTTTTTTTTTTCTCCTCTTTTCCGATAAAAATTCGATAAATTCGCGCGTTTCGTAAGGCTGAAACGATTTTCAAATCTTGATCATTCCAGTCGCGCCCACCTGCAAGCCGAATCAGACGAAGGTTCACGGGGTGGCGAAACAAGAAAAGGCAAACATATCTTGCCAAGTGGACGCGAACCCGCCGGAGGTTCAATTCCGTTGGACGTTCAACAATTCCGCCGAGAGCATCGACGTTGCCGCCAGTCATATCGCCAGGTCCGGCACATCTTCCATCGTCTCGTACACGCCCATGACCGAATTGGATTATGGCACGTTGCTCTGCTGGGCCACCAACCGAATTGGACATCAACAAGTGCCCTGCGTCTATCACATCATACCGGCCGGTGAGGTATCTTTATGTGGAAATTTCTCGCGATCGTGAAACTCGATCGTAATATTCGAACAGCGTAACGTGGCGCACGATCCCCTTGTTTCGTTCGATACCGAGAGAATCTTTTTTCACTACTTTCATTTCGAGCAGAAGCTTCTTTTTTTTTCGTATGTCAAGAGACAAGAAAATTCATCGCCGTGCGTGTGTTTCGAGGCAAAGTTCCTCGAACAAAATCGCGGATTTTCGTGGTTCGTGTTGAATTTGAAGACAAAATTTCGTAAGACATGAATTATCACACACGGGACGAACGGGTCAACTCATTTGAATAAAAATACCTGCGCAATTTACAGTAGCCAAGTGTTGACCGACCAACCGTGCATTAAGCGAAGAGAAAAATCTGAATTCCACTTTCTCGCTACCTGTTTTTTGTTTTTTTTTTTTTTTCCCCACTGTGGAGCTTGTAAATTATCATACAAGAGGAGAACCGGCGTGTGAAACGCGAATAATTCTTCGGCACGAGTTGAAAAAAGTTGCGCGCTCGACAAACGTAAAATATTTTGAACTTCTTTGCGCTTGGTGTGATATTGTGTATATCAACACGCTCGAAAGTAACATTTATAATATTTTCCGTAGCGTATAATGCGGCCGTTTTTCTTAAACATTGCAAAACATCGTGATATTACCGTAGAAACTATCGCACAGAATTCTGTGACACGTTTCACGTGTAATGATGAAAAATTGTCGATACTTTGAACTGTTATAACTTCGTGAAAGAAAGTCATATAAGAATCTTGGTCTTGTTTTAAAGCGTAAAGTTTCTACTTTGACCGCCCGAAGTTCGCTTCATTCCAAAGATATTTCTACATCAAGAGTGCTTTTATTCTCAAAAATTGTAAAAACTCAAACATCTGTAAAAATATTGAAAACTTTCTTTTCGCAACTTGATCCAACGTTCAATTTAAAAATAGAAAATTTTCTCTTTACAACGCCCCTTAAAACTTTCTGTACGATTTCTTTTTTTTTTTTTTGCAATTTTATTGAGCTTCGAACATCAAGATTAGATGATATTTTTTCATTTTTGTTGTTAAACTCTAATGTTGAAAGTTCAGTGAAATGATGAAAAAGAATCGCACAGCAAGTTTCAAGGGATTGTTGTAAATGGGAAACATTGATCTCCAGTCTCTGTGATGGATTTAGTCATAGATAAAATTTTCCAGTTTTTGTATATTTTTTTATATATACGAATTTTTATAAATATTTTTTAAAAGAGAAAATACTTTTCTCTATTTGCTACACAGTGTTAAAATATCTTGAAAAAAAAACAAATTCAGAGTGGCGAAAACAAAAGCTTACAAAAATAAGGCTAAATGGATTGTTATATAATCTTTTTTTAACGAAATTATAACAGTTCAAAGTATTGACAGTTTTTCAATTAAATTAATTGTGATGCAAAGCTGACTTCACGAAGACAATACAAAAGAAAGCCAAAAGATCCTACAAAACAGTACCTATATTGCTCTTTTGTATTCTACATGCAAATATGAAATATTAAAATTAAAAGTTAATGTTAAAATTTATCAAAATTATTAATATTGATAAATAAAAATATTATAATGTTAAAATAATTGATAAAATAGTGCTAAAAATCCATATGTGTGTTCAGTTTTGTTCATCACTGTGCATAATGCATTGCCGAACTCGTAAGTCGACACACAGTGTCGAAAGACTGCGTCGAGAAATGCAAATTGTTTAAAATATTACGCTGGGATAAGCCTGTTCCATTCTACTTGGCTGACCAAACACGGCCCCGTTTCACTGGCCAGATACGATACCGTCTCTAGCTACTTGTTCGATCAGATAGACCGCGCCGGGGTCTATTCGTCTGGACAGATAGCGTCCGATTTCACTTGTCAGCCAAGTCGTCGTTCCGCCCCTACTCCTCGCTATAATAACTAGCATAAATTTCCTACAGCCATCGTAATCTCTCGACCGAAAACGTTAACTGTAAATCCCTCTGCACCGACGAGTCGCTGTTTTCGAAATGTGAACGGCACGTGCGCGGGTTCGTCGATCGAGGAAAAGTTTACACGTTGAAAATGAACGAGCGAAACATGGAATGCTGCGGGAGAGAGGGGGAAAAAAAGATGAAACGTTCTCGCGGTCGATGGTAATTACAAAAAAAAAAAGAAAAGGAGAGAGGGAGAAGAGGGAAAAAAAATCCTGGCGCTATGCTGACTTTTCAAAAACGACAATCCCACCGTGGAAAATCGAGGAGTTCCGGGATTAAAACGGAAGTTCGTTATCACGTCTGTGTATGCGTGGGAATCCGTGCATGGACGGCCCTTTTCTTTCTTTTTTTTCTTTTCTTTTCTTTTTTTTCTTTTTTTTTTTCTTTTTAACGACGAACGTGGCCGTCGAACTACGAAACGATCCAATTGTTGCGTGACAAAAGAGAATGGTCACTCGAACGTAGAAAGAAAAACAAAAAGAAGAAAAACCACGAATGTTCATTACTTCGTAACTCACCAAACAACGGAAGCGCTTAATTCCGCGGCTACTAGATCGCGAAAGGTTCGCGATCATTGCCGGAGAATCGTTTAACCGTTGATAGAAACCGCTGGGAACTTTTTAATCCAGAGAGCAGAGAATTAATTTCCATATTCAAAGGGAAAACTTGGCCGGTTTTCGACAGCAGGGGAGAGGGGCATGCTCCGCTCGGAGGATAGACAGACGAGGTATTTCGAGAAATTAAAAGCAAAGGCACCAAATGGAAATTCGCGCCGCGTGATTACAGCAAGTTGCGTTGCCTTTTTCTTTCCACCTTCTTTTTCTTCTCTTTCCGTTTTTTTCCTTTTTTCCTTCTTTTCGCAACTGCGAATAACCAGGCAAGTTTCTCAGCATCCTCCTTTGATGCTATTTTTGTCCGCTTTTCAGCTGCCTCTCGCCGCGTTTTCCCCTTCAGCCCTTTTCCTTCTTCCCCTCGCTAATTATTCTTTACGGCCAACGGAAATACCGCGGATTTCGCGGCGAAGTGTCCAGCTATCTAACATTTGCATAAACGTCTCCCGCAGTGTTACGTTCGTAATCGCGCGGCTGCTTCATCCACTCGTATAAAACAACGGCTGGTAAGGTAAAAGTTTTCGAAGGTATTTGGATGATAGCGCGTTTTATGTGCGTTCCGTTTAACGAGAACACGATAATTCGCCGGAGGAGAAAGTCAGTGGAGATGTTTCCTTCGTTTGCGCGGGCGCCGCCGTTATCGAACATTGTTTTTGCGACGCTGTTGGTTGGTAAAACACTCGTGCTATGTTCTAAAACAAAGAGCCATAACCGGAAGCTCTGGTAAATAAGTTTAAACAGGGAGCGAGGAGGTTCCCTGTTTACGTTGCCATAGGGAAAACGTGTCTCTAGTTGCGGAACGAAACGTAAAGTGCTGCTCTCTCTCTCTCTCTCTCTCTCTCTCTTTCTCTATCAAATCTAATATCTCGCGAACGAAATTATTCTTTACTGTGCTCACCGCAACACGACGCCTCTCACGCTCCTTCTCTCTCTCTCTTTCTCTGCCTCTTTTTTTGTCCTTCCCTGTTCCTTTCTTTTTAGTATTTTTAATTATCTTTCCATTAAAGTACACTGTATCTGTCCATTGCTTCGCTCCATTTACCGACATTAAGCATCTTTAATGCAATAGCTTCCTATTATGGCAATAGACCCGGCTAAAGCGAGTCTCACGCCCTTCTCCCCCCCCCCCCTGTTAATTAATCTTTGAACGTAGGTATGAAAATATCGCAGGTGAAACGTGATTAATCGTCCCTAAGCTAGAGAATAATCGCGAGGAAGAAAAAATTGTGGTAAACGCAATGAAAGGAGGAAGTAAGTAATTAAATTCCGTTTTTAAGGGGTAACTCACAAATGAGGAGAAAGTACGGATCGAAATTTTGTTGAGTTCGCTGCCGCTGTTAGTGGTATAATTCACCTTCTGATTGGTGAACGATAAATAAAAAACGTACAGGTAATTCACACACGTGAGGAAATCAGAAAAACAACAGCCATGTTAGTCACATGTTGTTTCATCGTACAGAGAAAAGTAGTGAATTAATGTGAAATTGACTCTTTCGTGCTTTAAACTTTCGACGAACTCTCCGAGATACGTCTGAGTACCGATTTCACGAGGATTCTGTCACGAGTAAATAAGTGTCACGTCAAACGTGTATCGAGATCAAAGATAAAACTCGATGACGATCATTTTCGGATTATTAAACACACACACACACACACAACGATAGAATAGTCTGTGTAAAGATTACGTTACCGGTCTCTGCATCAGGTCGGCCAGATATGGTTCACAATTGCACCACCTCGAACACGTCGACGAACTCGTTCTCGGTGCGATGCGCGGAGGGGTTCAACGGAGGCCTGCCGCAGTCCTTCCTTCTGGAAGTAAGAGAGAGCAACACCCAGGAATTGCGTGCTAATCTGACATCGCCGGTGCCGCGTTTCAGTGTTACTCACCTGGAATCAGGCGTCCTTTACCAGGCCTGCATATACGCGTACAACGATAAGGGCCGCAGTGAAGCGATGGTAGTTCAGGCTGGAACCCTCAGGCAACCTGAAAAACAATTAACGTCCGAGTCAGGTGGGTGAAAATTCACACACGCTCTCTGCGCTTTATCTTTTTTGCTCCTACACTTTTTATCTATCTCTGTCATCCGTGTTTTCTTTTGCACAGCATCTTACGCTTCGTAAAATTAAGAAGCTTTCAATCTTACTCTCTAAGATTCCCTTCGAAATCTTGGCCAATCCTTTAACCAAATGTTCGCGATTCTACTTGCATTCTAATCTCGTTCCTTTCATTGATAACTTTCGAGTTTTATTTACGAGCGTGCAGAAGATTCACGAAACTCTTGCAAAATGTTGATCTCACTTTTTATACATTTCGAGCTTAAAAACTGCGCGTGACGAGTTTGCCAGCTCCCTCGGATGGAAATAAAGGCGGACCGAAAATTTTTCGGCAATCCGTATACGAGCCACGCGAACGGACAAATGAATCGAACTGCGACTTTGAACCAATCTCACCGAACAAAAGAGAAAGGGAATGGAGAGGATAAATTTCAGTTCGTGTACGCGATCAGATCTTTGTAAAGCGAAATAATTCATCCACTGCAGCGGGAAATTGTTTCATTGTGCCGTGGGACTGGTTCGTTCGCTTTGTTGCGACGGTGACTTTGCATCCATTTCGATTAATCATAATGATCTGCCCTTCCTGTATTTCTCCCTTTCCTATTTAAAAATCGACTGGCATTCGATGTTGAATTCTAAACGTGGAGTTAAAACTAAAAACTAACTGAAAACTGGAATTGTCGTGTAAAACACTAAAAAAAGAAAAGGAAAAAAATTGTATTTCGAATATAATAATTTTAGAGAGACCAAGGCAGAACATGAGACTAATGCCGATGCTGAGCGTGATGATCGGTGTGGTGACCGCTTTAATCATCGTCGCGGTGATAGTGATGGTCGTGCTCAGAATTCAGCACACGCAGGTGGACGAGCAGAGCAAGTCTCAGATGGAGGATCATGGCAAACAAACGAAAACGATTCCTATCCAACGGGAGCTGAGGTTTCGCGAGGGAAGCAGTCTGCTCACGGATGAAAAACATCCTAGCAGTCCGTTCAGGAAGCTCGAGAGTAGCGGTGACATAAGCGAAAACGATGAGAAGAATCCGGACATCATACCTCAGCAAATCACAGGTCTGTATGCTTTCCCTTTATCGTGTCGCTCAATCAGATCTACTGTGTATACGAGTCGACGTATAAAATTTATCCTTTCTTTACTAAAGTTCCGCCTATGTTGTCTTTAAACTTTAAACATTGCAAAATTTTTCTTTCATAATTTAGACGCTGAAGAATTAACGTTTCGTGATTAACTTGACTTTTCGAACGATTTAGTCCGGTAGAAATCGAAATTGGGCCGAGAAATGCTTATGCATTTATAAGAAATTTTAAATTGTTAAAATGCACGCAACCTGCAAAGATATCTAAAATATTGTGCTTATATAGTATAGTATTTATACGGATGAAATAATTCTCCGTTTAAATTCCACTCCTTCGTTTAACTATACGAATTTGCATAAATATCTGCAGTCCATTCATTGGAGAATAAATTTACTCTCACTTCACCGTACCGATTAAGGACCAAGATAAAGAATTTAAAAGTAAATTTGAAACTATATATATATATGTACACGCAGGCGACGAGCCATCGGAGTACCTGAGAAAGAGACGGCTCGTGTCGACGATCGAAACGTCGCCGTCGAGAAGTTTGCTGGAGCACTCGACGGTTACTTCCGTCAGCGGCCACGGTAGTTACGTAGGCTACTGTACTATTCGTAACGGCATGCCGTTACATGAATTCTCAAATCTGACGAAACATAAAAGCGTAAGTTCAATTTCTACTAATGCGTTCCTCGATTATACACCTTTGCTTTTACTCTTCGAGTCTAACTATCGTAAAACTAAAACTTTTAACGTTTCAATTCCTTCAATTGCTTCGAGCATCTACAGAGTGTAGCAAAACGCGCGTCAGAATGCGAATGAACAAGAAGCCATTTTTGAAAATGAGTCGAGAATTTCGTTTGAAGCTCTACTTTAAACAAAACTTAAAGATTTATTGAATGTCACGCGTGTGCCGAGTTTCCGTAATTAAATCCATAATTAAATCAAAGTCAGTATTCTCGAAACGAACAGATTTCGTTCTATAGTTTTCCTTGCTTTTGCATCCTTCGGCTATCTGTTCATTCGTTGAGTTCGCGAGCTTTCAAACTCGATCCTTTCGATCAACAAAACTCCCAACGAAAATATTTTATATTTCTATTGTTTTGGCATCACTTTTGCATACAGAATAACGGCAAGATTGTCACCCTCTGTACGATTAACACTGACAATCGGCTTCGTTATAAATGACAGCGCGGCAAAACGATCACTACCCCATCCATTCTTAATGACAACTTCAAACTAAAACATTCAAAAGGCATCGATCACCCACCATGCGTGAACTACAGTTTCAGCCGATAGTGGGCGACGACTATCAAAGCGGCGTTTGCACTTTGCCGAGGCAACACTGGCCAAGCCAAAGCGTTCAATCAATGTCGATGACGATGAGCCCACCGATGCTCTACACTGGCCTTGGTGTCGTCAGCAGGACTTGTCCAAGCGGCGCCTTGTTAACCAAGGACGTGGAGGCGAGGATCCCGGCGCAGTGTTGCATCCAGTCGCAGAAAGACGGCAAGATTAGCACACCGATCGTGATGGCCAAACGGGAGAGCTCCGTGTGACACTTTTGTCGCTCGCAGACCAGTCACGTGTGAACAAACATCGTTCGGCGTGTTGTTTCTCGAGCCGCGTATCAGTCGCTGAATGGTTTCTGATAGGAGGTACAGGAGGTCAGGTGACGACTGAACCATCGTTGGGAATGTATGGATGGATAACAAAAGTCGTTTCGTGTCGAACGTGTTCTTTGTTGTAGTAATTGATAAAACTGCTGTTGCATGAAGTTCAGATGGACTGCCCGATGATCCTTTGGTTTGGATTTTCCATTGCGTCGGACGAATCATTTGACGAGTCTGGCCATTATTGATCTTTTCCCTTCTACTATCCGTGTACTGTAAACAAAGGAATCCCGTATAAATAATTGATGGAGGAAGATGCAGCCAAATGACGGAGAGAACTGCGACGTTGATAATATAATAATAATAATGAAAAAAAAACTACTATCTAATATAACGGAGTACTTAACAAAGATCGTTAATTTTGGAGAGACATATAGATCGGATAATAAATTACGGTAACTTCCCTCGACGGTTAATGAGTAAGAAGTACGGTCGTTTTATTCGATGTTTTATCGATCGCTTAAAAGAAACGGACCCTGTACATTCCTCGATCGAGCGTCGTTCGTTGGTTCGAGAGAGATTCGACAGTCGCGTGTTACGGGAACGATGCGAGCGAAAAACGAGAAGCTGATACGTACAGAGCCGCACGCAAATCGAAAACGAGGCCGGTTGTATTTCGAACGAATTTATTTCCTCCCCGTCGCGATAGCATCGCGTTTACGTCTCTCTGTTCGATCAAGTGCCCTTTTTACATTGAACGGACGATTCTCGAGCCATCGTGTGTGAATATATTTAAACAAGAGAGAGAGAGAGAGAGAGAGAGAGAGAGAGAGAAGAAAAACAGAGTTAAAAAAAAAAGAAGAAAAAAGAAAAATAAGAGAGATTACCGTACGTTGTAAAAGGCGTGCGTGTACAACCGGGAACGAATTATTGATAGGGAATATACTTATACATATGCACGAGTTTCGCGCGTGCTGTACATATACCTTGAATACGGAGGATATTTTATACAGATTGCTATAGTATAAAGATGAAACAAACAAAAAAATAAATATGAGAGAGCGAGAATGAGAGAGAGAGAGTGAAAGAGAACGATTTATTCCCACTTTAACTTATGATTTACCAAAAAAAAAGGGGGGGAGAAGAGAGAAAAACAAGGGAGAAGAAAAATACACATTGTACAATTCGTTTAGTCGTTGTAAGTATAAATAATGTATATGCGTAATAAAAACAGAATCGATCGAGACAGCCAGAATAACGTACACTGAGGATGTCCTACGACATCGACGTGACAGAGATAGAGAAATTAAAGCAGTCAATGGGAACAAGAATTTCGCGTGCGTGCATGCTCGATGATGAGCACGGGTAGGAAGAAATGGAAACGAGAACACAGAAGACATATCGTACAGCTTTCCATCATCGAAAAAATTGAAATTTAACGATGAAACGATAGAAACGAGTTGCATCGAACCCAAGAAAAGAAAGAAAAACGTAGAAGAAGAAAGCTTGAAAAAAAGCAGGAGAGAGGAAAAAGCGAACGTAAAGAGATTCCCCGGTTGCTTTCGTCAGTATGCAGTGTTCTGGATTTTATTGTAATATTACGTATCTGTATGATGTATAAAGTAACGATTCTCCTTCTGCGTAATGGTTCGAAGCTGAGGATAGAACGAGGGGGAAAAGGAAACAGATGTGGATCCTTGTCTTGCTCTTAAAAATGCTGTACTGTCGTCTGTTTCGGTGCTTGAAGAGAAATTCGAGTCGCTTCTTCTTTCGAAAATTCAACCGATAATTATTTGTGTATTTGTAAAGTTTTGAAAAAAAATTTCACTTCTGTTTGAGATCGAAGCGGAGTAGTAGCTTCTTTTCTCGACACTGATGCCTTAATATATTTCTAATACCACAAACAATTAGCAAATTTACTTCACAAAAGGATTTCGTTGCGAAACTTTCTGGCTATAAGTTGCACCGCAGCAAGATTCAAGAACAGAACCAACACCTTGACAATTGTCAATGGAAAACGTGTCACAAGAGTGGCTTCTATCCACGGTTGACAACTAGAAGCTCGCGAGAGTGAAGAGGAGACGAGAGAGAAGAGTCTGTATAACTTCCTTGGTTTGTTAAGCTGTTGAAAACTGCAGAGGCGAGAAAGAGAGAGCTTTCCGCTCCTACCTAATGTCTCTACCCTTTCCCTATATAATATAACGATGGAACACATGCGTCTGTATGCGTGCGTGTATTTAAGTGAAATCGCAGGAATGGATAGAGACAGGAAGGAGACGCGGAAAGGATACCTGGATACTTAGTATAAATAATTCGGTGTAATGATACAGCGATAGGAAATGGCGGACAGTGGTTTTCTCACGAGTCGCTTGTGTAAATATTATCGAGAATTAGACGTTCTTTCGAGTCCTCTAGATGAATGTGTTCTTTCGAATCGCTAGTCGTTAAGTTTTATCCTCGAAGACACGGTGTCTGACTGTAACATTTAAAACAATTAAAAAGAAAAAAAAAACAGATGAATATGTCTCGCGCCGGAGGAGAGACCGTGCGAATCTCGTTATTCATTATTGCCATTGATGGAATTGATGTCGACGCATAGCCAGTGTACTAAGGGAAACTTTACTAACCATTGCGAAAAACGCCTATTTCATCTTGTATTAAAACGATCAATGCTGAAAGGCTGAGCAGAAAACAGGAAAATCTACGCGAAATCATCCAGCGCGCTGGTATCGTTTCGACGACAAACGATCCCGGGCCGTTAACGAGTTTCCCTAGCAGCATTAATAAATCTTCAACACAAACTGCCAATAAATCTTTTGATAATTTATTCAAGTATAATTCTCTAGATTTACATCAACGAAACGGTCTAAATCAGACGGCATTGGTGTCGATTGGAATTTCATTTCATCATCATTTGCTCCATCGTTCCGAGCAAACGTGTTGCTATGAATAAATCGCTATCATTTTCTCGTCGTTTCTTTTTTTCTTTTTTCTGTTTTCTTTTTCGAGATCGACCGACACGAGTGCTGCGCTATTTAGAAAACAGGCGATTCCCAAGTCGATAATCAGATGAATTTTTAACGGATATTCCGCCTTTGGTTCGTCAAATCGACACCCTTATGATCCTCTTTCTCAAACTCGGCACAGAATATCAAGTCGCGTGGTGCCGGCCAGATGGTGTCTGCAAGATAATCATCGTCATTTTGAATGTTTAAAGACGTTTTATGATCTCGCGTGAAGCTACACTTCTAATGCAGAATGCGAAACATATTGTGGTCCTTGTGTATGCAAATTGTATAAATGGAAGATCGTTGAAAAAGTAGCTCCCTCGAAATGACTGAGTAATATAACGTTCAGTTAGAAGTTTCAGTCTTTCTTTCAGTTGTCAATTCGTTATGCTGTCTGTTGTTTATTCGTTATTGAACCGAGAAATAGTGAAAAATGAATACTCGCGTTGTGAAATACGGTTCTCTTGTTGATTTGCGCTTAACTGTGTGTTATACAGGATGGGAAGTAATTCGATCGGTAGCAAAATCCAAAAAAAAGAAAAATGATATCTCGAACAAAGATTGATTAAAAATCGTTGAATTTGAAGAAAATCCATCGTGAAAATCCAAGTGTATGTGTATCTAACGACTCGATTTGAGTCCACGTATACTTGGTAAATTTTCGAATATTCAAAAAAAATCTTAGATTTAGCGTAAAAATTGTTTATTTCAGAAACTCTGTACGGAATATCGACTACTCTTCTACACCACGAATCATATCCCATTCTCTTGCACGGATAAGGAATATATTTATGCTCTAAGAGATACTATATTACACGTTGAATGTTACTTTATACTTGTTAAAACGGCACGACCCGTTTGAAATAAAAGAAATTTGCGTATCATTTATTAGTTAATATATGAAAGTTTGATTGCGTTGAAATGTACATTGACATTCGCGTGGCGACCACAAAAATATCCAATAATACCGACCAGCGTTTACACACCAATTTGCTTCGTTACTATGTATCTTACAGTAGTCAGGGATAAGAGCCAAAGAAATCTTTTTAGACTAATAAGAAATACATGGAAGCACCGTTTCAGCTGTATACCGCCTGTACTATACATCTTTAACAATTGAGTCTGACCAGCTGCTTTTGCGAAAGGAAACCAAAAGAAAAAAAAAAGAGGATGAAACCATTTGAATGAAGTTTGTATATGTAATTAGTTTAGCGATATCTGACACAAATTTCATGTACCCCCCAAAAGAGACGTTTTTTTGATATTGTAAATACTCTGAAATAAATAATCGTTTTTATTCAATCATCGTTTCTTTCTTTTTTTTAATAAAAGAACTTCATTGAAAGCTATACTAAAAATTTTTACCCGTAAATTATTTATAAAGACGTATTTACAGAAATTATGAACATAGAAATAACGTTATTACCTGAATACAGATTAATAAGCGGAACCGAGGCGTATATGTCCAAATACTTTTCAACGGTTAAAAGCACAGGGCTTTTTGCATTCAATAAATACTCTAACAACGTGCTCTCGGGATAAAGTCGCGCAAGCTTGTCACCCAACGATCTTATAACTTCCTGCATCGTCACTGACTTTTTCAGAAAAAAATTTTCTATTAATTTTCAACTTTAAAGCCGAACAATTTAAATCTAATCATCGAATCTATGAAATTCCATTTATTAGTTCACTAGGGAAAAAAAACTTACATGATCGCGATCAGTATTCGAGATATGATCACACAATGTATATATCTTATTGAAACAAATTGACATCTGGTGCTGAATATCACTCAATTCGTATGACTTCAATGGCTGTAGCAAAGTGGGTGGTACTGTATACGCGTGGTACCATCTCATAAAGAATCTCTGCAAATTCCAATTGGAAAATGTCATTAAATAAACAATAATTAAATTAAATTGGCTTCTACCCTTTTTCATTCAATATAAAAATCTCACCTGATGAACATGATGATAAGTTGGGAGAAAAATTGCCTTCCCTATTTTACAATCCTCACTCTCGTTACTGTACAACAATTTGAAATGTCTATAAATTATATCCTCTGGTGCCTATGTTACAACAAAACATTCATTTTCGTTCTATTGCAATTAAAATTACTAGTCAATTTCAAAGTCTGAACTTTTATAATTTATGGATTGAAAATCCATTCACACACCTCTAATACATGAATATAATAATCCGGATAAGCCAAGAATAATCCACTGATGGAATTATTCACATAATCTGCTTGTAAGTCCTCCATTATAGATTCCATTTTCTGGAAATTATGTTTTTCAAATGAGTAATAGGAAAATCTTTGGCTTTCATGAATTACTTTAATTTATACTAACTCTATTAACTTCATACCTTTTCTATGTTCCAATTTGCACCAGTATATTCTCCGATATATACCACGCGTGTTATATACGAAACCTGTAAAAAAATTCATCATTTTTATATTGTTTCAACACGCGTAGATACAAAAATTTGAATTATATAATGATTCATCGTGCCACGGAGTAGATGGCGCTTTGGTATAAATTGGCATTTTCAAGCAAAGTAATGAAAATATTCAATTTATTCGCACTTCAATAAAAATGCATAAAGTAGTATTATTCTGACATCCTACGTGAATACATTAAATAAACAATAATTAAATTAAATTAGATTCTCACTTTACCGGCAGCACGAATATTTTTTCTGATCAAGTCTAACAGGCTTTTTCGAACAGGTTCAGTTACGCGTTTCATCATGTATAATGTTTTAAGTGAATTCTTTACACTATTTTATATACCGTGGAAAAAATCAAGTAACTTTATAAATATTTGGAATGTTAGAATCACAAAACTACTTTTAACTGATAAAATTTTTGCGCGTGTAATAATCTCGTGACAAAGCTACCGAACACTTCGAAGTTAACGGACGGATGCTCATAATTACTACGTTCATCGTTCAACTACGATTAAATTCCTATTTCTCAACAGTATTATTTTATTAAGAAACGTAGTCTGAGTTAAACAACAAGTAAATTAAATAACGAATTTCTAGATAGACAATTAATGTACATAATGTGCAAATGTTTAAAAATTTTTGCAACGTTAGCTTCTGATTTGATCAATATTGTCGTTCCGCTTTTTAAATGCAATTTTATTTAAATTCATGCATTCATTATATTTTATGTAACATTTAGAAAAAAAATTGAATGGTGCAAACTCTTTTCTCTCTGTTGGGTATATTTTATTTTATTTAAATACAAATATGTTACGTAATGATGAAGAGTAATGTACGTAAAATTACAATTTGTTAAAATCAGTCAAAATAGTAAGTATGCATATAAGTTTCATGTATCTAGTTACATGTACAAAACGCTAAATGGCATTAACAGTGATACTTACGCATAATTAACTATTGCTGTTTATTATCACATCATTATAATGGCGATAAATATATGTTTGGAAATGTTTTATTTTTACAAACACTTTTTCAAATAAAAATATTACTCTCAAGTGCATAAAACAGTGTATTCTTTTAATTAATCAATTCATCAAACGCAAATCGTTTGTCACTGTATTTTTTTTAATATTACTGAAAATTAAATAACTGTGTTACTTTTTAGCCTTTGGATATTCTAAGATTGGAGGTGGAGGTGGGGTTGATTCACTGGGATTTCCCAACCATACAGATTTACTAAAACGACCTTTAATAACAGGTGCCTGCCATTTATTGCTGCACATAACTGTAATTGTAGGCTTCTCTGCAGTGACAGTTGCTATTGTTACTGCTCTGAAAGCGAAATAAAATTTATTTAAATATACATATATTAGCTATAAATATACAGTAAAAATGTCTTACAAAAAGAACATAGATTTTGACTAAAATAACAGTGCAAAACTTACTGCAAGATTATCTATCACTGTCAAAAAAAGGAAAAGAATTCTTATCGATAATCTTTTTTTTTTTGTGAATTATTTGATACTCGAAGGTAGGTAAAAATAAAAAGGTGTATTGTACTATACATTCAGCATTTATTAATGAAAAAATGCATTACAAATTGAATGAAATATATGCTTTTTGTAAAATAGTTTTCAAAGTGTATATTCGTACGTACATATATATAATAATTTGATATCTACAATAATTTTACGCTGAGCAAAAATATGTATGCGATTTGTGCAATTAATACACTTAAACATTTAATAAATTTTGTTATATTACAAGGTATAAAATATTCTCAATTAATAATCTCATCAACAATATATTCCTTACTAATTTCAAATAGCAAGGTACCGCTTTTTTGAAGTAGCAATTCCTTTAAAACGGATATGAATAGACAATAAATTTATTGTAAACGTTTTTGGTAAAACATACACTTTATACTTATCTTATTTAACAAAAAGAAATTACTAAATTAATGGGATAGTGTGCAGTACTACGAAATTATAATTAATACAAATCGATCCGACTACTAAAAACAAAATATTTAATGCCTTCATCATATATAAATATAAATTTAATATTTTTCACGCAAGACGAGCACACTGTACGAAATAATAAACAGTATGAAACGACCAAATATGTTAAAAAATAAATCATTTTCTCTAATGCCAAGGCACTTGGTTTGGATGACTGATGGAACCCAATTTGTAGTACCTTGTTGTAGAAGATGTTTGTTGTATCCCTGTTGAATGATTAGGTGGTGTTGCCGCCATAGAAGTTTCAGCACTTTGAGCAGAGGTACCATCACCTTTCAAAACAGCAACACATTTCCAATTATTAATATAATTATCTTTCCATAATCGAACACAACCATCATCTCCCGAACTTGCTAGAATAGTTCCCATAATATTCCAACACACACGCCATACAGTGGAGTCATGGTCGGAAAATTGTGCTGCTATATTGATTTCAAAACGTGATGAACCACTTTGTACATTATCCCTATATTAAAAATATTTTCATGTAGTTTCTCATAAATTTAATGTTTATACGAATTTTAAAACTCATACTCACAACACAGGTTTTAATGTGATTACTTGTACATCTTTCGATGCAATAGCTAGTGTGTGAAAACTTCTACCTAAGTTTGGAGCAAATGCTATATCGTGAATGGGATCAGCAATATTTAGTGTTTGTGTTTTCGTCCATCTTCTACTACTCTCAGAATATTCATATATGAAAACTTTTCCATCTGACGATGGGTTTGAATCATCACTTCCAACTGCTATCATTGGAGGATGTAACCTAGTGTGAAATAATTGATAAAACATCCAATGTCTACATTTATCATAAATATTAATATTCGATTAGCAATTTATTATACCTTGAAAGAGATGGATTCCATGAAAGACAGCTACATTGAAGTTTACAACTAATGTCATGCTGTAGAGTCCACTGACTTAGATTCATAACATCAGGTGCTTCATATATCCTAATTACTCCGTCTTCGCTACAAGTAGCTAACAAAAGACCTAAAGTTTTAGGTGCGAATTTCACATCTGTAACAGACTTTCTGGAATCTACCAAGTTTGTTCTTCTAACCCAGTGTCTCATGCCGCGTTCTCCAGGTCCTGATCCTTCTCCAACTAAATAAAATTAATAATACGATTATTTATTAATTAATCAATCATAAAAATAATAGTTTTACCTATCTCTTCCCACACAGCTGCTGTTCTATCAGAAGAGCATGTTGCTAAAACTTGACCAAACTCTGGATGTGCCCATGTTACTTTCCATACTGGCCCACTGTGTGCTTTCCAAGATGCAGATAAATGCCAATTTCCATGTTCATCTTCATCCCAGACCTATGTAAATTTTACAATCATCACATATGATTACAATAACGCACAAACACAAACGATAGAAAAATCTTACTTTCACGTAGTGATCACTGGAACATGTTGCCATTCGTTGTCCATAAAAATCATAAGCAATGTCATGAATTAAATCTTTATGTTCGGCATTAATACTGTGTGCTTCGAACATCTTTCATATGTTTCAATATTACAGATTAAAATAAACTTCGATAAGTATTTATGCTTATGTCGATACCCGTAGAGGTTAGGAGGAAAATTGAAAAACTTTTCTATAAAAAGAGTCACACGTCAAAATACAAAAAAAAAATTTTTTTTAATATGTAAATGAAACATCACAAATTCAATTTATTCATATTTTTACAACATTTACTTTGTCTGTTTGTATTATTGAAGAAAAGGTAAAACACCGTAGAATACAACTAATATTACTAACATTCTTTATAGTTATTCTAATTACATAAATAAAAAATGTATTTAAAATTTTTTAATAAAATCATTAATAATAAGTTATACAAAAAACTTTTCCCGTTTTTTAAACTTTATTATTTGAATACATTTCAATAAACCGGTGCATAAAAGCACGTTGTCACTAGTTATAATCTTTTGATGTGTTTTCCCTTGATGTATTTAGGAATACTTAGAAATTAAGTAAATTTATTTATTACGCTAATAAAACATAATAATATATCACAATGGTATAAATATATTTTATTCTAGTACAAATTAGAATTATCTTACATACACACATTGTCAATTACATTTAATTTCCATTAGTAATATTATTAATTTAGAAAATATATAGAATAAAATATATTCTACATTTTCTTCTAAAATGTAATTTAGAATGTTATCTCATAATGTTTTATTATTTCACATTTTTATTTCATAAAGTTCGAGAAATAAGACTTCCGGAAGTTTCTATAAGCAGGGAGAGATTCATGATAGATTGTCATTGAATTGCAGCGTGTAACGTGTCATAACACGTATGTTATTTAAACACACTGAACTGTATATTACAAAATAATTCTTCAAGGTAATTGTATTGTTTCTAATTAATTTAGTCTTTTAGTATTTTTTTTCTATTTAATTTTAAATATTTTCTTCGTTAAATCGAAGATATAAACCGGTAAAAGTTAATCTCGTAACATTTCAGATGATCACAGATGTACAGTTAGCTGTATTCTGCAACATCCTTGGAGCGACACTGTTTTGCTTAGTATTTCTTTTTCACTACGTATATTCAAATTACTCGAAATAAAGAAGTAACATGTTCATAAACATAACCTTAATTCGCTTCATCAAACGCTGACATATGATTAAATGGAGTTGTACATCTATGTATTGTATTTGATACTGATAAATATGGTTACTTAAAGTAAATAATTTCAAAATAATTGATAAATATATTCTTTATAGAATAACAAGTATTTATTTTGTTTATTCCCTACATAAATGGTATATAACATTAATCAATATATAACCATTACAATATATATAATAAAACCAGTAACTATGTATAATATATTTCCTTTTGTGAAATATACAAATTTTAAGTGAAGTTTTTCACTCATACATAGTAAATATATACATAGTATGAAAACATACACGTAGATTAGTTCCTATATTCAGTGTCTTTCAAGACGATGAAGTTGGTCACTTGCAGCGCATAATTGTGTATACATAGTCAATGTATGCATTATATCTTTTGCATACATAACTGCATATAGAAAATTCACCAATATAGTTTTGGACATTTAACGTGTAAATTTAAAACAGTTTTTCAGCAATGACCGACGATTCCAATGGAGAATCCACGTTCGAATTTGTTGAAAGAAAGACAGACGAATCGTCTACATCTGGAGAAATCGTAAAAACTGGTAAGAATAAAAGGCAAAACATAAACACCTGCGTATCTGTCAAATTCCTTCGTACAAATAAAAAGATTTATGTTCGGTCTAATTGGCTGCTGCAGTTTTTTGTAAAACGCAATAAATTTTAGAAATAAATTGCAATAAATAAATAAATTAATTTTTTAATGATATAGAAAACAAAAACATAATACGAACTATAAACCTTATGGTATAAAACGTTTTATATAATTAAAAAAAAAAATAAATTTACTTAATAAGGAAGATCCTACTTGAAGATCTTTCTATTTATTCGAATAAATTAATATATCAGGACAATGTGTCACCTAAATAAAAATAAAAATAATGTAATTTTCAGATTCTTTTAGCAGTTTGTCTTCATCAACATCTTTATTAATGCCATTAGGCATATCAACATCCACAGGAAATTTATTATCAAATGTAGCACCACCCACTGCTTTGCCTAGTTTCATTTCAAATCCTGGAACGTTGTTATCAGAAAGGCCTAACAATTTGGAACCACCTAGCCAGAAAAAACTTCATGATCATGAACCTACTAAGTCGATGTTAAATACTATTATTCAATCTAAACCGTTACAGCAAGAAACACATCAAGCAACTACAATTCCCATTGTTACTCCGTCCATACAAAATGTACAAACCACAGTGCCATCAGAAGTCCAGGATTCAGGAATGGTTGGGGGTGGTCTGTTTTCGTGGGTTAAAGAAACAGTAGTAAATAGTAATGTATTGAGCAAAGTTGCAGAAAAAGCAAAAAACAGTGTTAATACTATGATCACAACATTAGATCCTCAGATGCGTGAGTTCATTTGTAAGTAAGAAAGCTACTAATCCTGACATGCAAGTAAACGTAATTTAATCCTCTTTTATTTTGTAAATTTCTTAATCATTTCTTTTTCCTTGCTTGATATTCTATTTTGTCAATTTCCTACTGAAATTTATGTTATTGTGTGTGTTAAATTATGTTATTGCATCATATCTTTAAGATATATATACATATATGTTTACCTATATATGTGTGTTATTTTTGGATGATCTAAAAACTAAATTTCATTCAATGAAGTATGCTGTACAGTTTAACTGTCATTTACAAAAAAATGTTCTACTTACATTTTATTTATCAAATAGCCGAAATTATAAAATTCATTTATGCATAACAATTATATAAATTGCACGTAAAACAAAGTAATTTTATATTTAATTTGCATTACAAATAAAATGGTAATTTACGTTTTTAAGTAACCTGAAGCAAATTTTTCACCAATATTTGCCTGTGCTCAGTGATGTGAAAAAGTTGTTAAAAACAATTTGTAAAATGTTATCTGTGTTTTAACAAAATGGCAATAAAAAATTAAGGAACAATATATAGATTCCATACTATTTATATGTAAATAGCAACATTGTGACTGTGCAACATGTTAGTTCATTTACAAACATATATGCAGGCTCTGTGGAAAATATACTTTTCAGATTCTGGTGGTGATATGGAGATTGTAGTTGCATCAGATAAAGATATTAAAATAAGTCCTGTGCGTCAGGCTTTTCAAACAGTTTTTGGAAAGGCAACAGTAACGTAAGTAATGATTATAAATTACATTTATTTCTTTATTTATTTATAATGATATATTTTCATTAAAATAATTAATTATTTTGTAGTGGTGTATCAGTAGAAAGTTCAGCTGTAGCTGCTCAACCAGTTGGTTTTGCTGCTGGCGTAAAAGGAGCAGAAGAAAGAATTAATTCTGCTCGAAATATTCCAACACTTCCAAAAGATATACCTATAATTGCAGTAGAAAATTTTTTGTTAGAAGTTGGAGAAGATAAGTGGTATGATTTGGGAGTGATAGTTCTTAATGATCCGAAACGTAATGTGAATTTGCAAACATTCACTCAAATGACTCCGGTGCCAAGTCAAATAGTAACGATGGCACAAGAAGCCACACCTGAAGATTATCCTCTTAAATGGTCTGGTTTATCAATTACTGTTGGTAGTTTAATGGCAAGCAACTTACAGGTTAGTTTTCAACAAAGTAATTACAGTAATTTTATATTCACAATTGTAACAAAATAATTTATAGGTTCCTCACAATGAATGGCATCACGCACTTACTGGAATTTCCAGAAGGGATATTATACTTTTAGCAGTTCAATCACTAGCTGGCATCTACAAGAATACAATTAATCCCGTCTAAATTTTTATGAATACATCGCAATTTATCAATGAGTTGCGTTTTTGTAAATACAGCTCTAATAATTTATGCTATACTTGAATCAATTATCAAAATTTATTTCTTAGAGTATTCTCATCTTTAACAAGTACCTAACATTTCATCACATCATTGGAATAAAGGTTATTTCAATTAATGTGACATTCTTATTAAATTAATATTTATAAATTAAGAAAATGTATTTTAATTATATGTGGTAATATGTACAAAAAATTAATGAAAGGTAAAATATATTAAAAAAATAGGTTTGGTATGTTGAATGTGATTATTTCATCACATATCAATTATTAATATTAGACTTATTAACGCGACAGTATATTTTATTAAAATAAAATAATTTATAATTTATATACAATTTGATGTAATTTTCTGAGGTGTCCTATTCCTGTCAGATTTCGAGATGGTTGGGTATTTTTTAACAAAGGCAACAAAAACTCTGTTTCACAATTTGATCTTTAATTTCTTGCTTTTTGTTTCAATGAGTACATTGCTGTTGCAGATTTTCTGTTGTCAATAATTTCAAAATTTGTCCAATTGTTTAAAAATATTAACACAAAAATTAAAACTAATTGGTAAAAAAGCAATGTAAAAAATTACAACTTTTCCTTTTTTCGTACGAAATTGGTAATAAGTTTCCACCGTAATAAAAATAACAATCGATTCTTATTTGATGTTAATGCACTAAAAAACATAAAGCCACTAGATCTTGATGATGTGGCACTGCTTAATTAAATAAATGTATAAAATATTTCTCCCTGATACTAATATGTGTACTTTCCATTATAATTACAATTTATTATTTTTTTTTTCATATTTATAATCATGTATTTCTCACGGATCTTTGCACAAAACAAAGTTCATAATAAACCGATGTAGATTGTATACGGTTCGAGCAATATTAATTGAATTACAATATTTAAATAGATATTTAAATATGGTGCGCGAATCTAAGGTTACAATTTATCAAGGTATGCATTCAAATCCGGGAGACCTTCCTTCAATCCTTTTCTTTTGCGTGTTTCCTGTAAGAATAAACATTATAATTAAATATATAGCTAAATATATTAAGCCTGAGGAAAGGAAAATACAAATTTGTATGTTTCCCTATTCAGGTAAACCAGAATATATTATCAGGATACCAAAACAAAAAAACAATTCCTTTACCACGAGATTAAAAATGGTAATGTATTGACATCTATTCATTACCATCAGTTATGACCGTGGATAGTTATAAATTTCAAAACAAAGAAATTACCTGCACAACTTGATAAGGTCTAGTGTTAGGTTCCATTGGATCACCTGGCAAGATCTGCCAATGATCGAATACACATTGTGGGAAAGCTTGTCCTCCGGTGTTGGATCGCAAGTCGGCAGTAAAACCAAAAGACTCATTGACTGGAAGATATGCTTTAACTACGAACATAGGTGTACCAGCAATTTGTTGTTCTTCAAATACGTGACCTCTTCTTCGATTAAGCACACCATAGATACCACCAACGGCTATTTCAGGGCACTGTTATACAATTTTATTTCATTAGAATGCAAAAAAATTAACTCGTTTAAATTTATTAAACAACAATATTACAAAATTAAATTTACCTGAATTTCACATAAATAAACTGGTTCCATAAGTCGAGGAGAGGCAGTGAGGAGACAAGCATAAAGGCAACGTCTTGTAGTTGGTATTATTTGACCACCACCTCTATGAATAGCATCAGCGTGTAACGTTACATCGTGAATATTGAAGCGTACACCTCTCAAATTTTCTTCCGAAAGAACACCCTGTCAATAAATTATGAATAAAAAACATATTCTCAAATATTCTTTGCCCATAATCTATGATGATACCATACCTCTTTTGTGGCCCATTGGAACCCAGCTACAACAGAATCCTTAATTTCATTAAGATATTGTACTCCTTTTGTACAATCTACAAGAATATTGGGTCCAGTTCCATCAGGACCAAAGCACCAAATCTTTCTAGCCTCTGTCACATCATAATCATACTTCTCGTTCAAATAACGAGCACGCACTTTAAAGTCATCCCTTGGATTAACTTCACCCTAGAAAATTATAAAAATTAAGTGAAAATAAAATACAAATATTAGTTGTAAATTTCTACAAAATTGAAACATACACTATCAATGTCTTCAGCAAGACCGTCGGGCATTGGACACGCCATCATGAATAAACGATTATGTTTATTAGGTGATTTCGAAAGACACATTTGATTCGATTGTTCCGAAATTGTTTCTCTATAAGAAACAACGGGATCCGATTTCTTAATAGGTATACAAGCATGATCTTCTTCCAAATCTTTTAAACAAATTTCAAGATGAAGCTCTCCGGCACCAGCAATAATGTGCTCTCCTGACTCTTCAATAATACACTGTACCATAGGATCTGATTTCGCCAAACGTTTGAGACCTGAATGCGAATTGCTTTGTTAAAAGATATTAACACTTTTATAAAATATAATTCAAATAACAAATCACTTTCAGATTTTTAATTAAAATCATGGTTTATCATAACCCAATGCTCAAAATAAAGTTTCATCCTTATTTAGATACAAAATTAAACTAAATTATACATAAGTAAATATACCTTCAACTAATTTGGGTAAATCGGCTGGATTTTTTGGCTCAACTGCGACGCGAACGACAGGTGAAACAGAAAATTTCATAACTTTCATGTTGTGTGCATCCTTATACGTAGTAATGGTACCAGTCTTTATTAAGAATTGATCAACGCCAACAAGTCCACAAATATTACCTATTTTAAATAATGAAATAATTTGTTATAATTATATTCGCATAAAATAATATTTTAATATTATCAATTTAAATGTCAGTTGGCCGTTCTATTGTCATTCAGAAAATAGTCAGAACAGGTCTGTAAGAACAGTCATCATTACATTAAATACTTAATACATTAAACGCTACGTAACTAGTAACTGATGGTCACAAAATAAAAGAAATGACATCATTAAATGATATTAAAAATAAAAATTTTAAGGTTTTAAAGGATAAAAATACGAGGCTCTGCATTCAACATATTAACAAAATTTGACACCAATGGAGAATTCACTAACCACAAGGCACATCTTCAATCGCTTCGACATAACGACCCATCATCAAAATTGTACGCTGGATAGCTTTCTCGTAAAGATCATCTTTTTTACCCGGTTGGAAATTAGGTCCCATAATACGTGCTTTCATTCCAGTGCTTACTTTTCCGGAGAATACACGACCGAAAGCATAGAAACGACCTTTATCAGAAGTTGGTACCATCTTCGAAACATACATCATAAGTGGCCCATTTGGATCACAGTTCTGTAAAACAGAATTTCAATTAAGTATGAAATCAACGAGTTCAATTTGAAATTAAGTTAAAAATTATGCAAACATTAATCAGTTATTATTCATATCTACCATAAACATACAAAGTCAGAACAGGTCTGTGAAAAATCTCATCATATATAACAAACTTAATTAATACTTATCTTAAAATTATTTCAAGTATACATACCTTGATTCCAATTGCAGCCTCATCATCAAGAGGCCCTTCATATAACATTTCCATACGATATTTCTGAGCAGTAACAGGGGATGGTAAGTGAATAGCAATCATCTGAAGCAAAGCTTCTCCAGCTGGTAACCATGTTCTCATGACAACCTAAAACGTAATATTATATTGATATATAATCATATATAGTATTAATTATTTAGTTATTTAAAACTAAAATATTATCAGATATTAAAACTTATTATCGGTCAAAGAAATTCTGAAGAGGTGTCAGAAAAAAGGTAAAAATCATCATGCACACTTCCAAAATGTTGAAAAAAATTAAAATGATAGTTCAATATAGAAAAATTACCTTAAGAAGAGCTTTGCCATCCTTATCTTTATCTTCTGGTTTTAAAACAATTCCTAATTTTTGTAGTAAGGTGTCCGCTTCATCTTTTTTATAATTCATTATACTATCAAATACCTGTTAATTTTGTTTTGGTATTAATAAAAAAAATTAATATCTGTTTATTAAATATATGGTAATTAACATACCTTATAAATTGGATCTAAGACGTACATGCAGAAAGATCGTTTATTGTCTGTTTCTTTCTGCTTGCTCCATTTTTTGGTTTTGGGATTGAAGAAAGATTCACCCCATAATCTATTCATGAGTTTTACAACATCAATTTTGAACTTTTCTGCATACATCTCAGAAAACTGCTTCAGAGTAAATGCCCAACCATGAAGGCCAGAACCAAATCCGACTGAACCTTTACTAGGATCTACCTATTTGCAATAAATATAAATTAATAATAATATTTACTTAATAATAATATTTAATTAATAATATTTATAATTAATAATAATATAAATTAATAATATTTATAATTAATAATAATATAAATTAATAATAATTTACAATAAATATAAAATAAAGATATTAATATAAAAGCGAAAAATAATGTTACACAGAAATAAGTATTTACTTACTCTAACTTCACCCATGGGACCATCATCGTCCGAATATGTTGCAATAATAACGTTAACGTTTTCAACAATACGCTGGAAAGTTTGATAAAGATCTTCACTATCAAGTTGAAGTTCCAAAAGTGCCCTGTCCATCTTGTTCATAAATAAAACAGGTTTTATACGTTCGGCAATAGCTTGTCGAAGTACAGTTTCCGTTTGTACACAAACACCTTAAAAATGATTTAAAAAAGTTATAATTTGTAAGTTATTAAAAAAAAAAAAAAAAAAGATTGTATTGTACAAAATTGTAGCAATTGTGTCGTAGCGTGTTAGTCTTGAACATAAGAATAGAGGTCCACAAACAGCGTTTAAACACAGATGCTATCATTTTAATCTCCTTCCATTGATACACCATCAACACTGTCCATGTGCATCAGTCAGTTAAACCAACTGATACACTACAGAGTAACGCTTTTTGTGCTGGAAGGAACTTAATCATATTATTTAAAGTACGCACCAGATACACAGTCAACAACCACAAGGGCTCCATCAGTTACACGAAGTGCAGCTGTTACTTCACTAGAGAAATCAACATGACCAGGTGAATCAATAAGATTAATCAAGAATCCTTTCTCATCTTTGTCACGTTGATCAGGGTTTGTAATGAAAACTAAATCTTTCTCTTCAAGTTCAAAGTACATAGAAATAGCCCTGAAACAAGATTGAAAATGTTACTTGAACTGAAGCAATTGAAAATAGTAACTGATAAGATTAAATAGATTAAACTTACGTGGATTTAATAGTAATACAACGTTCCTGCTCATCCTTGCGAGTGTCTGTAAACCTGGTCTCACCAGCTTTAGCACCAGCAATAATACCGGCCTTGGACACAAGGGAGTCTGTCAAAGTTGACTTTCCATGATCAACATGCGCAATGACGGACATATTTCTGATGTTCCTCTTCTTGTCCATCATAGCACGTATCTCGTCCACCGTAAAATTCACCTGTAACAAATTAAAAATTTTATGAACACTAGGTAATACGTACATTTAACACATGAACTGACAACACACCAATTGAAATTTTACAAATATAAAATAACATCGTTTTTAAATTCTGATATTAGATATATTACATTTTGAATATGCTCTCAATAGTGTAAATATGGAATGTAGAATTTCAAAAAATAATTTTTACTTTAGGTAAAGGTAAAATGATTTTCATACTGACCATATTGCAATCAAAGCTTCACAAATCTTGACAAATATGATCAATATTATTCAGAATAAAGAGAATTACATTCCACTTTTTGTGTTAGAGAAGTTCTTAAAATTCTTTCACAACTTGTTTTCTATATGCAATGTGCGAGGTATTCGACGTGTTTCTCTGTACAATACTCGTGGATCATTCCAATTCATCAGAAACCGTCGAAAACATTTCTTGAAGACTCACGATGTTCCGAGAACATGCTGCTAGATTCGTATCAAGAATCTTTACAAAGCTCCATGACACGTTGCCTCTTGGACAATGAGACGAACATATTTGAACTTCGAACATAGCGTAACTCTGAAGCTTTGTGTAGGAAAATTTTTCAGGAATATTTCGTCAAAATTTTTGCTGAACCATCAGAGATTTTAACCCCGGTATATCCATCGCGAGCCTCAAAATTTATCTTCAAAGAGAGTTGCGCAATCCCAAGTAATCCGCCAGTTTTCAATTTTTCCGAACCCAGGTGACATTCAGTCTTTAAAAATATTCATACCTCTGCACTCCACACATCGTACAGATTTACACGTTCGCGATACTTTAGAAACATTATACATACCATTTTGGATGTTATCCGATTTCCGTTGTCCCGATCAGAAATATACGTGCACCAACAATGGCGGACTCCCTAAGAAAGAACAGGAGTTCTGTGAAAGGGACGAACGTTCCGTACACGATAGAGGGCACCCCTCGTCACGCGTATTTCGCACAGGGCCAATTGGAATTTTGTAATCCCTACCACGTGGCTTCGTTTGCGCGCGCAGCATACAATCCATTGTAAGTACGTAAGTTTCAAATGCAATTCGTTCGTCTGTAGTAGTGTATATTGTTACGCTTAGTGCTGCCATCTTAATAATTTAAATTAAAATTGAAACAAAAAGAATTAACGATGAAACGAGTTTTCTTCTAATTTTTTTTTTTTTTTTCGTTTGTGCAAAGAGTATTGAGATAAAATAATTTCATTGGATGTTGAACGAATTTTCGTATGAAGAGAGATGGAGGGGAGAGAAGAAAAAGGAAAAATAGTTCAAAGGTTACGAAAAGAGTATCTTACGTTACAATATGAATGTGTACATTTATCGTGGACTATTAGTTTTTATTTTCTCGTAGATCATACGTACTCATATAAAATACTACATCTAATTCAACAATGAAAATTACACAATCTATCATATCATATGTAGACAAGTGTAGAAAAACATATTAATTACAAACGTACTGATTACATACATGTTAAAAGAATAGTAACGATTGTGCGTTTTCTTGTAAAATAATTATTGTTAGAAATACGTCAATGTCGGTGCAGTGTACATCACTTATATGTATACAATATATTTCACTTTTACTATTTAACACATACATGTTGATGTATGCTTATAAATTTAAAAATTATATATGCATATAAAATCTATGTGCCAAATCAATTGAAATAACAAACATCGACCTTAATTAATTCCCAGTGTATGTACCCATGCATTTGTTTTCCACGATTAAATTATTACTATTTTTTTTTTTTTTTTTTTTTTTTTTGAACAAAAAAAACAGTTTTATTTGCAGTTGTTAAGGTACGTACTATTTGTGACATGAACATGCCCCAGACTTAGCGTGTCAAATTAAGAATTTTTCACGTCCCTCAGGTACAGACCATTTGGAGAATTTACAATCAGACCATCCATAAATCTCAATTAGTTTCGAGTGCGAAAATGTTTTTCCACACAATTGCAATTGTGATGTCATAGACGTGCCAGAAGTATCGTACAAGTAACAGGATGGAGTTTTCAGAAGGTGATGACCGTTTTCTACCACCCCACGAGAGTCGTTCTCGTAGTAACGAGAAATTCTGGAGATAACTCCTCAGAGTTCTTTGAAATAGAATACACAAAGATCTTTTTATATAAAAGGATTCTGAGGAGATGATAAGCTTAGCAATTAAGTTTTAAAAACTTAAGTTTTAAAATTACATTTTAGTTGAGAACAAATTCAAGTTCAAGTTATTGACTAATCATTCAAGGATCAAAGTTCTCAGTCAACATTTAGCTAAATCCTTCGAACTCGGTCGTCGGTAGCTTAGTTATTCAGACAGAACGAGCTGCCTAAATCGGGCAGAAGCGACCAGGTTTCTTGCGTAATAAAATCAGTATTAATTCAAATCAAAGTTATTCATTTCCCACGATAGTCCTTCGCCACCGACACAAGTCGTTCATGTCCTTAACAACAGTTTAAAATAATCAGAAGATCACGTATTTACAACTTCATTAATTCATAAAAATATTCCAATTCTGTTTAATTAAATATCCATAAAATTATTATTAAAATAAAGTCGTAGTCGCAAATCTCCTAATTATTTCATTTTACACTGCGTACGTTTAGCGAATCCCTTTGCAGCTTCTTTCGTGAACGTTTACGCGGTCAGGATTGAAAGTCCTTCCACAGTGTTTACACGGGACCAATTGACTCAAGTGAGAGTTCCAACTAGCCTCAGCCATTGCGGCCAAGTCAATTGTCATATCTCCTGTTTCTGAATCACCTGGACACAAATTGCCATCGTAAATTAAAAATAATATGCTACGACAAATTATTGCATTCGTTCTTCGTATATATATTTAAAAGCAACATAAATTTTGTCAAGCCTACGCAATTGTCATTATCAGTTGCAGATCAATCCTTCACCTTGTACAGTGAACCAGCGGCAGTACAGATTATTTGCCGTGCTTGATAAAGCTCGACTTTCGGTCACGACTTCCGGTCACCAACCGTGCCTCCCACTAATCGATATATGTACTCACACTGACCTTAAGTTCACTGGTAAAACACGGGATCATGCGACTGATATTTAATTCTCTCGCATGCGTTTGTCGCATTGACTATTTACTACTATAAAAATCATGACTATGAAAAAAAATTCGTGCCCCTATGCCTCGAATAAAAGGCGTTTGGGTAGATCGATGACGAGGGTTGTTCAACTCTTGACATCAATTAAACGGAAGTGCAGTTTTTGCGCTGATTGAAATGATTGCGTTTTGAAAACAAACGTAATGGCATGCAAGGAAATTGACTCACGAGTGTAGATAATTTCAGGCCTCTCTGGCTCTTTTCTCCTTTGACCTGACGGCAACTTTTGATTCTCCACGTGCCATTTTTTCAAGCATTGTGGCTCGTGAATGGCTATACTAGTGGACCCGAAATCTTTGCCACATATGTAGCACGTGATCGTCTTCTTTTGTGTATTATCCTAAAATCAATTTTCTTCAAGTGACTATCAACTTTATCGACTAATGATACTCAAAAAATGTAAAAACGATGCACTTTTTATTCACAACAATGGACAAAAAATTTGCACATAAAATTTAACTCGTGTAACATGATATCTCGTGGATGATCGCATGGGAACGCTTATGCAAACTGAATGATATAAGCATGCCTTCCGACACGACTCACCCCCGTTGGGCTGCTTAAATTTTCTTGCACGATCATTATTTCTGATTTCTGTTGTCGGACCGTATCCTTTTTTCGTGACTGTGCCGCCTGTTTATTCTTTTCTACCTGCATTCGCTTTATGCATTGAGGCTCGTGTATTTTTATACTCTTCGTGCCGAAGTTTTTGCCACATGATTGACAAGTAACCATAGGAGGTCCTGTTCGTGACGTGTTCGGAGACTTTTCACTAAGTAAGCTTTCTATTTTCTCTGGTTCGATGTTCTACAGATTAAAAAGTTACATAAATACTAATAAGAAGTAAGTAATGTAGTGAATTATGTACATATCTATAAAAAATATATATATCAAGCATTCTATGAAAAAAATTAATGCTGAATGATCATTTTCACCTTTATAGAAGCTTTACAACTTTTCTGATGGACTGCTAATCGTGCCGGAAGAAACGTTCTTCCACATTTCGAGCAAGGAATCAATTGTGCCTGAAATGCAATTTGCCTTCGTCATTACCTTGCCCTGTGCGTCCATTTACGCTTTACAATTTATGGATTAACATTCCAGTCGACACGAAAATTTTCGAAGAAAGAAAGTTCTCCATGAAATCTTAAACTTAATGAGTCGCAATGCGGCTCTCAGTTTTTAGACCAAACATGCCGTTGCTCTTAAACAACATAGGCTGTGTGATAAATGTAGGGCAACACCTTGAACACGATAGGGCTGGGATATTACAGTGCGTGACATACTCTCTATGTGAAACCAGAGACATTACACACGGATTCCATTGAATGCGCTGGTATTTGTGTTTCTACATATGCATGAAGAACGTGCAAGGGTGAGCCTTAATGTCACTTTACTATTACATTTATTGTGATCGATTTACCCACTGAGCAACATGTTTCTCTATGAAAATATTTGCATACTTCAAATTAACATGAAATTTACTATTTTCTTTCTTTTCATCCTTATGTAAGGTAAGAAAATTTTTAAAAATAAAGCGCGAATATATAAAAAAAAGTAAAAGATAAAAATTTGGAATATAGATGAGCAATATATAATAAATAAAATTGATGTTATGCATTTTTGACCATCCATGACTTTTGTCCTTCATTCGTTATGACCACATTACAAGAAATGACGCAATAACATTACATCATCGTCTGGGAGAGACCAATCAGTTGTGACAACAAACGTAATAGTAAAGTGAGTCATTCTAACTCATCGAAGCGGTATTAGACAAATACGGAAGCGTTTAACAAAAACATTCAGGCAGCCTGAACTTTTTTGATAATTGATCAAACTAGATAAAATTTATTTAAGTTTAATCGATTTGACAAAAAGAAAACACTAGTTCAAGGACGCTACATTTACAAAATGTGAAGACCCATATTTAAGAAACTATTTAAATCACAGGATTATACCTGGCTTTCTTCCCATGCTGCTGCATTCCATTCCGAATGATTGATGGCAGTGTCGGGCCTCTGAGGTGTCGGACGTCTTTGGTTCACGGGCAAAGAATTATTTTCCCGTTCCCACTTCTAGCATCATTAATATTCATCAATTATTCGATCAGGTTATAACTTTATACATCATTGATGAATAGTGATCACGCTGACTGATAATTACACTAAATTATTTCCTTAAGAAAAATTTATAAATCTATCGTACGATCTTCTAGGAACAAATAATGTCTTCAGAGAAATTAATGCCGATTAATTTATACCAATGGTTTCTAACTTTCTTTACATACTTGTTATTTTTATTTTCAGAAGTTTATGTAAATATTATAACAAAAGTTCTAATGTTTCAGATGCCTGGCTTTTAATTAATAAAGAATTCATGAGACGTAATGAATATCAAATTGGAAATAGATATGAATTTTTAAATAATCTACTGTACAATATAGTGGATGCGATCTGTGATCTAATGTTCTTTCATAAATAGCCTAAGTCCACAGATATAGACTTAGTGGAGGTAGGTAGTGTGTAAAATCGAACAAAATGTATAGATATAGGTATTCATAAACTGCAGTTCACGTGTAAATTACACAACAGTAATCGCTTGCCAGTGTTTGACTATAGCAAATGAAAATGTACGTATGAATGTTGCTCATATCAACTAGATAGATATGATCGTGTACCTGTGTGCGTATCGATCTTGTAAAGGGCCTTGACGTATTACGTGTCTCTAGAGATATTCAATAATATTCATGCATCGTATTTCATATGATTATGAAAATGAATAATACATACAGTTCAAGTTCAATGTAAAATTGGATGCTCCTCTTGCAAAGACGCATCGGAGTAAAAATTGTATCTACTTATAAATAAAGTAAGCATGCGATTCATTTTTAACAATATAAATAGATCATGTAAATTTTAATTCAGCAAAATGAAACCTGACGCATCGATAAAACGACTTGAGGCTGAGTAAACACGTGATAGGGAAAATATTAGCATGAAAAACTACTTGTATCTTAAATGTGATAAGAAAAAAGTCGTAAGATTTAAAGGCACGAAAAAAATAAAAAATTAGAATCATGCATTCATTACTAACCTGCATGCACCTGGGCTCGTGGATAGGAAAGCTAGCAGTACCAAATTCCCGACCACATATGTCGGGAATAGTCCTTGGTCCCTTTTTAATTGGTGCTGACGAAGGTGTATTATTCGATGCATTAGATTGCTCGTGAAGATTGCTCGAATGATTCTGAGCAACTATTTCCTCCACTTTGTTTTTGTTCTTATCACTACGAAAATTCAGAGCAACAGGTTTCTGAACAGTCTTCGGTATTGTGGTCTTTGATTTCGAATTCGTAGGATTGTCCTTCGGCTTGAGTTGGCTACTTTTCGGATGACTGTGAAACCGCTCCGGTTGGTCTGGTTTTCCGCAGCTTTTACAAGGCTCCGGAGCGCTCTTTGTTGAAGAGGCTGTAAACACCTCCAGATCGTTTTGTACGATGGGTCTTGAACTCTTCTTCTTCAACGTCGACAAGGAAAGTATCTTATGGCTGGCTGTTCCATTTCTAATTAATAGATGAGTTTATCTTTATTTTTGATTTAATTTTACTTTATCTTTAGCTTTAAATTTATTTTGCTTTTCGAGATATTTCTCGCGTGATGATTTTTATCATTATTACAAGCAAATGTTCCTATACACTTTGATCTTTAAATTTTCACCAACCTATTGTTATTGTCATCCAGTTTTGTATTATCCAAACTCCTCTTCGTAGAAGCCGTATCCTGTCCATTTACGCGCGCTTGCTTCTGCATCTTGGATGATACCAGAGACACGTCGATGTGACCGAGCCTCGAGTCAAGAATTTGTTCGAAGCTATGTCGTTTGTGACGTATGGAAAAGGGAGCCCTGCACCACGTCGCCTCACCATTCGATGCTGGGTTATATTGTCGTTGTCGGTCGGCACCGATAATGTTTTGTCGGTACCTTGACGACGGAGGGAACGACGACGTACCCCCACTAATTGCTTTCGCCAAACGAAATCGCATTATCGAGTCAACAAGCAACTCCTTGCTGAGAAGAGACATGTCTAGCTTGTCGACGAGATCGGGATCTAGCACACTTGGTTTCTCGAGGTTTGCAGTCTTTGGTCTTTCCGGTTCGTTGTGCAGGGAAGCACCACGTTTCATCTTCGGTGGCCAGGTGCTTGTATCCGGTGTCTTTGATTTCCCTCGCTGCTTTCCTTTCTCTAGATCATTTCCGCGATATTAAATTTTCGAATATATAAAACACCAGATGACTGCTTTAAATGATGGCTTGGTGGTAAAAATCAATGAACGTTATAATATAGTATGTATAAAATGATCACTAGCTATGGATTGGTCAAGCCTAATAAACGAAACTATAATGTAGTATGACACATCATATTTAAAGTTCAAGGTAAATTCTATTTTTAAAACGGTACATTTTTGTATCCAGAATTAGAAATCTCTACTTCTACTGTTAATTTAGAAGATATTATTGCCTATATTTGTTCTCGTTTTTCAGTCTTATAGTTTCATTCGCATGAAAGAAAATACGTATATAAAATAAATCAATAACTGTATAGTTTTTTTAATGCTAACTAATTGAACACTTTTTTCCTATTATTTTTTTTTCTAAAATTTAGTTTGATACGTAAATTAAAATCTTTGTTTTGTAAATACGTATACGAAATGAAATTGAAATATTGTTTATTTTATTGTTTAATGAAAATATAATAATCTCTACTTACTTTCCAACATATTCAAATCGTCCTTAATCACTAAGAAAGTTTTCTCGGATAGAAACTCCGTCGGGCTCTTTTTCCATTTCATGATTTTTGTAGTTGACGCCGTGATTGTAATGAATAATCACTTTGAATTTACAAACAATTGGAAATATTACACGTTATTTCGATAGCACTGACATAAAAAGAAATTATAATTTTCATATAAATTTATCGCGTTTCAAGATAATAAAAAATATTGACAATACTAGAACACACTTGAATTTTCATCATTCTTTCAATCGAATACTAATAAAAATTTCTGTCTCTTCGACATTTATGGTTATCATAAATTGATTTGTCTTCAGTTTTTAAATTGTTCTTTCTCACTGTCAGTTCACTGAATTTAGTTTCCAACAAAATATTCATGATGTCACACAAATTATTGCGTAATTCTTTCCGATCCCCATAAAGAAATTTATAGTTCCAATGATATATTTACGTATGTATTTATCTACATAAATATCAACTCGGTCACACAATATAGGCACACCATCGAAAGTTGCACGTTTTCAAAATGATCGACAAAAGTAAAATCAGTAAATATATATATATATTCTACACACGAAACAATTGCGAATTTCTAAAATAAAACATAGATGCACATGTCTTCTTTTTTAATATTGCACAATGGACAGAGGTGTTACACAAACATTTTTTAAGCAACCAACAAAAATAACTACGTTAACTAGCTCACGGATCATTAAAACAGATTTTATCTTGTTTTCTTCAATCAAGAAACTTCATTGTATTGATTTGAATTGTGCGCGACTTTTGTGGAGGAAATTGAACGCGTAGCCCTTTGACAGCGAAACAGCCGGTACACTAAGCTTCAGTTTACCTTGCCATTGGCTACATATAGCTTTTACCTTTCGTATTGTAGTCGACTGTGTGAGAATACAGGTGGCTACGAAAATCGATCCAACAACTACTATTAAACAACTATACCGTTGTTCGTTTGTGTATGTTCACGTCGTTAGATGAAAGTTTGTTAAATACACTGACATTTTAAACATGGATACGTATAAAGATTTCGAGTATTGATGAGTAATGCTTCTTTTTTATTAATATGTCAAACGTTACTACCTTTTTATAATTTTTGCATTAGCATTTATTGAATTAATTAGTAAACTATATAGGCGGTAAAGTGAAACGTTTGCGTAATGCCCTCAATTTTGTAATAATATTTTATTTAATAACATGCGGGTACGTTTCACATAGAAAGTAATTGCTTTTAAGCAAATTGCGCAACTTCATTCATATATTGAAAATGTGGGTTTGTAATAGAATAAATCTATAAAAAGTAAATATCTTCTATTTACAATATATATATATATACACACACACACATATAATATTAATATATTATCGTCGGTATCGATAACGCTTGAAGTGAAACCACAACTGGAAAATGTTATTGTGGAATTGGCATCTAAATCCGCGTTTATATGAATATTCCCATTCTCTATTAACGATTTTAAATGCGATATCTTCATAAGGTGGGCCTGCATGAAATCGCAATATAGCGAAGTCTTTATTATCTGCACAAGGTGTCTGAAAATGATAACTTTTATTAATTAAATATTCGAATTATTAGCAATAGGTTAAAATTAGTTTAAAATACAATCTATCTCACCAAGAAATATTCAGGAGTTGTGTTTTTATCTATTAGATCTGGATAAAATATATTAAATTTGTATCCTTGAACGATTTTTGGTGGTGGATTATCCATATCATAATGAGTTTGATTATATTTATTCCATTCAAAACCGGTATGAACACGATTGAAATATCTTGGTTTTCTAGGCCTATATTTATCAGACCAGAGATAAATTTGTGCTTCTAAAGACGATTCGACGCTAAATTGTGCTTCGTCAGAACTCATATTCTTCCGTGCTTCTCTATGCATTGCTTGTTCTTCAACAGTCATAACATTCTGGATTTTCCGACCCGTACTAAGTACTTGATTTCTTGCATATTCTAATCGCTGATTGTCATCCTCTTCTAAAGTTACTAGAGTTCCTGGTTCAAGTTGAGAATAAGGTATATATTTTGGGGAATAGCCTCCTGATTCATATTCACAGAAAGACTCTGACAAAAGATCATCAGCTGCATTACTAACTTCTTGATCATCGCTGTAATATATAAAAAATATTTAAAATATAAATTTGTGAATTCTTCACATGCGCGTATATGGCAAAAATAACACATACTCTGACTGACTTTCTTCACTTTTTTCTGCAACTGCACTGGTGGTTTGTTCTTCTTGTTTTTCTGACTGCTCACCAACTGCTTGTGAACTTTCCGCTTCATTTTCCGTCCTAGCCACACCTTGTTCGGCAATTAAAACTTCCAATTTTTTACGCAAATTTTCTTGGTGTCGATCTCTTAACCGTGCTCTCGCCATATGCGCTGAGGGGAATAAATGGCTAGTACAAACGTGCGAGTTAAATAAGATAATTTAAAGTATATATAGATAATTTTTAACGCTTACCTTTGAGTTGGGATAAAAGACTTTCCCAATATCCTATATCAACACCTTCAGGTTTTCCTGTAATTTTTGCTTCAATTTGTAATTGCAAAGCTTCTAATTGCGCTGCTGTTTTTCCTTTAAAAATAGCAGTTACATCTTTAGCAACTGATTCATGTATTCCCTCTCTTCTACCAACAGCTGGAAGAATATACCAAATTTTTGAGGAAAGATAAAAAAAATTTCACTTAAACATGTAATAAAAAATACCTACCAACTTCATACTCTGATCTCTCTAATTTTCTTAATTTATGCAGTTCATCCTCAACAATTACTGTAATATCATTCCAATAATCTAAATTTTTTCCACGTTCCAATTCTTTATAAACCTTAATATCTTCAATGAGGTCTTCTAAATCCTTCACATGTAATCCACGCAAATAAGTGTAAGGCTCATGCATTTCCACAGCATCAACTTCTTCCTCTGCACTAATGTATTTAGCAAGAAGATCAATGGGTTTTGCACGACCATCTTGTATTCGAATACGTGATCTTAATCTCGCTTGCTCTAAATGAAACTGATCTTCTTGTCTTGCCCATTGTTCCAGTTGAGCAGCTTCTTTTCCTCTTTGTAGCATTGTCATCTCTTCCTCTCTTTGTTGCCTTTCTAATTCTCTCTCTTGCCTTCTTTTCTTAACTTTTTCTAATTCTCTTTTATTTTCTTCTTGTTTGTGTCTATTTCTAATTTCTAATTCTTCCCTGCTTACGCCAAGTAAGCCTTCTTTTTCAAGCTTTTTAGACCATACAAATGTGGAAAGTAAATTTCCATCACCAAATGGATTATCTGTATTTGTATAATGTAAATAATCATTGTCCCAACCCATTCTCTCTTTTCTTTTACGTTCTTTGGCTTCTTTCTTTTTTAAACGACGTAATCTTTTTTCTTCTGGTGTTTCTGTAGCTTTCATCAATTCTTTTTGACGTTTCCTGTCCTCAATTTGTTTCTGACGTTGTTTTTGAAGTTTTTCTAAGAGCTTTGTAGAATCTGATGAAGAATTAGATGAAGATGAATTGCTGGAATCACTTTGACTTGTTGATGATGATGAGGATGATGACCTAAAATAAGAGAAAATAGAAAATAATAATAATAAACTCTTAACTCATAACTTCAAAATCATTTGAAAGTGTTTACTAACCTTCTTCTGCTTTTATGTTTCGAAGAATTCTTTTTATGAGATTCACGCGATTCAAGGGAATCTCTGTGTCCAGATTTTTTATATTTTTGACTTGAACTTTTTGAATGTTTACGTCTTGATTTTGATCTCTTAGAATGGCTATCATAATCACTGTCACTGTTCCTACGTGAAATTCTGTCTTTATATTTACGCCGATCTTTATCATCTTTTTTAAATCTATCATAATCTTTTTTATGAGAATGCTTTTCCATTTTTTAATAAAAGTATAATTATTATATTTTTTCACAAAAGTTTGATTTTACTACTTTGACTTAACCTCAAAAAAAACACTCTTCCAATACATTGACCGCCATTACTGAATTTAAGACAGCTGATTCCGGTGTACTATACGTATATAATTTCCGTTTATATTTAATAAAATAATAATACACAATAAATATTATATATCTTTATAAATTTATAAAAATATAATAAATTAATAAAAATTGTTCGATTGTCACTTCTATTTCTTACGCGATCTGTTTTTTAATTAACTGTCAACGATTAGAGAGTAGTTTTGTCCACTTTTCTTGATGTTACATCCGTTAAACTTTCAAATTTGCGAGCATACGTTGTTGAAGGCAGGTTTTCGAAAATACTCGACTCTGATTGATAGTGTTTAGTGGTGAATTGACTCAAGAATTTGTGACAATTGATATTAAATCAATATGTCGAACAAGATGTATTACTCGGATAAATACTACGACGATAAATACGAATACAGGTTGGTATGAATAGCATCAGCATTAATGCCTTTCTTTAGATTTCGATTTTGCCCAATTGTGCCATTTTGAATCCTTTTGTTATATATACAAGTATCATTCTCTGATTATATATTCACACTGATGTTTTTTAACAATGCTGTTCGAAAATTTTCTTGTAACAAAGAACCTGCATTGTCACATTTTGTATGCTAATACTTAATTCGGTAGCTTTGTCAAATTTTTAGACGTAAATGTAACGTTTTGTTTAAATGGCCGCTTGGCCATGGTCATTTTGTTTGTTTTACTAGTTTCTTTAGTCTTAAATAATATTGAAATTGGAATTAAGAAAAGAGGTAGATAAAATATTAAATAATAGTAGTATAGTCGTGAAAATTGCATTATATCTATTGAATATAATTGATTATATTTATTGAAATACGTATATTTTTTAGTTAAATAAGAGTATTTTTTTATTTTCTAATTTGACACATTTCACATTGTACTATTATTTCCTTTTACATTATTATTTTAATTTAAATTTGTTTTAAGATAACTGTTTAGTAAAATTTATCGTTTAAAAAGTATATTAAAATATATTAAAAATATAGATTCTAACAAAGACATAATATTTTTAGTAACAGAGATATTACAAATATAATTCTTTTTATTAGACATGTAGTATTGCCAAAAGAAATGATTAAATTGGTTCCAACTACACATCTCCTTTCGGAACAAGAATGGAGAGCTATTGGTGTTCAACAAAGTCAAGGATGGGTTCATTACATGATTCATAAGCCAGGTATGCCAACTTGTTGAATTCTTCTTTTATATTATTTAAGTTTTGCTATCTTTTACTTTGAATTATGTTTACAGAATAAGTTTTTAATATAAAATTAATGTTTTAATTTCAGAACCTCATATTTTACTCTTTAAAAGGAAGATAACATCCCCACCACCAGAGAATTAACTGTACTGACAATATGTAACAATTTGTAAATAATGCACTAGATCACTAGTAATATCCATGAAATAATTCAGCAAACCATTCTATTAGCTTGAAAATTAATGTTAATACAATGACAAATTGATTCACATAAATTCACATTTAAAATTTATTGATTCTAAGAAACAGAGTGACAATTTTGTTTCTCCTAACTTCATTTGTGACGTATTCATTCATATAATCTGCTTGCCTGAACTTTTTCTTTCAAAATGTCATCTTAAAAAGTCAACAAAGGAATTCTGTATATATGTCTATAAACTCCCTTAGTTCTTAATTACAATTTAAATAGTACTTATATTTTGGATTTACCATAACAGCTTGGTATTTCATTTAATAAATAAAATCTGAGTATTTTGATTGTTTTCTGAAAATCATACTTCTATGGCAGAATTAATTATTCTGTTCAGGATTTTTTGAGTAAAGAAAATTGTCATAACTTGGTGATTAAAGTGCCTTAAATAAACGTGCTAATTATCAAGATATAATTTTAGTATAACTAAATATCTAAAGTGATCATTCCTTATGTTTAACAAGAATGATATAACAAAAGTGTGCGTTTAAATTTTCAACAATTGCATAGATATTAATTTGAAATTCAAATACTAGCAATTAAGTATTAAATTCTACATTATTTATTTTGTCGTGTTATCTTTTACATCAGTTAGAATTGCGCATATTATGTTTATTTTACATATAATGTTACTCAGAATTAGCTCCCTATGTATTTTTTTCAACGTTGTATCAGTATGTATAAGAAGTAATTTTTATGTCTAAGTATTAAATGACTCATTTATTTTTAACAAATTTCTTTCTTGAATAAACGTTTGTAACAAATACATATTAGTTGTTATTTTACAATAATTTTATATATTAATAATAAGTTTCTACACAATAATTTTATATATTAATACGAGAATTTATAATAAAATAATTTTTAATAGAGAATTACACAACGAAATTGTGTTGATACAAATTACGTATTTCTTAATTTGCATTCTTGAATGATAAAAAAGAGCGAAACAAATTTAGCCGAATATATGAGAAAGGAGGGGCAGAATAATTAAAACAATCACGTGACTGACCTCAATCCAATTATACAAACATCATCATCCCTAGCGGTCAAGTAATTCTCACACTAATTTTTGTAAATTGTACATTAATTAAATCATCGTTGACAAACTGGCATATTGCATGCTACAGTTCGTTTCACTTTCATTACATAATTTCGTTACCATTTGTAATAAGGAAGCAAGCGATTAGCAAACTCCGTCAAGATTAGAAAAGAAACTTTTATTCGTATGCTATGTATAATTGTACCAAGTAACCGAATGTAACATTTAGGAGTCGACTGAAACAATTCTACAGTCATATGTTTATTACGAAACGTAAAATATCAAACCAAGTGTCTGTCCAAAAAAACACCGCGTATTTTTATCCTTAAAAAGTGTAACATTTAGGAGTCGACTGAAACAATTCTACAGTCATATGTTTATTACGAAACGTAAAATATCAAACCAAGTGTCTGTCCAAAAAAACACCGCGTATTTTTATCCTTAAAAAGTGTAACATTTAGGAGTCGACTGAAACAATTCTACAGTCATATGTTTATTACGAAACGTAAAATATCAAACCAAGTGTCTGTCCAAAAAAACACCGCGTATTTTTATCCTTAAAAAGTTTCGCAATACTAGTGATTTAACTTAACGCGTGTGCCAATTATCGAACTGTCTGCTATATAAGGTATAGCCATTCATTCAAGTTTCGAATACGTGTGTTTACTGGCCGAGAGACACGCGGTTTCGTAAACCGCGTGTATGTTCGTGCGCGTGCGAACACGCGTTCGTCGTAGGATCCCGGCTACATGGCAAAGGTACATACATAAGAAAAACGACGAAGAGGGAGGACAGCGTTCGGAGATCGGTGAAAGGGGGCAAAAGAATGGCGGGATACAGAGAAAGAGAAAAACACAGCGAGAGAAAGAGAGACAGAACACCGAAAGCAAAGGGTGATGGAGAGGGAAAGAGATAGTTGATTTCTGACGCACACATGTTGCGTTCGTACGATGCGAAGGGCTCTTGTTCTCATGGGTACACCCGGCACTCCACGAGAACAGAGCGCACCGATAGTACGACGTTCGCGCTCGCGGGAAGAACAACTTTTCGCGTACTCGAAATTGAAACGTGCTCGGCAACTCGATTCAAAAATTAGCACGCGCGCAGCGTGATTCGATCGCATTGTTGCGCGCACTGTTTCTTCCATCAATCGATCATCGATTTGATTCGTCGGGTAAGTCTTTTTTTTTTTTTTTCCTTCTTTTAGCAAATCTACAAAGCGAATATTTACAAAATATATGTAACATACAATTTCCGAGAAAGTGAAAGGCTTTCGAAGTTGAAAATTTGAATGGAAAGAAAGAAATCATTGCAATTCAACGATACGACAGATCTCGAAGAATCTAATTGCGATAATTTCGTTCTTTTATCGTGGAGGCAAATATTCGAACAGAAATGTGACAGAAATCAAAAGGTAAACAATGTCGCGTCGCGACGCACTCGTCTTTGCCATGACTGTAATTATGATCTTTTGTAACTTTTCTCATTGCGTATTGTTAGATGTATTTACTCTGCTAATAAGAAGGGTCGAACGACTTGATACAGTGGATGTCTCGCGTTTGTGATAGTCCACGAATGCATGACAGAGAAGTTGGAATTGATCGTGCAAAAATATGGCCAACCAAATTTTTTATTTCAAGATTGCTTCAAAATGCGTTGTATGTCAAAAAAAAAAAAAAAGAAAGATACATATTTAAACAAACAAAGCAAAATGTATCTTTAAAAAACAGTCTGTGGGAAATTACAAGTAATTACTACGATATAACAAGCTTTTTGCAAGCATTTCATTTCGCACATAATCTTTCTTGTTTTCTTTTCTTCAATACGTAACATCAGTGTTATCTATGCATTGAATATATAGCCTTACTCATAGATACGCACAGTGAATCCATTACTATACTTCTTTGTTCATTTGATGAATAATAAATCAAGTGTGTTTCAAATTTTTAGAATGGCGCGCGCTCCTCGTCGAACGATCACTATTGCCGTGCACAGTTTAAACAAGAATAGCACGTGTATTTGGTTCCTGTCGTCTACTTTCATTTGCCCTCGCCCGGGGGCACACGTAAATTGAATCTTCAATCGGACTTAATAATAATCATGTTAATACGAGATCAATTTCGATCACATTTCTCCTCTACTCTTCTTTTTCTCTTTCTCGTATATACGAGACCAGCGTAAAAGGTCTTGCGCCGCGCGAAAATGAGAAACAATGACAAATTTTTCTGCGATATACAATTTTGTTAGTAGATGGAACGCAAAGGCAGATTTCCAGGACAGTTTGAACCGGTTAATACCAGTTTCTGCGAGATATACATACATGTCACGTATATATAGCACAGACGAGAAAATTCGTTGTCTCAATTTATATTTTTTAACGTTAATTAATTCTATCGATCGAACACTTTTTTAACATAAACGTACATGCACTTTTTACAGTAAATTTCGATAGATTTAATTACGCGATTTACTGCGGTTTTTTTATGACAGGAGTATTTGATACCGGATGCTGCGGAATTAGGAAATAAATACGAACTCAACACCGTGTACTTTAGGATTAATTGATGCTGTCAGATAATGGATGTGCATGCATGAGAGGTGTCGTGAGCAATATTTAAATGGGCAGTTAACATTTATGAATATTTCATACCGTTTATGTTATATAATATGTTATATTATGCATCATCCAATATGATGTTTTGTACGCAGGATCAACGAAGTCTCGTAAGACGTCTTGATGATTGTTTTCCTGTTCACTTTCGCAATTATGTAGATAAATACACGTTTTGTAGTTACATTCCATCGATAGAATATTTTGTACGATCAAGGACACGATCGCAATACCATAACAATATCGATTCCAAAATTATTGTTTGGTATGTTTCAACGGTAGTAAAAACAATTTAACGTTGCAAAAAATATTTTAATTCACTCTGCAATCCTAAGTAAGCCAAGCCATCAGTTAAAAACTTAAGGAAATTGATTGTTTGCGAGCGACAACAAAAATAATGGAGAATGTAAATAAGTTAATTGCATTGTGGGACAATACCTCGCGCAGGATAGATACTGTAATTACGGTAGTAGAGTAATAGGGGCACGGAGCATCGTCGCGTTTAGAGAGGCTTATCAATACAAAATTAATCAGTCTGTTAATTATTTGAAGAATCTCAACCTGCGTTGGTTGTTTGCGAACCTCACGAGTCAACTTTTAAATCTGGAACTCTCTGCTTTGACAGTATCTTATATTTATCCATTGCTTCACTCTCACACGTCAACCTTATCACGGTCTTCCACACATGTGCAAATATTTTAATGTAGTCACAGTTGCAAGATTAACATTATATTACAACAGACTGACATAAAAAGATAAGACTGTAATTAGGGTGCTATCTCTGTGCTATGTATATATCAATTCAATATTTCGTATATCGTGCCTGAGGCAATGTCTTATTAGTCTTGCTAGTATCTGAGAATTATTGTGTTGGTTTTAGTCGATTCTCGATATAAATTGATTTTAATCAGTTTCATTCTATTAAGTCATAGTACAAAAAAAAAGACATCGTTGCTTCTTTTCTAGGGTTGAAAAAACGACGATGGCTCATCCGAAAAAATGGAGGAGTTGCATGTCAGAAAACATGCTGACGATGCTTACAGTACTTGCTGTAGTGGCAGGATCCATTCTGGGATTCATCTTAAGGAACGTCAAAGAGGAATCGTGGACAAAGCGCGAGATCATGTACATTCAATTTCCAGGAGACATATTCCTCCGGATGTTAAAAGCACTTATATTACCATTAATCGTCGCTAGCATCGTTAGCGCTATTGGCGGTTTAGATCTTAATTTATCTGGTAATTGAAAAAAAGCATGCATATGTATTTTGCAAAAAAAAAAATTTTAAAAGATCGATTCTTCGTAACGGATGGATCGCGTGGGCGAATTACCAGTATTTTCTGGTAGAACTTAGTTCAACCAGAGATAAAACAATTTTGATAGTAAATGTTCATTCTTTATCTTGTTTAACTCGTAAGCATTAATGATTTGAGAAGAAGCAGAATCAGAAATACAATCAAATACGAACCAGCATTCGTTCGTTCGTATTTCGTTTTTCATTGTTCGAACAATTTAAAATTGATTAATTCATTTCACGACAATAATTACGGTCATACTTGCATTTTGTAAAAATTTTGAAATGTATTCAATTTATAGGAAGGATTGGTATACGATCAATTTATTATTATGCATCAACGACGATATCTGCTGTGATTCTCGGTATAATTTTGGTCTTGATTATTAGACCTGGAGAATACAGTGCGAGTGGTATGGTTGCAAACGATAATATAAAGCCAACTAGAGATATTACAACCACAGATACAATATTAGATTTAATCAGGTATATATAGCAATAAAATATTTTCATTAGAATGAGGTTCCGATCTTTTTGCAAAATTTTATTTTCAGGAATGTATTTCCACCGAATCTCGTACAAGCGTGTATTGCTCAGGTAAATCAACTTTGTTATAAATATTATTAATTGATATTGTGCAATAAAAATTTGTTAATTTTAATTCTTTTGATAAAATTAATTAACATTGTGTTTTAGTATCGCACGATACTAATAGAGCCTGAAAATAAAACAGGGGGTAAATATTACATTTAAGGTGAATTTGTTTATATTCATTATTTACGTACCTTATAAATAATTCAATAATTTTTTTTTAGTGACTATACAAGACTGGGAGATATCTCATAAATATGGAGATGGTACAAATACTTTGGGCTTAGTTATATTCAGCATTGTGTTTGGAATAGCTCTTAGTAAAATGGGTGAACAAGGGAAACCTCTCTTATCTTTCTTTGACACTTTATCTGAAGCATCAATGCTTATTACTAGATGGGTTATATGGTAAACAAATGACATAATATATTATTTATTTACTAGTTTAAGCTGTATGAAATGTATTCAAATATTTTATTTCTTTATAGGACATCTCCAATTGGTGTGCTCTTTCTTGTTACCTCAAAGCTCTTAGAAATTGATGATATTGGTGCCATTGCTGGACAATTAAGTTTATATTTCATTACAGTATTATTAGGTTTGTTTATCCATGGTCTAGGAACACTCTCTCTTATATTTTTCATTTGCACTAAAAAGTTGCCATTTAAAATGATGGGCAAGATGACTCAAGTTTTAGCCACAGCATTTGGTACCTCATCGAGGTAAATTGCAGAATAATAATTGTAAAAACTAATTCTAGAGAATGTACTAGAAAAAGCTTGGGATTTATGAATTTATTTTTGTGAATACAGCACAGCCACACTTCCAGTAACGATACAATGTCTGGATAATATGGGTGTCGATCCGAGAATTACGAGATTTGTTGTTCCAATTGGTGCTACTATTAACATGGATGGAACTGCATTATACGAGGCAGTCGCTGCAATTTTTATAGCTCAAGTTAGAAGAGTTCCATTGTCTCTTGGCAATGTCATTGGTGTTAGGTAATTGTTACATTAAATAAATTGAATTTTTTAATTTAAAATTTTGATAACTTTGATGGGTTAATATATTTTTATAGTATAACGGCAACTGCTGCAAGTATTGGAGCTGCTGGTATTCCACAAGCTGGTCTTGTTACAATGGTTATGGTATTGGATACCGTAGGATTACCTGCTGAAGATGTAACACTTATCATTGCTGTAGATTGGCTCCTGTGAGTTATCCGTAGTAGCAGCAAATAATTCGTATTACAAATAATACATTCATTTATAGGGATCGTTTCCGAACAACGATAAACGTTGTATGCGATGCACTTGGAGCTTATGTAGTTGAACATTTAAGTAAAAAAGAACTTGAAGCAAGCGCGAATCTCCAGGAGGAAACAATCGAACTCGCCAGAGTGAGGAAAACAGAAGCATAATTTTATAGCTTTCTTGTTACAAATTTTCCACGATATTATACGAACACAATTTTATTGTGTTCATGACATTTTTTATTTTACTTTATAGTCAATAATTTGTACTAATATATATGTTGACTCTAATTTTTATTTATATGATAATCTATATATAATTATGTAATTTTATTTATATGATAATCTATATATAATTATGTAATTACTAAGTATTTTAATTAACAGAATGTTGTTAAATACTTAAAAAAAAAAAAAAACTATTACTGTTGCATACTTAAAGAAAAAAAGTGATTGAACATTAATGTACTTTAAAAGAGCTAATCTTGACTTATTTATATTCATAAATATATTAAATACATAGTTATTGTTTTTTATTTTTAAAAAATATTTTATTGTAATTACTTTTCTGCGCGAAATTTAAAATATTACAGAATATTAAAACATTCCACATATTTGTAGAATATAACAAATATAAAAATGATGTTTAATACTGTTTCATTATATTTCACTTCTGTACATATATATTTATTGTAGACTTTATTAATATAATAAAATATAATTGTAATTATGAGAGTTCAAAAATATACTTTTTGAATTCTTTTTATAATTTCATGTGTGAATTTTCTTAAAATTTGTTGTTTAATTATATCTTTAAAAATGTAATTATTTAATTATATACATATATTTTGAAAATAGTAAAAATTTGTGTTTACTTTCTCAAAGCAATGTATTTAAAAGAACTTGACACCTTGATTATCATCAAATAAAATTAGCTCTGCTTTCTTATTTGCTTCTAGTGTTTTAAGTGCTCTGATTAATACTTCTGTATCAAGTCCATAAAATTCTAAAAATAAAAAGCGTTTATTTTAGATAATAATTTTGTTTAATATTTATCTTAAATACAATTGTGTTATAAAATTACATACCTTGATGTGTTGTGTCTTCTCCTTGTGTTAATTCAAATAAAGTACATACAGAACCTATAAATCCATTATCTTGTGCCCAGTTATAAATAATTTCACCCCATTCTTCCAAAGTGTGCCAATAAATTAGCCATCTTTGTTTTGTTTTATCTAGTGGACTTGCATTTCCTGATTTTGCTAATTCTTCCAATATTAATAAGATAGCCTCCGATGATAATTTGCCTTTGATGTATTAAGGAATAAATTTATAAATAAGTAATAAATTTGTCATTTTACCATTATCTTGTCTAAAAAGGATACGATTAATTGCAGAATTATTAAATAATGGGCTTGAATGAACTTCTCTTATATCTACAATAGCTTGTTTTGTGATACGATAATATTCTAGTATTAAGCTTTTCCATGCTGCTAATTGTTTAGCTCTAGTATCTGAATGAGGTTGAAGTCTGAAAAAAAAAAATCAAATATTAATGATTACATTTATAATTGCGAATAATATTGCTCGTGTTTATGTAAATATTCTCATTATTAATAAACGAATTTCTTAATTTCATAAAAAAAATACAAAATTTTCATCAAATTTTTAAATCTGAAATGTGTCAGAAGTTAAATCACAATTTAAAATACAAAATCAACCTAACCTATTAACACTTACGTAAAAAATGGAGGAAAACTGTACTGCCATGGCCATTCAATTTCTGCCATTATTATTAAGCTATCAAAAAATTTATACGACGATACAAGTAGTGTTATACCTTTGAAATATTCTTCATAGCATTAAAACATATTTCAACAGGAAAAAGTATTTATGAACATGACATCATCCGAATCTGACTGTGTAGTTGATTGATTATCTTATCATTCTGAAATTGTTTGCTTAGAATTAAAATATTAAGTTATCAAAAAAATGAATTAGTTATAAAACAGAAAATAAATGTAAAAAAGTAAATACTAATTAACAAAATTTGCAAATGATATTTTGCATTTATTTAACAATAAATTCATACAAACAATGTAAATATATGTATATCAATATATGTGTCAAATGTATCAAATACATTTTTTTTTATTAATTATAAATTTAGTCTATGGATATCAATTATTGGTGTGTATTTAAATTATTATAAATAATTATGTACTGATTTTGATAATACACTCCATCATTTTCAAAATCTCTGTATGGTCTTAAACTAGAAAATGGATTTCTTCCAAAATATGTATACTTCACATGATTGTTTAAAATTTCATTGAGTCTGATTTGTTCTTTCTTTGCTTCAGTTGAAATATAAGATGTTAGAATCAATGGGCAATTTTGTACAGCTACTATCTCTAAAGATTGTCTCCACGAATAATTTTCAGATTTAAAATCTTCACACTCATGTATTCCTGCATTATATCCAATAATAAAATGTGGTTTTACATATGAATCATTGTTTGTATAGTTGTCATAAAACATGCTACATATTTGAATTGAACATTTTTTGTTGTTATATTGACATTCCTTACACAGATTTATTAATACGGAATCTACATATAATTCAGGTCCTATAAAAAAAATTTTAATGCTTGTTATATGTGGTAACCAATGTAATAAAATTTCCCAAAGTTCTATACCATCAATATCTATCATATTGGCTGCAATAACATGAACAATGATACTATTACCATTCAAAAGATATTGTAATTTTTCTATCGCATAAAGAAATGTTAAAGGTCGTGTAAGATATTCTGAATTAATCATTGTTCCTTCTACCATTGATATCTGTGAAGCCTTCTGTGGCTCAATATAAGAATTTATGAAGTCCTGCATGTTTCGTGGCAAATGTACGTAATTTATATGATATGGTATTTTAATTTCTGGTATCTTTCTTTTGTTTGTTATTGAGATTACATCTAGATTAAAACATAATTTTATTAGATTACAATACTTCTTATGTACAATATCATCCTTGTGATTTGTGCAAAAACTAGCATTTGGGCAATTGGGACAATTTTCAAGAACTTTTGCATTTGGATCATGACATCTAACACATAATCTAAGGAATTTAAACATTTGTTCTTCATAGTATTCTAATTTTCTATTAATCTTTATTGCTACTAGTAACATGAAATTCATTTTCATTTGAACGCAAGTTTCGGAGTTAACATGCTGTTTGTCATTTAAAAAATTTGAAAGCGTGTTGTCTTCTAAAACACTGCGTATTGCATTGCATAAATCTTTGTGCTGTGGCCAATGTAGTTTTTGGTGTTCCTTGGAACAATAGGAGATCATGGCGCAATTACCACATCTTTTTAAAGAGATTTCTCCGCTAAATTTTTTACAAACGTGGCATGCATTTGCGTAAAAGAAATAGTTATACTTGGGTAGCATTTCACGTGCAAAATTTTATATAAAAATGTACAAATACAGAGAATAAAAAGTCTTAAAACGTAATAAAAATGGTTTTCTTTTTTCGTATAGAGTGGCGATGCATGCGATTAAGTATCATTTTGCACAAAATTTCTCTCGATCGTTTAATCATTATGTATCTCTCACATTTTATGTAAGAGATCATGTAAGATTTACAATACTTAGAAAGATATACTTGATTTATAAATATGTCATACACTATATTATTTCTGAATAAATGGAAACACTTCACTGATAGTTTATTTGTTATATTCGTTTTAATGAATGCAACATTGCGTACAGTCAGATCTTACTATGTAATAAACAAACTTTCGATGTAGAACCGATAGAAGCAATAGTATTGCCATCTGCAGTGCGAAATTTAGACTTCTAGTGCACTTAAATATTTACTATTTGTTTTTAAATGTTTAGTGGTTGAAGGACGAGGTGAAAATTAACAAAATGCAGACTCACTGAATTGAATGTGAAAGAAATTATATATTATTATATTACTATATTTATAGTTTAAGGTAGAATTTAATAAAACGTACCGTATTGGATAGTTCTAACCTTAAAATTGTGTTGTCCAATAAGAAATGTCATAAATGGTATTTGGCAATATAACTTCTCGAATTTTCATAAGAAATATTTTAAATATTATAAGTTGTAATGTGATCTATCCACAACTATTTTTGAAACTAATGAAATATTTCATTGTCTTTAATGTTTATCGAAATAGGGTTATCAAATAAATACGTACAACGTCTCGATTTGTAATAATTGTTCTCTACGATTGACGCAATGTAATACATATAATGTAATGATGATTGTTCTTAAATGATTAATGCAATTATTGCTATGATAGATTGTTTATACTTTTATTACCCTTTTTCTACTTTTCAATAATGTTCTATTGTTTATTAAATTGTCTACTGTTCTAATGTTTGTTGTTTTCTTTTCAGAATTGTTGAAAATATGATTACTTTGAGAGGGAAATTAAAAAAGGACAATGACATAGCAAACTCAAAAAACCGAGATTATAATAAACGCGCGTCAGTCCGTGATAAGCTGTTAATAAAAGAAGTATGAAATTTCTTTAAAATTGTTAAGAATACTGTAACTATTTATTTTAGTTTCTCCTTTTAGGTTCAAGAAATGCAACAAACTTTACCAAGTACGTGTCAAGTGAAATTTCAAGATCCCGACTGTTTGCATGAATTCATTCTCTTGATTGTTCCTGATGAAGGATATTGGATTGGAGGTAGATTTCATTTTCAAATATATATTCCTGAAGAATATAATATGGCTGTGAGTATGTTGAAAAATTGAAATTTTATTTGAAAATTTGTGATCAGTGCAATATTAACAAAATTATTTCAGCCACCAAAAGTTAAGTGCTTAACAAAATTATGGCATCCTAACATTAGTGAGGATGGTAATGTATGCCTTTCGATTTTGAGGCAAAGTAGTATAGATGAGATGGGATGGGCACCAACTCGTAAACTTAAAGATGTTGTATGGGGTTTGAATTCACTTTTCACTGTACGTTCAAATATTCTTGCTGAAAATTTTTTTAAGATTATATTAATTAATCATGTTATTTCTAGGATCTTTTAAATTTCGATGATCCTTTGAATCGAGAAGCAGCTGATCTATTTATAAAAGATAAAGAGTCCTTTCGAAGTAAAGTCAAAGATTATGTCATGCAATATGCAAAAAGATGATTCACATCAGTGGGTAATGCTATAAAAATGTAATTGCACATTTATGGAATTAGTTTTTTTATTTTGATGAAAACTTCAAGTTTGATTAAAAAGTACTTTCTCAAATTAATACCAAACAATTTGTATTTAATTATTATTTGCCAACTAGTCTTCTTATTCTAGGAAGATTGTATTTGTTATCTTTAAATTCGTTAATCAGACGCAGCTTGAATGATGCTTCATTGCAGTTAAATTTGTGTAATTAATGATACAGGGAATGAGAACAGAGGACATGTCATCTGTACAATATACTTATCCTTTTTATAGAGTATTGTAATGACTGATCATAATTTGTAAATAAAGTCGATATTTAATAATAAAGTTTGCTTTAATTATTTAGCATTTATTGGCGAATATAATCATCATTTTGTACAATTTAAGAGAATTTGGTTTGTACCTTGATTTGTTAAAATGTGATTTTATCTTACAATCGATCGGTCGATTCTTCCTTTCTTACTCGTAAGAGTAACGATATGAGCAGATGGTGATATTTCGTTAAAATAATTAAACGTAACAAATAAATAATAACAAAAAAGAGGACAAGGAAAGAAGGTTCTTACATTTCGATATTATCCCCCTTTTTTTAATTGCTCTTCCTTGTTTTTTAAGAGACTGACTAGATGCGTACATGAAATCTTATAATCACGTAAAGAAAATTGGAAAATCGCGTTACTTAATAGTATTTTATTCGTTAGAACGTGGTGAGCAGTTCTTCTTGTATGCTAGTCGATCTAATAAGTTTTTGAGTGGAACCTAACAGGCTTTCACTTGCTAGGCTTTGGTTTTCAGATGCTATTTTCGATTTCTCTTCGTGATATTCTTCGCTATATTCTTTCAGTCTGTTGCTTAAGAACACAGCTCTCTCGCGTTTCTTGATCATAAAATCTGATAACTGTAGCCATCTGTGTTCGTGACACTCTTCTACCATTGGTCTTTTACTAAAATCAAAGTCAAATGTAGAAAAACTTCCATTTATATAATAAAAATGAAACAGGAAATACAAACCTTGGTGCCCGTTTAAAGACCAACATAAGGAATCTAGTAGCCTCCTGACTTAATTCCTTGTACAAATGTTCGAATCGATATCTCACAAACAAGATGTTCTGTCTCGTCTCATCAGGATCGTTGCCACGGAACGGTGAAACACCGGAGAGCAGCACGTACATAAGTACACCAACCATCCAAATGTCTGTTTGAGGATGAGCCGCTTCCTCGTTGTATACCTCTGGTGCTCTATACTCGGGATGGCCAGCTTTCGGTACTAACGTACCCAATTTACTAACAAGTCGAGCAGAACCCATGTCAACCAGTTTCACTTGGACCGATCTGACATTGGACATCACTATATTGTCAGGTTGAATATCAAGATGACAATATCCTCGCCAGTGAAGATATTGCAAACCGTCTAGGATTTGTGTCATGGCAATTGCCACGCAATTTTCCGTGTATTCGTGTTTACTAGAGAAATATGTGAGAATATCAGCTCCCTGAAGCTTTTCTAAAATGAACACTGCAATTGGAGAACCTTGTGCTTTGTACGCTGCCTCCAACAACCCTATCCTCTCATGTCTCAACGAACGAAGAGCCTCAAACTCCCTGTTCACTTGCTTTTCCGTTTGCGAATTCAGCTCCAAAATCTTGGCGACTATCACACGGTCTGAGCTCTTGTCAACACCCTTTAATACAACGGAGAACTGGCCTCTGTATATTTCAGAGATGAAACTATACTTGTTGGAAAGATTCGTGTCAGTCGACCACTCGATAGGATGCTCTTCGATGGAGTAATCCATATGTGGCTTGTCTTCATCGAGCGTTATTTCTTGACCTGACTCGGTCAGTTCCTGGAGGTGCCTCATTGCTCGTGTGATCTGAACCTTCGGACATCCTGGTAGTTTAGTCTTGATAAGATTCGATTGGATACCCTTCTCACTCCAACCGATGCGATTCCGCGCTGCTAAACGGAAGTTATAGCTCGTGTCCGGTTTCAAGTTTCTTATTAGATAGAACTCGTGATCGATGTTTGAAGCAATGTCTATCCAATCCACCGAGTCACCTTCTTTATACTGGAGATTGTAACACAATACTGGCGAGTTGCCATCGCGCTTAGGTTGCTTCCATCGTACGAGTATTTCTGTATCAGAGACGTCAGCGGCCTGAAATACAATTTATCCGTATTTATATCTTGTAAATATTTTCATTTCAATTTTTTAATGCAACGTCAAAAGTCTATAAAACAAAATTTTCGCGTACCTCAGGAGAATCTGGACCCGAAGGAACTTCAGCTTCTACTAATCTTGCTCTGATAGCGGTCTGCCCAAGGGAGTTTCTGGCGACAACCTTGTAGCTGCCAACATCGTGTTCCTTTGTCGGATTAAAGCTAAGTATAGATCTGCCATCTTCATCCTCGGTGATCTTTACTCTGTTGCTCTCTTGAATCATCAAGTCGTTTTTGTACCACTGAATCACTGGTTTAGGCTTCCCAACAGCCAGACAAGCCAGATAAGCAGGTTTCCCCTCTTCGATGGGTTTGATTTGCGGCTTTTCACGGAAGAATGGCAGGTGTCCTTCTTTCTTCGACTCTATCATTGCCTCTGCCTCGGCGTAACTGTCCAATCGAGTGCCCAATTCGTGTTTCAAACGTCTCAGAGTGAAGGTATCCGGTGAACCATATCTACTGATCCTTGCTCGCCTTTCGTCGTCGATTTCTTCGTCCATAATATCCGTGAAGCGACGACGTTCTCTTATAATAGGCGCCTAAAGCAGGCATTATCGTGTGATAAACATTCGAATTTACAGTGTAAGACTTGAGTACAATTTTGAATTACCCTCCAGTCGAAGTTATCCTCGGCGATGTTACGAGAGAATCCAGGACTGCGATTGCATGCAACCTTCATGTATTCGCGTAAACGCACAGGGAAGTCTGTGTCACGTAATTGAAGAAGATAGGTGTCCGGACCATTTTGATAGCTGTATAAAAATTTCATATTCTTAATTTATTTCATTACTCTCACGACTTTCTATCAGTGTCATATACTCACTGGCTCTCGCTCTTAATGATTCCAATCTCCGTATCAAGCGGTTCCCCGTAAGAAATTTGATCTTCCCAAGGCTTAACCGGAGGCCTCTTTATCGGTGTGTACGGTCTTTCCTCAGGCTCGGGGGTGTATTTATGAGCAGGTGGATAGATCATTTTGGAGGGATGTTCGAAGGCTGTGTTCAATTTGCGTCTGCGGAACCACGTGCGGCAGGAAGCGTTGTTGTACCAGTCGCTGAGAAAAACATTTTCACACTTATCATGTCGGGACAAAAAAAGAAGAATTTTTTCTTTGATGACTTTGTAATATTATTAAGATAACCAATTACTAACCGATATAGTTTGTAATAATTCTTCAAGTTCTCCGACGGAATCTTATACAAATCAAGCGGAGATCTGTCAGCGTAGTTCAACCAAGGATGCTTAAGGGCAGCTGCGACGTCCATTCTTCTGTCAACGTTGTACAGTAACAGAGAACGAATAAAATCTTTGGCTTCCTCCGAGATGTTTTTCCAACGATCATCAAACTCCCAGTGTCCTTTCCTGACCTTCAGTATCGTCTCCATGTCGTTGTTACCTCTGAATGGTGAAATTCCAGAAAGAAGGATGTACGTAATAATACCAACGGACCACATATCTGCACCGAAGGACACCCCCTCGTTGTTGGTAACTTCCGGCGCCACGTATTCGGGCATACCATATGTCAAGGTCATTAATTTCGACGACACGATTTTCCTGGTAAGGCCAAAATCGCAGATCTTCAGATCGTCACCTCCTGTGTGTGAGATCAAGAGATCTCCAAGCTGTAAGAAAAATTTATAAAATAAGAGATGTATCAATTAATATTATTAACAACTATATATCTCTGTAATTAATACAAGTTAAACGAATCGTTCTGCATGAAGGTTTATTGCAATAAAAATTCACCGTTAAGCCAAGATGAGCAAAATAATTATTGTGCATGTAGCCCAATCCCGATAGCAACTGCCTAATGTAACCAGCAATTTCTGCTTCAGTGTAGTAAGCCTGTTTCGTTAAAGTATCTACTAGCTCACCGCCAGCAGCTCTGTTTTTATCAGTTAAGAAATGTTTCTCAATTTGAAAGATTACTCTAGTACTTTTTTGTTTAAAGGAAAGAAACAATTAATAGATCATCTGTCAAAGGATACAGTTCTATGATTAGCGTGACAGATTTATCAGTCTCATAGGCGTCGTGCAGTCTCAATAATTTCCTATGGTTCAAACAGTTCATCATTTCTATCTCGTTGTACATGTACGGCCTGAGCTCTCCTTTTCCATGCATAACTTTAGCCGCGTAATTCTTTCCGGTGCTTCTTTCTACAGCGTGGTAAGTGACACCTTGAGTGCCACGACCAAGCTCGTCACCAAGATCGTAGAGGTCGTCGAGAAGCTTGTCGTGACGAGGTCTAATGTCCGACTTCCTTCTGTACGTTCTGTATCCGTATTCCTGCTCGTTCTCCTCCACGTGCAACATCACGGAACAAGATATGCATCCGGCTACGTTCCTCGCGCTCACTGAGTATAAACCTTCGTCCTTTGCGATGGCGTCACTGATGATCAGAAGCGTTGTGTCTGGCTCTACAAACTCGATCTGGAATTAATTGTAACTTAATCTTATTCATCCTAATCTAAGATTGTTAGATTTTTGGAAATGACACCGTCGTAAATAACTTGCCCTTATTCTCGAAGAGGTGGTAAGAGGTTTCCAATCCTTGTACCACTTGATCTCCGGATAAGGCACGCCGCTGATCTTAGCCATCAGTTGTCCAACTTTCCTGATCATAACAATAGTTTCTTCCGGCCTCTGAATGAACGTCGGATACTCGGCAATTCGCAGCCGAACTCGTTGTCTGGCTTCACCGTGCTCGTTAGTCGCGACAGCTTCGTACATTCCTTCGTCTCTTTCGAGCATTCTGTTGATGAACAAGGTAGCTTGCCCGTTTCTTGTGTAACTCTGATCGTACCTTCCACCAGACTCAATCAGTTGATCGTTGAAATAATACGTCATCTTCGGCTTTGGATAACCATAAACGAACCAGAACAGATTGCAATTGTGATTCTTCACGCCATATTGGGTGTCGTGTTCTTGACGAAGGAATCTAGGGGCTTGTGCATAATTGTCGTGAGGTGGTCTCTCGATGTCGAAGTCCTTGGGGAAGTAGGGGCTGGTCTCCGGACGGAAGTCGATACCAGGTGGCAAGTAAGGGAAGAATTTCGGTGGTTCTGGCTCCAATTTCGCGCGATACGTTTGCGCAAACGGCGATGGATCACTGATCCCGTATTTGTTCTCCACGCGGATACGGAACTTGTAATCTCTGAAAGGTTCCAGATTGCGAATGTCGCAGACGCAGCTGCGAATACCTGTGCGAGCAGTGAACCAATCGCCATCCGGGAGCTCGCACATTTCTACTTGATACGTCACTGGGATACGAGGTCCAATGGGGATGGATGGCTTCCAGGAGAGAGTCAGATGACGATCCATCATTCTGCTGATAATTGGACGATCGGCCAACGGTAATGGAACGCCGGACTTGCGGTACTTGTCGAAGTCTGTGTATTGATCTCCTAGGGCTCTCTTTGCTCGCGGCTCTAATGCTATTAGAATTAAAAAAAAAAAAAAAATAAACGTTACAAAGTTAAAAATATATTAGTTGTTAGTCACAAAAACTTCGAAATTCAATTCTGTGGTATTTACAATCGTAAATTAAATCCGCTGTGCAGGAATCTTCGCCGTGAGGATTTCTTATTTTTAACGTATATTTCCCGGCATCTAATTCATCGGCATTGTGTATAATTAAGCGTAACAGGCTGCCTTCTTGTTCTGTCCTGATCCTATCAGTCTGCCACAATTTCTGGCCATTCTGGAACCATTCGAAATCAGGTTCCGGGATGCCTGTGATGCAGGCTGTGAATTTAGCTGGCATTCCTTTGTAGATCTCACAATCGCCGATTCTCTTCAGGAACGACGGTGGTTCAGCCTTTTCTATCTTTCCACTAAAATCGACAAGTCCAACGCTCTTAATGCCAACCACTTAACGCTTGATCAATAATACAAAGCGTCAAACAATGACAGAAAGTATCAACTTACATTTTATCAATCACTGCCAAATTGGCCGCACATTCAGCTTCCCCGCCTCTGTTCACTGCTTTGCATTTATACGTTCCCGCATCGTCGTAAGTACAATCTTTCACGTACAAGCAGCAAGCATCACCGTCACGTTTAATCTTGTATTTGTCATCATCGTGCGAGATCAATCTATCATTGAAGTACCAGGTAACATCTGGCCGTGGAACACCAGTGACACGAGCTAGGAACTTCGCGTCGAACGAAGGCAGTTGTTGCAGATCCTTGAACGTCTGCATGAAACTCGGTGGCTGTGAAGTCTTTTTGACGTTGGCTGTAGATTTCGTAGAGTCCTCGCCGAGTGGATTCGACACACGACATTCGTATACGCCAGCATCTTGAGGCTCGCAAGGATTGATCTCCAACTCTGTTTTCTTTCCGTCGCAAGACACGGACAAACGATCCGATGGCTGTAGAGGAGCTCCATCCTTGGACCAACTGATCTCTGGGATGGGATTGCCAGTGAAATAAGCAGAAAGATTTAATGGTTGACCCTCCTCCACGTAAACGTCTCGCATTGGACTAACGAAGCCAGGTTTTTCTTCTGGTTGGTCAGGCAGTTGTTTGCCAAGAACGCTGATCCTTCCTTTGCAAGACGAAGTGCCTTCTGTATTGCCTGCAATCACTTGATACTCTCCTGCGTCTTCTGGCGTCACTTTGTCGATGACCAATGCCTGAGTACCATCTGGTAAGGTGACAGTCTTTATACGATTTCCATCGGGTATGATCTAGAAACAGAAGAGTTAATAATTAAAAAAGACGAACACGAGACATTCTTGATTTTTAAGATTGCAGATGATTAATTAAGGAACCTCTTCGCCGTCTTTCAACCACTGGAGCTGTGGCGTCGGTTTCCCTAGAACTTTAACAGCCAATTTCGCCGGGTAGCCTTCTACTATAGATAATGGTTGAAGCGTGGTTGTGAATTCTGGTCGTTTCTCTTTCTCTTCGACTTCTACCTTGGCGGAGCCAGTAATTTCACCGAGCGAATTGGAGACGGTCATCGAGTACACGCCAGCATCTTCTGGACGAACGTGATCAATCCTCAAACCGATAACGCCATTAGGTTCGTTCATGAAGTATATCTCTTTCGAGTGTCGCAGTGGTATGCCATCTTTGAACCACTGAACCTGTGGATTCGGGAAAGCAACCACTTGAGCTTCCAGTTTCAATGGTTGCCCTACGACAGCCTTGGTATCTTCCAATGATTTTGAGAAAGACGGTTTCCTTCTTGCAGCTGAAATTACATTTATTATTTTATTATTTGCATTTCGTTATGATATTTGACTTTTGATTTTGAAAATATCACTCACGTTTAACAGCCACGGCACACAACGACGACTGTTCGCCACTAGGATTAGAAACCACGAGTTTATAAGCCCCACAATCTGTCGGTTTTACGCAATCGATCGTCAGTTTGGTGTTACCATCCGGAAGCGTCTCGATTTTTATGTGTTCATTCGGAACGATCTTCTCGCCGTCTTTGTACCAAGCTATTTCAGGTATAGGACTACCATCGATCTTCACTTTAAGTTCCAAAGGATCACCCTCGTCCACTTCTGTCGATTTAGGTAGCACGTTGCTAAAGCTAGGAGCGATCAATTGCATCGTCAAGTTACAAGTAGTTTGTGCGCTTCCAGCAACATTGTTAGCTCGACATTTAATTCGTCCAATATCGCTTTGAGAGAACGTCGCGATGGAATGGATGCTATCCACGATGCCATCCACGTGAGTAGTAATTCTGTGACGATCGTCTTCTTTGATCTCCTCATCGTCTTTTAGCCAGATTACCGTTGGCTTGGGGACACCGCTTACGCGAATCTTTAGTTCTACGTCGTCGCGATGTTTGCACGCCAAATGTTTGGCCAAACTTTTGAGGAAGTTTGGTGTCTCGGCTGGAAAGTGGAATCGCGCAATTAGAAATTCTTCTTCTACAAGAGATTCTACAGCTTCTTTAAATACTATAAGCCTTGATACGTGCGGATAAATTCTTCTTCACTTACTGTGTGGAGTTAAAGTTGCTTGTCCACTCGCTTCACCTAGATAATTCTTCGCTATGAGATGGTAAGTTCCTTTGTCTTCGACCTCCACGTCTTTAATGATGAGCCTGAATTTCTTATTTCTCTTATCCTCGCTAAAGTCAAACCTGTCTCCTAGTTTCAGGACCGTGCCGTTCTTGGTCCACGTGACATCTGGTTTTGGATTCCCTTTGACGATGGCCTCCCAGGTAATTGATTCGCCAACAGACGCGACGACATCTTTGAATTCTTGAATTTCGGGAATCCGTAGAAGATTCAGGATAGCCTGGCAATAGTAATAAATACTTATATATGCTTACAGTACAAATGACTATTTTTTTTTTTTTAACGAGACTTGATCGATACAAACGCCAGCTTCAGCTTTGCCATATTTGTTGGTCAATTTCAGCGTGTATTCTCCAGTGTCCTCTTTCGAGCATTTCGGCACGCTCAAAGTGACTGTAGTTTCGGTCAGTTTGTCATTCGCTGGCTTATGATTCACGGTGGACTTTAGTCGACTGTCATCAGCTGGAATTTCTTCACCTTTGAAGTACCTTTTCGAAAGAATGGCACAGACTTAAAAGCAAAGATCTGGGAAGAAATAGCGAGACTAGTTTAACTTTCACTATGAAATAGTTTAACTTTCACTGTGAAATTTTCCTCTTCGTTAACAACGAGCGATTCCTATTGTGACGCAAGAAAGAAAAGAGAATAGTACGAAAAATTTATTAAATCAGTGATGAAATTTACCATATGATTTCAGGAATAGGGTCGGCAGTGAACGCAGCCTTGAACTTTCCGTTTTTCCCTTTGGCTACATCCACATCGTTCAAAGGCTCGATAAACTTAGGTCTTCGGAGTTCGTCCACGGTTTGAACTGTCAAATATCCTTCAGCCATATCTTCGCCAAGTTTGTTCGTGAATATACACGTGTACACGCCCTCGTCCTCGATAATGACTTTCTGCAGTTCCAAAGAAAAATGTTCACCGACAGTAGCAATTTTGATACGATCGCCGGTTCGAAGTGGTTTCCCATCCTTGAACCATTTTCCATCGGCTCTTGGCAAACTGGTCGCGGTGATGTCGAACACGATATTCTGAGTTTCGTAGATGGTCTGATCGATGAGATTCGTTTCAATGATGTGAGGAGGCGCTAATTAAGAAATACCAAGATCAGAATGTTTGTGTGTGTGTGTGTGTGTGTGTGTTTTTTTGTGAATAATCGAGGTCATTTTAAATGGTCAGATCTAAAAGTTCGGTTTCGTGCATCTAGAGCGTCCTTGCGCTTGCGCCGCGTGCTGCTTTGTTACTTTATACATTTCTTATCTCAAATTCTAGACAATTATTTTTTAATCTTTGACTTTGTATTACGAGAAACACGTGTTTTCATATTTTTTGCTGGTGTTCGTAATTTAAAATTGTCTAGCATTTTTATCATCGTTGCTTACCTCGAGAAAAACGAAGAAACACCGTTCTAGCCAGATTCGACTGATCACTCTTTTACACTGTATAAGCGGTAAGTGTTTGGATTGAGCGTAGAAGCGCCAACAAAATTTAATGCTCCCTCTTACATTATAATTTTAGCGTAACGAAGATCGTAAATGATAAAATGAAAAGATAGAAAACGATATTAAATGATTCTCGTGAAGGATTAAACTTTGTTACACGCTTGACACGTCAGATCACGTTAACATGCAAAAGCGACGTAAATACGATGATACGATATGGTCGACATAAAACTTAAAACAGATTAGACACAGACAAACAAGGAAAACGCAGAGCTAGTACTAGGCGTCACGGGACACGTGCCTTAAAGACGAAAGAACACTGCGAATTATCTTTATACTTTAGACCCTATCGACCTGCAAGAACAGACGACGTTCGAGCAGCCGATGGAGCAATCAGGTCGTACCTGAATCCCTGGAGGATTCCTTTTCAAGGATATCGTCTAAAACGCTGCGCTGTCGTTTAACGCGATCTAGAAGGGCCTCTAACTCTTCGTCGACCTCCTCGTCACCGCTTTGTGCAGCCTTCAACGCGCTCTCCCTCGATATCGATCTTTCGAATGTCTTTCTCGACTCCATCGAGTCTATCCTCTCTATTTTCGAACTCTGTCTCGAGAGTCCGTTCTCCACGGAGCCTCGACGTTCCTCCACGTTCGTCACGACGATCTTCTCCGCGATCGAGTTCGCTCGTTCTATTTTCTCTTTCGTCAATTTGCCCTCCTCGATCGTTGGTGTCTGCGGTTGCTCCAGATCCGCGGTGGATACTTTCCTCTCGAAAGAGTCACCGTTCTCAAGAACGGCGGATTGAGGTAGCTTCATGCTTTCCTGCTTCGATTTCTCCGACGGCGACTCCTCCACGGATCGTTCCTCCGCGATGGTCTCCGTGATTATGGAACCTCTGTAAGGTTTCACATCGTCCAGGATCTTTTCCTCGGCCAAATGTCCGTTTCCATTGAACTCCTCGTAGGAGCCGTTTATCAATCTCGCGTAATTGTCTTCGGATAATTCAGCGTGCTGCATATCGTCCGTGCTGACGTCTCTCGAAATGGCTTTCAGAGTCGACTCGTCGTCCGAAACGGACACGATCGACACGCCACGGTTTGTCTGAAGCCTCGACTTGTTATCCTCGCTGTTCTCCGAGAACTCCTCGATCAGCACGCCGTTTTGCGGCTTTTGAACGGACTCCTCTTGCAAGCTGTAGCTATAGGTGGCAATCTCTTCGACGGCGGGGCTGTCCGTGTTTATCTCCTGGCACTCGACCTTTGTTACGGTCATCTTGCTGATCGTGTGGCTCTCGTCAGGACCTGTGAACGCTTGGGCTGGTCACAACAGCTTTTTTTTTTTTACTTACTACTACCTACTAGAAAGAGAGAGAGAGAGAGAGAGAGCAGAGACGATCCGTGACGAATCGATGACCGCGATCTGTCTTCTCTGATCTGTAGATGATCTGTAGCCACTCGAAAGCTAATTTTCACTTCGATCGAGGCTCGTGAAAGCTCTGGTCGGCGTGGCGTTATTTGTGCTCTCGTGCGTACAGATTTTGTGACTGATTTTGTGGAAAATTTGGATCGAAATTGAAACTGATTCTGCTGAATTGATTGATTGATTTTTATTCGAAACTTTTAAATGGCAAATGGAGAACTTGTTCAGGTTCGTTGTTAATTTTTTTTTTTTTTTTTTGTAAATTAATTCAGTCACAAAATTCATCTTCTACGACGATGGCTATGTGAATGTGAAAATGAGCGAGTCGTTGTTCAGCGTGTGCGAAATTTACCTGTGAGTATAGCTTCGTGGGTCGTCGTTGAGGCCACGGAGATCGTGATTGTGTCACCCTGGCCCCGCGTTACTTGGACACTTTGTTTCTCCAGTTTCACTCGACCTGAATTATTTATCAGACATGTTTTTTCGGCTACAATTCTACTTCTACGATTAATCAGCCATCGCTTTAATATCAATTAGCTTATCGGGCAAGGCCATTTGTGTCTTTTTCTATTCTTGCCTTCATCAATCGTGTCAGCGTTGCAATGTTAAGTTTCGATCGGCAGGGATCTCGATGAATTATAAAAACGAGAAAAGAAAAAGAAAAAAAAAGGAAAAAAAAAGAAAAGTGATATGAACAGATGTACATGATGTTAAGAAGTGTATGCTCAAACACAAATTGCACTATCTTTTTATCTTTCTACTTTCTTCAATTAATGAAAACGGAAAAAAAAAAAAACGAGCGACCAAAAATCGCGACACATTCCCTTGGAACGTTTCAAAAGTCTTACCAAAATCTTGCGACATCGCGTGGATCGGTGGATCAAGGATTATTTAGAACTTTCAAGCGTTTCAGTAGTAAACTGACAATATAAAATATCTTTCTTTCCCTGTTACGCTCGTTGTCACAACGATATCAACGATCGTTTCCCTTCGTTTCGTTTCAACGATCGTTAGATTACCTTCGGGTCCGGATTCCTCTGCGCGTTCCTTCTTCGTTTCGATCTCCTTCTCCTCCGCTTTCTGCGCTTTCGTTTCCTCTTCCTCGACGCTGATCTTCTCGACGGTCTCCTTCTTCATTTCCGTTCTCTCCTCCACGCTTTCTTCCGTTTTCGCTATAGAATTCACACATTTTCGGACTGTTTCAGAACAGAGTGACGATGAACATAGGTGAACGCGAAGAAAGTGTGAAAGGGATTAACCAACACGTGACAGTGACAATTGCGACAATGACATTGGATTTTTTTCATAAAAGAAAAGAGAAGACAATGGAAGAAACACGAAAGAAAACCGTGTGACACATGTTTAAAGAGACAGAAACAAGAGGGAAAACGACACGAACAGAATGTTTCACGTCAATGTCGGATCTGTGACGCGAGTCTACAGAGATTATGCTTCTTATGTTATTCTGTGTTCTCATGTTGGAAAAGAGTCACATTTCTCATGGGTTTCGTTCGTGAAACCTTGCCAACGACTGTCCGTGAATCTTTGAACGAACAAATCACATCGATAAACGACGAGCAACAAACCGAAAAAAGGGAACCGTACCTTTCCTTCAGTACTTACTGAACAAGTGGGCAAAATCGAACGCACGATGATTCGCTGGCGAGTTTCTTAGAAATTAAGAGTATGTACGGGCACGTTAGGCATTTGCCTAGAGCTGCTCCATCAATTCTGTTAATTCTGCAAAATTCTACCGTCAGTAAGGTCGAACGCGACAATCGTTTCTCTTTAACAACGAATACAGAACAGGAATGATGGAGCAGCGCAACAATTGAATCCCTATTTCATTTGTAGAAGAAGAACAACTGTTTGGATTCTTACTCATTATCAGAACTTTGCTCTTGCTAGTCACAAAGCCTAGCTCGTTTTCTGCTCGAACCTCGTAGATGCCAGCGTCTGAACCCTTTACCAAAGTCACCGTCAGATTGTAGCTCTCCTGTCGCTTGCTGTCCCTCGTGATTTTAATTCTCGCGTCCGTTGAAACTTCCTCGCCATCTTTAAACCATTTCACCTCAGGATCGGGCGTACCGCCCACTTCGAAGATCAGTTTCAAGGTATCGCCTTCGTTGATCCTTTGATCGGCGAGCTTTTTCAGTAGTTTCGGCCTGGTGTTCACGATTAAGTTCGAACTGTTCTCGACTTCGCCAAATTCGTTCTTCAACTTGCAAGTATACGTCCCTTTCATTTCACCTTTAACATCAGAAATGAACAGCTTGGCGAAATTGTCTTCTTGCGTACAAACGTAGTCTTTGCGCTTCTCTGTAATCTCCACGTCGCCGATGTACCACCGGATGCTCGGTTTCGGGCATCCATCGATTTCTACTTTGAACTCGACATTCTTTTCACCTTCGTTCACCGTGATGTCGTGCAATTTAGTTTTGAATCGTGGAAGCCCTCTTACCTGGGGAATCAAATATTAAAAGTTAGTAGTTTTAAAACGAAGGGACTAATATTAATATTAATATTACCAAGTTAACTTTATTTAAGATACGTTATTATATTCAAGGTTAATTGGTATTAAAATTAATATTAAGGCTTACCCGAGTTTAAACAAATTTAAAAACGACACCATTTTATTTACCTCAATTTTAGTTTCATCGGTAACAACTCCATGATCGGAGGAGACTTCTGCTTTGTAAATTCCTGTGTCCTCGGACACTATACCGGTGATCTTCAGAATGAATTTCTTACCCTCTCGAGTCATTTTTAAACGACTGTCTTCAACGATCAGTTCTCCATCTTTGTACCATTTAATACTAGGCGGCATCAGTGAGTCAACTTCGACGAACAAAGTGAGATCGTTTCCTTGATCCAGAACTTGTGACTCGCCCAATCTCTTTGTGATCTTTGGTGGACTTAATACTTTCAAGTTCCAAATTTCTGTCGTCTGGTTGACTTCGTTTCGCGCGACAATCGAGTACGAGCCAGAGTCATCTAAACGAGCGTTTCGTAATATTAACTTATAAGTTTCGCTGTCTTCTTTAACGATACTTATACGACTGTCTTCTCGAAGTTCTTGACCATCTTTGTACCACTTGACTTCCGGCGCGGGCGTGGCTTCGATTTGCACGACCATCGTCGACGTTTCGCTGATATTGACAGTTGTGTCAGTTTGCTTTTTCGTGACCTTTGGCGCAGATTTCACGATCAACTCGATTTGAGTTGTATCTTCGCCCAATTCGTTCTTCGCTCTGATTTTGTAGGTACCAGCATCCTTGGCAGTGACGTTCTTAATTACTAAGGACATTGATTCTTCATCTTCCCAGAGGTACTTGTATCTTCCACCAGCGACAATTTCCTCTCCATCTTTGCTCCATTTGATATCCGGTTTTGGGTATCCTCTGATTTGTAATTCCAGCATGGCTGATCCACCGGCGCTCACTTCCGAATGCCTGCTTTCTGAACACAGTTTCGGCTTCTCTGGTTCTTTCAGTAGCTGGTGTACTGCACCTTGGACCGTCAGTTCTGCGCTGCAGCTGATGTTACCTACAATTTGAGTTTTTGTTTTTTAGTCCAAAAACTTATGAAATTGTCAAGCATTGATTATTACCTGTACTCGTCTGCGCGACGCAGGTATAAAGGCCAGCATCTTCAGGTTTGACATGTTGGAACACCAAAGCCAAAGTGTCTTCGTCATCCTGGAACAACACTTTAAAGCGTTCTTCAGGATCGAATGGTTTTCCATCGCGCAGCCAGGTGAGCTTGGGTTCCATGCCTGGCTCGAGGAAATCTTCAGGAAGGTACAACATTTTCTCATCCGACACCGTTACGGTTGCTTCGCAAGAAGCTTCTCCAAATCGATTCTTCGCCGTGCACGAGTATTTGCCAGCGTCTTGCTTTTGAACATCGGCAATTACTAGCTCGTAGAAACCTTTGTCTGCTTGTTCAGTGACGACCTTTACGCGTGGATGATTTTCATCAATTAAAACATCGTCTTTGAAGCTGTATTAAAAAGGAATCAAAAGAATTATTATGAATTAAATACACTCGTCTAATATTAAAATTGACGACGTATAGCTTACAATTTCATCTCAGGATTAGGGTCTCCTTTCACTTTCACCATGAAACGCAAGTAAGTGTTCTCCAAGAGTTCCGTGTCCTTCAGTCGCACCAAGAAGATTGGTGCATTAGCTTCTGCTCTCGCTTTCTTCTCTTCGGGAGTTACTAATTGAATGAGAAAAATGGACAAATTTTTGTTTTCACAGGGCATTCTTCATTTGTTGTAATATATAAACTTTATGAACTCACGTTTTTGCACAACAAGTTGGGCAGTGCAAGTAGCTTGGCCTCCACTGTTCATAGCTCGAGCGATGTAAATGCCAGAATCCGACTCGAGTACATTTTGAAGTTGAAGTCTGAAGGTCTTTCCAGTTGCAGAGGCTGTCAGACGATCTGCTAATCTATCCTCTAACGGTTTGTTGTCCTTTAGCCATTGTACCCTCGTCGTTGCATCGGTGTGCAATAGAGTACACTCGAAGACGGTCATTTCTCCAGCTATGTAAAGAAATGATTGGTAAAGTCATTAAAAAAATATTCACGAATGGAAGCAACGGAGCAAATTTTTATAGTACATCTAATTGAAAAATTTATATACAATGTCGTAACGGTCAAAAATACTTGATCTTACTATACAAGAGAATTGAAGGGGATTCCCATTGGATATAACAGTGTCTAGAACTGAAGTAATTCTTGTTTCTGTTCATCTACAAGAACAAGAGGGATGGGTGCAAGTGTACTACAAAATTTACAACAACTAAATTTGAGATACCGAATATATTGGTATTTATTTGTATATCATTACGTTCAACTGATGATGAGAAACGTGTCGCGTGTGAAATGTGCTTTTACTTGTATAAAATGGGACAGCTAATAAAATATTTATAAAAATGTAGAGATATATATACATATATGGCAACCACAGAAACAGTAGCTATTTGAAAAATGTAAAGTTTTAAAAAGATGTGAAGCTTGAAAATTGAAAAATATAAAGAGTTTTAAAATATAAAAAAATGATATGAAAATGTAAAGTGTAATGTGAGTATTTGGTGTATTTTCGTGAGTGACAGACAACATCTAGGATTAATTTAAAGCTTGAGACCAACCGCCTAGTGGAATGCGTAGAAGCAATTTTTACTCAGCTGGCTAGAAGAAAAAATATAAGAAGTAGATACGATTCTTGATACAGTATTACAGAAGATTGATAGGAAAAAATGCGCAGCATAGTGAATGATCAGATAGTAGACAAATTCTGTGTCACTTTACCTACGGCATGTATCAATTCCACGTTATTTTCTGGTATCGCTAGAACAGTAAAAATTGATCTTATGTCACCTGCTTTACTTGTAATCATAGGCCATTGACATTACTGTCTATCAATTGCACTCAAGTAAATTTTTTTTAAACTTAGTATTATGTTTGTAATGTAAACTTAGTATGATGTTTTCGTATGTTTCTCAGTTTTTAATTACTCTATATTCTCTACCCTATATCTTGAGTATGTCCCAACTTCCACGTTTTATTACTTACGTTCGACACTGGATCCCTCGAGAGTCTTTACGAACACAGGTTTTCCTATTCCACTGCCACCCTCGATTTTCGCTGTATTCGATCTGGTTTCTATCGAATTTCCAGCTTGGTAGGAGCTGGATTCCATTCTTACTGCACTGCTCTGACTCACGGATGACTCCATGTATGCTGCACTGCTAGATACTGAAGAATACTCTTCAGAGATCAATAAAAAGCAAACAATGAATTTCTTTGATCTTTCAAAGATCAAATATCATGGAATTTTTATATTTATAAATTTTATTTCCCCACCTTCGACAACTTTCGAAGAGCTGCTGTATCGACTGGAAGAATATCTTCGAGACATATCTGCACCCCCTTCTTCAACTTGTTTAGAATCTGGATTTCCCGGATTATCTTTCTTTTTCTCCGCGGATTCTCCGGGATTCGGTCCCGGATTTCCTTCTGCCTTCTTTGGTCCTGGGTTTCCTTCTGCCTTCTTTGGTCCTGGATTACCCTCTGCCTTTGGTCCTGGGTTTCCTGTTGCTTTCTGAGGAGGAGTTCCTGGATTTCCTTTGATTTCTTCCTTGGTCTCTAGAACTTCTGTCAATTGCAGGTCGTCCGCAGCGTGTTCAGCGAGCGCTACTACGTCACTCGCGTATTGTCGAATTTCTTTCAGCCAGTAGGCTTTCACCGGATCCTTATGAGCTACTAAAGTAATGGGGTAGGCTGGGCTTGCTGGATTGTGCAGTTCGAAAGACCGTATGTCGTCTGGGTGGTCCTTTACTTCTACATCTGGCAACTGAAATATATATCAGTGCTATGAAGTACAGTGCTTAAATTATCAAGTATACTTTTTTATCATATACAAAATAATATCATCACTTACTCGAATAATGTCTTTGAGAACGAAGACGGATCTGTCCTCGGATATTCGTCTGACTTTGCAGATGAGTATGCGAGCTTTAAAGAGAAACAGATACCTTTCTTTGCTCTTGCCGTCCTTGTCAATCACCGTGTACCATTCCTGTTAATCGCACATCATATGTAATAACACCAGTATGATCACGATCTATAAGAGACATTACACTACATTAAATATACTGACGTGTGTGAGTAATCTGCCTAACTTGTGGATATTCCCTTTGTAACCTTCGATGTTGCTTATGAATTTGTTGTCCGTCGCCCTATGAGGGATACCTAGCATCAACTCCAAAGCCTTTTGGAGGTCGTCGCAGTTTTCGCCTAGTCGGGTCGAATACTTCACCAGCTCCTGCGAAAATCATTCAAACTGTGTGTGAAAATTTGCTGGAAATTTCCTTTCAACTTTCGCAAGTCTGAAGTTGGAATCATCCAGCATTGGATTTCGAATGGCGAATGATCGAAGATCAATTCTTTTTCTTTTTTTTTTATTTTCCCATTCGACATGATTTCGCGTGCGATAGGCATGCGACAGAGAGACGGCGAGGAAAGATAACACGTTGCGAAGATGACCCGTTTTTAGCTTGCTAAATCTGTACAGCGCCCACTCGTCCGCACACCACGATAAAATACTCTGTCGCGGCACTGCTATATAACACTATACCACGACTTCGAACTTTGTGACTTCCCTTGATCTATATCTACGCGAGCGACATCGTGGAAATAAAACGATCCGATTCAGGGTGATGGAATATATCTTTAAGTAATGTTGCTCGTTCTTGAATTACACCTGAACTGTCTCGAACGTGCTTGAAGATATTTGAAAAATGTCTTGACTTAATTCTGTTCCGTTTTTCTTCAACACCTCTCGCCACTATTTTATATATATACATATATATTCCGGGCAACTGGCCCAGCCAATTTGTGGCCGAAGCCAAAGGTTTACAGGTAACAAATCAAGATTAGAGCATTAACATGATCGTTATCAATCACCTGCGATCTATCTTCCATGTCATTTCATACCAACGTTTATCCAAAGTTCAAGTTTAGATTATCCGAGCCCTTATCTCGTTAAGCGTACGGAAAATGTTATTTAAATTTGATGCGAAATCACGACCGATGATAATAATTAATCGTTTGAAACGCGTTCTCAAGGCGAACCGGGAAGTATTTTAGCGCCGGGCTAATTTTATCTGACAGAATGAAATTTCAACGAGGATATAGGTCACGTGTCTCGCGGATTCTACAGGTCGCCGTGTCTCGCCGCTATCAGGTCAATGATTGTGTCCTCTTACTCGAACTTTTTATGCCAATGGAAACAGAAGAGAGAAATTAGAAGCACGACATAGAAATTCGACGATTGAAATAAAAAATGATAATGCACGAACGTGGATAACGCAAACATTTGGTGAATTTTCATTGTCTCAATTGTCTATCAAGTGTGTTGAATTGAAGTGTACACTGTCGAGCAAGTGTTCAAATATGATTGTACATGTCCAAAGCAAAATCATGCAAATGAGATCGATATTGAACTTGCCTACAAAGCATCTAGCATCCTACCAAATTTCAATGACGATTTTGTGCGAAAATTAATAACGCGGGTGGTTTGCGCATAACGCGCTGGAATGTTTTCAAAAGATTTATACTCTAGCTATGTTATATTTCCGTCATGACACCCTTGAAATGTATTTTCGATCCGCGTCCGTGTCAAAAATTTCTCCACGATATAGAGCGCGAGATTTCGTAAAGAATGATGGAAAATGTGGGTTAAACAGTTATATAAGCGATAAACAACATAGTGGATTAAACAACATAGTTACCTTGAGCAGGAGCTGGTAGTCGTTTATGCGTTGTATCGGAAGTTTCAAATGTTCCGATAGACTTTTGTCGTCACGGAGAGTCTGGCTCAGCTCCTATAAACAATAATCATACTTCTCCGAATATATATTTCACATTAATCGAAATGAAATTAATATTAACGTCGCTAAAAATATGAAGACTTTTATATTTTTATTATAAGAGGAAGTGAAAGTGAATTGAAAATTGGCAATCGGGGATTTTCCGAGGATTAGAGAGTAGCGGATTGTTTGACTCTGTAATTCGACACCAGGATGAAGAGGCGCGTATTTTTGGATGCGACTGGATTTTCTACGCGATTATTCCCTATCGATCAGCCTAGACAATTTGAACACAATATCACACGAGATACTACTTACTAACACGAGAGAACTTTTTAATTAACAACTGATTGATAGTTATCGTAAACTTTTGCTACTCTCTCCAAAACTTCTGTGACTTACGTATTTCTCTCTTATTGTTCAAAATTCCACTGTATCACTGTATCACTATAAATCAATCTCGCAACAAAGTTATATTAATCTTTACGAAACCAATTAGAAAAGGAGGGGAATTCCAAGAATCATTGCGAGTACACTAAATATTTCCAAAAATTAAGAAAGATTCTCTCAGAAGAATTTAAACAAAAATATCGTTCACTAGAAAAATGAAGTTCTAACAGTGCAAAAGTCGATCGATGAGAAAGTTGGAATATCCACGATGAGGAAGAAGATGGTTGAGGAATGGTGGAAGGGCTGACGCACCTTAACGGAGGTCAAGGGAAATAAACACCGTTTGTGTTTCGGGTTGTTGGTTCGAAGAGGATACCGTGGCTGGTCGCAGACTGGACCAGGTCTCTGCTCTTCCACCGATTCTCTTCCTCGAGGGGGATCTACGGTCGGTGGTTACCGAAAAACATTAGTCCGGAGGCCAATACAGCCACGGCTATACTTAGATGCCGGACGAACTCGTGGACTGACCACGCACAAAAACAACGTGAATCGTTCTACGGATCTTTGGAGATCTTTCGCTAGGCGCGCGCTGAAAGTTCTGATCCTCCAGAAACGTGAAGACAGAAAATAACACGTTCGATGTAAATCGAACAAGAAAGAGAAACGTGTGGACAGATTCAAGTATTCATAAATGAACGTAATCAACGAGAAATTCTAATGCATTTAGAACGTTTCACTTTGAAGCTGGACACGTTCAACAAGGTAATATCGTACGGTCTAATTTTAATTTCGTGTCATTAAATGAATTCACGACGCCGGTTATATCGTGTGAAAATCACGCAGTGGTCTTGAGTCGTGTTCTAGAAATAACAGGACGAATCACGAGAAGAAAGCGAGCAGCATAAATTGTTCAAATATATTCTGGTATATTATGTATATTGAACCACCTACGATTCGCACTTGATCAGCATTCCCTTGTTAATTTCGAATCTTTCTTCTGGCCACGTTTTACTCTCTCCATTTCAAAATATTCAACAACGATGTTTGTTCCTCTCAACGTCTAAATCATTTTTTAATTGTTATCGTTAAGCAGCTATTAAACGTACAAAGAGAGAAAGGCACGCTAATGAATTTTGAAACAGGATAAAGTACTAATTCGAAGATCCGTCGGATCGATGGTGTACAGCTGAGACGCTCGAGGCGTGCGTTTCGTTTTTTCGTCGTGCAGAGATTACGCTGGCTACTGTCATCGCGCAGTGACAGTGACGGTGACGTCGTCAGCCGATAACACGGCTGCTTTCTTCCTTTTCTTCCCGTGGCACGCGTGTCGTCGCGAGTCTGTCGCGCATAAGTAAGAGAAGCGAAAGATGTTCTGTTCCGTTAAGAATAAACCAAGCTATTTCGGGAGCTGGACAGACGCCCGCTTACCCCCGCTAGTTATGTAATTGCGAAATTTCCTTCGATTCGTGCAAACGTGTGTTTCAATTACAATTTCATCCTCCAACTTTCCATTATGATTACGTTATCCTCCGTTAAAAATCATCTATAAAAAAATAATTGTCCTCGTTTAAAAAGGGGAGGAGGAGGGAGGGGGATGATGAAAATAAGAATAGAATACAAAAGACGAAAAAAGAGCAGGACGAGGTTTCATAAATACTGTCTATATCCTTATTAATGAAAATAATCTTGAATTCTCTGAAATAAATATAAAATAACGATGTATAGGATAAGCTAATAAAATTGTCATAACCGAATTATACTTGGAGCAAGCGTTATTATCGACGTTGGCGTCGCGACGCCAAACTACGAAGACGATGGACAGAGATCTTTCTTACCATCTGGTTCTTTTACTGAGTAAAGACACTGAGTAATTTCTGCTCTTGAGTTAACAATAACCGAATTACATCTAATAATCAAAATTATTTTATTAGTACTGGGTTACTTTAACAGGGACGATTGATCAAGTGACTCACCTCGAAGTACTCTCGTACCGCGTCGTTCATTTGGAGGAACTCCTGGGCCGCCGGTTCGTCCCTACAGTATGCCACATGTTTGTCGAAGTCCCTTTCCTGAAACCACGAGATTTGAGATACGAAAGAATTCGAGGCAACAGGATTAAGATTAATACTTCAAGCTTGGCTAGGACTCACCAATCGTAGGAAAGTTTTCCCCAGCATACGTGGTTGATCCGCATAGTACTTAACACCCTCGATCAACACCCTGCCGAACGATCTAAGTGAGATACTGATTATTTTTCATGCTAAAAACACACCATGCCTACGTGCTGAAGGCTGCATCCTTCTTGACTTCTTTTTTCAGTGCGACATATAGGGTGCAACGATGGTATTAAGTTACGATGATATGATATGTCAATTTCTTCTACGCTGATTAATCCACGAAGAATTACGTCCAGTGGAAGGCCGTGAAATTATGATTAATTAATATTGGGACGGGTCATGAGCGAATCATATTTTATTCTTCTAACTGGGCTAGCAGGGATAAAAGTCAAATACTTTTTAACAAGAAACGCTGTGATTAGAGACAGCCATTTAGTGAAATCATTCTTCCTTACACGGTCTGATCGTGTACAGAGTACTCTACTGAGCAGGAAAATATGTCCGGTATCATTCTCCTTATATTGGCTGACTACGTACTGAGTTGTTCTACTGAGACGTTGGTTCAAGGAGACTACTGCACGTTTTTATGACAAAATGTATGTTTGGAAGAATGAATTTACCTTGGCCAGAGTCAATCGAAGCGTGCTCATAAAAAAAAAAACAACGACAGGAGGGCGGTCAAAACTTTCGAACAAGCAATACCAGTTAAATACCACGAAACACACGATCACACAGTCGTTATCAGACTTACGTTGCTCACGCGTTTTACTAAAGAGAAAACAATGTGCTTGATGTAAATTTAACAGTGACCATGTGTGGCGTGCGTGTCTTTCTTTTCGCTTTGATTCGAATAAAGAATAGTCGTGATTTGTTGCTGTTGTTTGTGAATGGACGCTCGAATAACGCGTTGTCTACTTGGACAACAACAAATTAACAAATCGATGTACTGTGAAAAAGTTCGTAGAAAAAGAGAAAAAGAAATCATGTTTCGTGTGGAGTCTCCCAATGTCCAACGGATTGTGTCGCAGTGAATTTCTCCTCTTGGTTCATCGAGTATACGTACGTGTTGTGAAAGTCGGCAATTTGTTTCAGGTTCGTGAAGATGATGTCTTTGTTGTCACGTACGATCCGTGGAACATCTGGATTGTCGAGGGGTTTCAAGTAACGTTCAACGACCTGTTGAAGGTCTCTGCCAAATTCTTCCTCGGTTTCCACTAGTTCTTTCACTACAGCTCTAGAGGAATCAGTGGGTCAGTACAGAGGGAAAGACTTCAAGAGGAGAAGGAATTACTTACTCTCGTCGGTATTGAGAGTCTTCCGGCCGATGTCCAAGTGCCGAGTCCTCGCTGAGGGCCGTTTGCATCAAAATGGACATGGGCAGCCATCCTTCTCTTGAATCAGCTGTACGAACATACACTCTGTAGAAATGAATTTTTCATTTAAAATGTAATCCTGTAACTGCTCTAAAATCTATATATGATTAACTTAACGAGTAAATAGCAAACAATGCGTATTAATGTATAGTTTGTTCTATCAATGTAAAATATTTCTTATGAACTGGATATTTTAATTATTTACAACAATTTCATCTATGTTAGACCCATTGGACTAATTGGATCGCCAAGAAAATTTTGAATTATTAAATTTAGTTGAAACATATTTTCATCGCTGGTAGTATAATTGGTTTACTTTAAATGGTACTAGCGAAGGTTTAATTGGCCGGACAAATCGCCAACAGATTTTGCGTTTTGTTGAATGAACGACGAATACGCGTACAAAGAGGCTCGCCGCATCGCCTTAGTCACTAAGCTTAAATATAACTTTCCAACACTCATACATCTCTATATTTGTCTATTCTTTGCAAGTATATTTCATGTGTACAGAATCTCTTCTAATTAATCAACATTTCGTCCATTTCCATCGCAGAAACAAGGAACATCTGGAAATTTCAGTTTTCTGTACTGAAATATATTTTCGAAAGTATATTTATTTTTTTATCCTTTATTGTTCACACTTGAGAAGACCTTAAATTTGAGAATAAGGTACGTAATTTTTCAGCAAGCTTTGAGTCGATTCGATTTCCTCGGAACACACTTTGCTATTTTACCAAAGTGTTAAAAATTTATTTCACGTGAACGATACAATCGGTTCACGGCTTCGTCAGTTTGATGCATTAAATAATTTCTGTTTAATGTATGTATTCAATATGAAATAATTTACAATCCATTAAACGAAATCGCTGCCAAAGTGGCAAATCAAAATTTCAGATTGAACCTCACCTTCACGCGGATTTATTTTTAGAACTGGCTGGTATTTCACCTTCCTTAGAATCATCGCGTTTCTGGCAATCTAGAAGGAGCCAGGCGTTTACCATTGCATTGTGCAATTGGAATTTATTTCGACGTGATGTTTAATATCAAGTCGATGGCATATTTCTTTAAACCTAACAGATATTGCAAAGCTGTTTGCTCTCGTTGGACAGAACGTCCTTATAATTAGCCTAACAATATAATGGTATAATTTTTCACGCTGATCGCAATTCCCATTAAACTACTTCGAACCTATTCTGGACAATAGCCAAGCATTCTTCTGACATCTTTGCTTTTCACGACATTTATAAACGCTCCATCTTCGTTAAAATCATCGTAAATTACAACAATTTGCAGGTAGAGGATGTAAAATACAGATGAAAATTTAAATTAAATAAAAAAAAAAAATACACCACAGGGAAAGATAATTTTGATAATTCTGCTGAGATCAAGGATTTCCAAGTGAAAATGGTATCATCATTTGTGCGATAAAGAACACGTTTGCGCATCGATAAAATCAAATAATTCATACTCGATAATATGTCGTGACTGCTCAACTGGTTTCAGTATAATCGGGTGAAATACGACGAGTTCATTGGCTTCGCCGGTAACATAATGTTTGGAGTCTAATGTTCTGACCGGAGCACCTGTCGTTGCTATATTTCGCGCACGCATTTAGTTGTCCACGCAACTGATTCTTTGTTTTGGACATATCTCGTTCAATACGAAACATCCGCTTTCTATGTGTTTCATTTTGTCTCGTTGCTTCGTCGTTTCATCTTGAAATTGATGCTCCCAAGCAATTCGACTGCACCATACACGAAGTGTACGAAATTTATTGAACAGACTGCAGCTGCGTCCTGCCGAGTTGTAAAACGTAGAGTGTAGAATTTATAATGATTCGATGGCTGACGATTTCTATGACACGTCTCCTTAGATCTCTCTTCTTTATTTAATCAAGATTTTACAGTTCTTCTCCTTCGTTCGATAGGATTTTCCCCGCATTTGTTGACGACAACGAGACAATCACTTTCTAAATTGTTTGTTCCTCAATTCCTCGTTTCACCACACTTATCAAAGGATTCGTACTTTACCTCGGGATGCTGCTGTCCGAGGAGGACCTCGGGATGCTTCTAGCACGGGGATCTGCGTACTTTCGACGCGGCCGAACCGACAGTTTGTGCCAAGCAGCAGAATTGTCCAACGTTTCGGCAACCTCACCACCGATTTCCAAATCAGGATCCAGCTTGATCTTTCTACAACACGTTCAACCGTGTATACAACACAGAGGACACACACACACACACACATACAGACACACACTCTCATCCATCCTTGCTTTCTTTTCCATTTCACTTGGAGACTTCATGCAGACTAAACATCATTCTCCATTAATCGAAGCGAGTTAGCGTGTTCGTTAAATGGAAAGCGGCGTCTCGTTGCAAGCAGTTCACCAGCTCTCTTCACACGGTCAGAGATTTGCAGTTTCTTTGTTACTTGGTTTGCTCAGCGTATTTATAGTGTGTACAAGCGAAGACAATTCAAGATCGCGTTTCCACCGTTGCGATTCGATCGTCAAAAGTATCTTGATTATTCCTGGATTGGAGGAAGGCGGCTATTTTTTTGTTTTTTTTTTAAAGAACAATTAATTTTTACCTCGAATTTTATGTCTGCGAGGCTTCGTACAGTACAGAGCGACAGAAAACTGTGCAATTCAATAGCTTTGTATATTTCCAATGATACAGCGCTCAAGAACGCGCAACATCTTTCGCATAGAGCCGCTGAATCGCAACAATGCATCATTCGTCTGCATAGAGCATTATTCTCGTCCTATGACCCGTCGAAACTTTCCCATTTGTTTCGCGTTCAAGGCACTCGGGAGTTCCGTCGACGTATTTTATAAACGTGGTCCCGGCGAAAACGTGATTCTCGTAAAAATATCATCGCGAGAATAAACAAGGGGTAGACGGTCCACGTTTGACACGTAAATTGAACGTGCCTTGATTTCGGGTGCATTCGGATGCGTTTCTGTTAATACATAGAGTCAACGTTTGATCGTGCATTCTGCAGGAAAATCCTACGACAAACATTTCTAATTTACGGTTAGAACACCATTAAATTTCACATTGTTCCACGTGAGAAGACCTGTTTATTCTCACAGCTATTTTCGTCGATCAACATTAATTTCCTCCGTGAGAATCGCAGAAGAAGAATTGTAGCAGCTCTTGGTCAGTTACTTAGTTTTATCGAAGCGATGACATGCTCTTGTTCGTGAGTTTGACGAGTTTAGGAGTTTGCATCGGTCACATTAAAGAAACTAGAAAATATATTAGTAATTCCTAATAATAAGAAGGGTAGTGTAGTGTATTAAATACGAGCACTTAGCAAGCGTAGCAACTTACGAAGCTGCAGTTAATTGCAATCGCTTTGTATCGCAACACGCCGCTATATATCGTTCGTCATTTAATTAGAACGGAGCGAGCTAATACTTGATAAGAGTGACAGATTGTATCGGCATGGTTTGAACGCATTAGACTATATAGGACCTGCGGCGATGATTATTTTCAGCCCAGGCACACGTTGCGCACACGGAAATAGAAACGCGAACGAACGGTCGGTCTTCGCGCGAAGTCAACGTTCCGCCATCGTGAAACGATCGCGCGGAAATTTGCTTGCCCGACGAGCTTTCACGGGGCTGAATGTTTCTCTTACTTGGCTGGATCGGCGTATTCGAGCGCCTCGACGATGTCGCCAACGTTCACGGAGAATCCATCGTTTTTATAATCCTTCACCACGATGTAGTTGTCCAATGATTTCTACAACAATGCAGAGTACGAATTTATTGAATGATCACAGCGTGTTTTCCTGCAGTTTGATATACGAGATGTCTGGAAATTTCGAGAGGGATATACGTTTTTCATTTTCGTAGGGGTAGAAATTTTAGAAACGATCGTGTTTGCGTGATGACTCGACATTGAGTACATTTGTCTTATCATTCTCTGTTTGATAACCGCTACATTACCCGTTCAAAGTAATTATCCTGAAAGTTGCTCAGTCTCCTCAAACTCGGCGTGTTCTCTCTGCTGCCGGACTGTCCAAACGACTTGTCAGACTTCGACAACACAATACCATTGAATTCTTGTCTCTGATAGGTCCCAGTACCAGACCCGTCAAGACTGCTAGCCATCGAGGTGGTCCCCGTGAACGTGGACATCATTTCAACGTCCACGTCTTCTTCCTTCGCGACGGGGCAGCAGTACATGGAAAATCGATGCGCGGTTGGACGAGTGAGTTGGAGCGCGGAGAAAACGTGGAGTGGTTCAAAATGATGGATTCCGTCCTCGTCAAGAACCGTGTAAGCCACTTCTCCAGTTAGAACAGACCTGGACGCTTCTCTGGGCACCACGGCCTGCATGCCTTGCTTCAGAATCATAAAGATTGTGGATGGCCTGTGGTTTCTTCTCAAAAGGAATTCTTCCATGGCTAGACTGTTGTCAGACTGGAGCAGAATCGACGGTACGTCGGTTGACGATTGCAGAGGGCCTTCCTCGGGTACGATCATCAGAGCTGCGCTTTCTCGAACGAGGGTCCTCAATCGTGGATCAGTCCGGGCCAATTCTGGATCGCTGCATAATTGCGTCAAAGCGTTCATGAACGGTGGACGTTCCTCGGCTAGTTTCCTCATCACTGTCAGACGTTTCAAAACGTCCAACGTTACCCTATCGCCGGCTAGGGCTTGCGTTGACTTTTCATCGCTGATCACTGCCAATAAACTGCTGGCAATGTTAGACATACCTAAAGCTCTGGCTAATCCTACAGCCTGCAGAAACATCTCTCGAACGTTTCCACCCTCGTCGTTTAACAATTCTTGCACGTGGATCTCGCTCGATTCTCTAACTGCATGGACGATGGCCTTGTGAACAGTCTCGGCTGCTTCTTTCTCGGTAACGATAGTGGAAACCTCTTCGGATACCTTTCGGAGAACTCGAGAGACCAGTTCGGGGTCGTTTTTTGAGACTGTCCTGAAAGCAGGGCCGATTAAATCCGTACCGTGTTCTTCTTCGAGGACCATGGATAATCTGTCGAGTACTACATCTTCCTTCAGAGACTGGCTGCCCACGGTGGATTTTAAAATGTCCACTTTGTTATTTTTACTCTCTAGTAAATTTAACAGAGCCGACTGACACAAGTTACTTCGATTCTGGGGGACTAGAAGTATCTGCAGGATTTCCTCCACAGATTGATCGACACTGCTATCCCTCTGACGCAAAAGGACATTGAATGCTTCGCTAATGGACGAATAAATGAAATCTTGCTTAGAATCGTTGCCGTTTTCATTCATAGAGTGACTCATAATCGCCAGAACGGCGCTTGTCATTGCTATCTTCACTGCGTCTTTCAACCAATAATCATTTTCATTTTCATTCTCTTGTTCTTCTCCGTTTCTATTGCCGTTTACAACAGGAGACTTTGCACCATTCATAAACTTTGATTCGATACAATATTCATCCAGCTGTTGCTCCTGTTGAATCACAATGTTTTTCGCTAGCTGAGCAACAGTTGACACTATTTGCGCCATCTTCACTGCAGTGGTGCCATGTAAACCGAGCTTCTCCGCCATAACAAGCGCATGTTCCAAAGCCACCGCCTTTGGATCTACGTCCACGTCCACAGCTGGCAAATCTGTGGTCACTTTTCTCCCCACAGACAGACCAGCTTCTGACAACTGTCTGAGCATCCTTGCATCTATGCTGGTCTCTCCCTGATGCTGAACATGACGATTGTAATGTAGATTCTGCGGCCTCAGTAATTTCAATTCCTCAGGGGTGACCTCGAATCCTTGAACAGAGAATTCTAATTCTCCTTCAGGCGTGTCAGTAAGATCTGGAGCTACGAAACGCGGCCCTTCTTCGGTCTGAACTATCTGGCCAGGCACGAAGGTCACTCCCAGTTCTCCAGACTCTACGACACGACCTGGTACGAATCTTGGCCCATCAGGTGTATCCACTACTTGTCCAGGTACGAATCGAGAACCTTCGTCGTCGGTGGAGATTACCTGGCCAGGAATAAAAGTAGGACCAGCCTTGGTCTCGACGATTTGACCTGGTACGAAACGTGGTCCATCCGCAGTGTCCACGGTTTGACCAGGAACGAATTTTGTGCCTGTTCTAGTCTCTACCATTTGACCAGGAACGAATTTAGGACCAGTGCTAGTGTCGATCACTTGACCTGGAACGAACTGCTCACCTTTCTCTGTCATCACTATCTGACCAGGCAGAAAACCATCCTCTGTCATCACACCAGGCACGAATCGAGGTCCGTCTTTCCCACCCCTGACTAACTGGCCCGGGACTATCCTTTTACCTTCTGGTAATTTTTTCTCATCCTCTGGGAAGAATTCTACTCCCTTCTCAGTTTGCACCATGTGACCGAAGATTTCGCTCTGTTGAATGGAAACGTTGACGGTCTTTGGGTCAACCGGCATACCAACAGGTCCAGCATCGTAAAACACAACCTCGTCGAACGTACTAGCTGCGGCAAATTCGATCCCTTTGTCTGTTATCCTAGTGCTTCCTGGAAGGAATTTTTCACCCATTGGCGTTCTCACTACTTGACCTTCCACGAACTTTTGCCCCTTCGGAGTGTCCAGAGTCATACCAGGAACGAAAGTCGAACCATTCTCAGTGTCTTTAACTATGCCAGGCATAAAGTAATTTTCCCCAGAATTTGAAACCACGTACTGCCCCGGTACAAACTGTAATCCCTGACAAGTTGGAATCGTCTGGCCTGAAACGAACTTCATTTCCCCAGTCGGAGTTTCGATCGTCTGTCCAGGAATAAATTCCCACGTTTCGTTCATTCGTACGCTCTGCCCTGGGACAAATATCTGTTCTCCATGATTGTCAGTGATAGTTTGACCAGGCATAAATCGAGGTCCGTCAGGAGTGTGAATGGTCTGACCAGGAATGAAAGTTCCATCTTTAGTCACTTGGCCGGCGACGAATTTTGGACCGTCGTCTGTAAGAACGGTTTGACCTTGAACAAATCTGGCTCCTTCGTTAGTGTGGAAAGTTTGACCCTGAATGAATCGATGACCCTGTTCCGTGGCCAACGTTTGTCCAGCTATAAATACAGGTGTTTCCTTGTTATCTTGTTCTTTCAAGTTGAGTATCTGTCCAGCAACGAGGAGAGGACCGTCAGGAGTGTTCACGGTTAAGCCAGGAACGAACGCAGGACCCTGAGGTGTTTGCAGCGTCTGGCCAGGTACAAAAATAGGTCCGTTCGGCGTCTGCACCGTCTGGCCGGTGATAAATCTCTGCGCGGATTTTATGTCTAATTTCAGACCTTTAACGTTGTGTTGAGTCGTCACCTTACCCTTGCTCAGCTTCTGCACCAACTCTGGAATCTCTTCCACTCTTGGCAGCTGTTCTATTGCCTCCTCACCTGCTTGCAAAAGCTTCATGTTTACATTGGACACCTCTTTCAAGCCGCTCGCTGGAACATCCCGTATGGCGGACTGTAGAGCAGCGTCCGGTTCTATTTTCAGCGGCGTCAATGGCTTCACGATTGATATCGCCTCGAATCCTCCCGTGCTCTCCGAGATAGGACTGGTGCACGACGTTGTGGCACTTTGCTCGACAATCTGAGGCTCCACTTTGACAGGAGTGGGCAATTTATCGACGATCGGTTGCATCGATGGTTCATTAGTATCCTGGAACGAGTTCCAATCCAAAGTTTCTGGCAGAGACTTCTCTCCGCCCTTCAAAGGTTTCGTCACGGAGATGAAGTTACACGCTCTGCTTCTAGCCTGTTTTAAATTCACGTTCTTCCACGTTTCTTCCTTCATTTCTTCCTGCGTTTCTTCCTTGACGCTTCGAAGTTTTAACTGCTTCGTCTGTCTTAGCTCCTCCTCTTCGGCAGCCCTCTCTTTCTCCTCGAAAATCCTCTTGGCATAGCTCAAGCCAGCCTGTCGTTTTCTCTTGCGCCGTTTAGCCTCCGCTTCCAGCCTCTCCCTTTCCTTCAACACCTCCTGACTCGGTCCAAGCCCATCGTAAAGATTCTCGAAGTCTTCCAAATTCTTGAAATCAACCGAAACGTTTTTCCCTTGTTTCAGCCTGAACAGAACTGTATCGCAGTCCCTGGACAACATCACGTCCTTCACGTCCCCGTCCCTGACCGCGGCCTCCAATCTGGATGGAAACACCAGGCTGCATCTTCTCTCTTCTACCGTGTACACGAACTTTGCCTGTTCCTCTTCGACGAGAGGATGTTTCTTGCTCAGTAAATCTCTCAGAGCTCTTTGCTGTTCCCCTTCTCCTTCCAGCACTGGGAACACGTAACGGTAGTCCTTGAGGACCACGTGTTTCTTCTTCTCGCCCAGGACGAAGCCAGCTGTATAATGGTGCGGCCCTAGACCGGAAGCATTCGTTATCTTGCATTTCGATTTGTCGTGGCTGTGAATACCCAATAAGACTGGAATGTAATGATGAGTAGGCAGACCGTACGATTTGCCGGTGATCCGGCAGAAACGTTTCGCGTCAGCCGGGCTGATCGGTGGTAAAAGGGGGAAGTAATTTGGCTTAGGGAGGCCCCTGCTTCTTCCTGTTATCCTGCAAAAGGACATTGTTCGTCTCCACCCGCGGAGTTTCTTAAAGATTCATTTACTCTATCTCCTCTCTTTAACCCTCGTCGGCGTAATCTCGATTTTGTTCAAAACATTCGGAGATATTTTCGCAGTTCGAGTGCAATGTTGTTGATTATGAATAGAACGGTACACAAAGATCCCTTTCGTACGAAAATGTTGTAGGAAGTCTCTGTCATTGACGATTGCTAAAAACTTGGCATCCTATCCACGAAGAGAACCACGAATTCTTGTGCGTGATCATTCAATCGCGACTTCCCCCCAGCGTTCACCTTGCTTACGTCAGTTAACAAGTCCAATGTCGACACGTGAATCAACGATTCATATTGTTCCCTCCTCGCCATAATTCGTTCGCGTGTGGATTGATGAAATCTCCTGCAAGTCTGGCCGCGTGACACGTGACTGGCAAACTTCATGAATGACTGTCCAATTTCGCTCTAATTATCCTTCCACCCTTCGCGAGCCTCGCACGACTAAATTTAAAATTTCCACGGTGTGTCAAGATATCTTTGAAAATGTCGCGGTCTCCTTGCCAGTGAACGATGACGAAAATATACTATTTTTTCTCCGGCTCCAATTACGGTGATCCTCTAGAGGTTTCTCAAAATAAAGTCTCTGCTTACTTGCAAAGGTCATTTACGCGAATGCTGCGTTCAATTTCTTCTCGAGGATGAGTCATTTGACTTGTCTAGCAAATTTAACGATTTAATCCACGATCATTCGTCCGATTTATCTAATAAGTATCGATATTCGTCGGGCGATTCGAATAAAGATAGTCCTCGAGAATTAGTAAAGTAATCTTCGGCAATTACCTTGAGGCGACGCATCAGTGTCGACAGGCATATATTTTTTTTTTACCGTAATTTCTCGTCTCGATGTTTCCACATTGTTTTCATCGCGTGCTCGTTAAAAAGCGTTTCGTCGAACCCGAAGTCGGTAGCTCGTGCCTCGTCGACGAGGCACAGTTTATTTTTACGTACGGGATGCCTACGAGGATTCCGTGGGAGCTGTTCGTTCGTTCGTTTCGTCCCTGGTAACTGGCCAATTTGATGATTTCCTCGTCGTAGAAAAGAGTCTCTTCCTTTCTCTCTCTCTCTCTCTCTCTCTCTCTCTCTCTCTCTCTCTCGTGGCTGCTCTCGAAGCTCACCAAAGAAGTGACCCCTTCGTGTAATAGTTCACCTTCTTCATCCGCGGATTTTTGGCTAGCAGCTTCTTCCACATTGACGATGATCGTCAGCTTCGGCGACGACAAACATTAGCTTGACATATTTTCCTATCCGTTTGTCACACGATGTCGCGCCTCATTCATGAATCTCGTTCTTGCGTGTTAGGTTGTACGATTCTCGTTTTAAGATTTTCTGTTTCATTCTCTTTGTCCCACAGTCAGTCGTTTCGCGATTTTACTTTGAATTTATTCTCGGTTTTACGAGTAGTACATCGTCGCTTGCACCGATATTAATGAACGCGTTAATTGTCCCGTAGCACCGTTCAAAGCCAGCCGCTAAACGCCGAGCTGTCCACGGTTCCCATTCATTTGCGATAACCACGGATGTCAGGTCCTATCTGTCTTCCCTCCGGCAAGAGATTCAGCGCGGCAAACTATTTCCACCTCATCACTTTCACCAACCGATCTTCACCAACCACCAACCATCTATTTTCACGCCGGTGCACTGCACTCGGTATTGGTTGTCAGACACGTCGTTTCGCGTCCACGACAATCAACCGTAGACGACACTTTTGCCTCAAACAAAAGACAAAATAATTCCCGACAGATGTTCTAGGAGCGCGTTAACTTTAAGGTCTTAGAATACTTAGAATATATTATTCAATTTTCTTGAGATCAGCGATTTTCCTGGACCCACACGTTTCTTCGTCGTTCCGTCAATTTCCCGCGACGTCCAACGACGTTAATCACAGAGAAATCTCGTTTCTAACCAACCACGAAAGTCAATTAGAACTCTTCGATAGACTCTAAAGATCATTCTCGTCTCTCGTCAATGATAAAGACATCGTTTCGTATCATTTCCAGAGAGTCGACGGGTTCCACGTTTCCTCGAGCTCCAATACACCCCGATCCCTGTTCTAACGATCACTGCCTCTCTCTGAATCAGACTCGCGTGTCATGTTATGCAGAGTTCACTTGGTGCTGTTCCTTACGAAAAGTGTATTGCGATACGCGGCGAACGCCAGACTAGCCGATGTACCAAGTGGCTGAGAGCGCCGTTTGCGCGACGAGTCTCTCGGCTCCGCACGACCAGAAATAGCTACCCTTCTTACACTTCTCCAATACATCTTTAGAACGGGGAGTACACGGGCCCGAATCTGTACGTGTCGCGTGTCCAAAGAGTGTACACACGCATCGCATCCGCGGACACGGTGACATCGTCGTTTTTTCCCGCGTCACCGAGGGAATTCCCCGCGACGGCACCTCTCTGTCTTCAGAGTTCTAATTTACCAACATTGTCGGATGTAGCGTGCTCTGGACGAGGCAGAATGAAGAAACGATAGAGATGAGCCGAAGTGAAAATGGTGTTTTACGAGAACGGCAAGGGAAATATGGTTAAATAGAATCGATGAAATCTCTTCGAATTCTCTCGTCCACTTTCTTATTGAAAGAACAGTTGCAGTTGGTGCCTGACGGCGGTTGAAAGGTTGTTTGTTCAACAAACAAGCTGGGAAAAGGGCAATGTTGATGCCGGTTATTTAAAGCCGATCCGATTGTTGCCACAAACGCCTACCGCAGGCCCAATTTCTTTCTTTAAGACCGTTGCGTCATTATCTGTTATAAATCGCGCTGCATTTCGCACGGCTGTATGAGAAACTATTCTCGCGACCTACTTACGATCACGATATGAAATTCGTTTCGTTCGTCGAAACTCGATTGTCTAAAATTATCAAAGCACGCCGAATTGTTCCACGATAACTACGAAACACAAGGGAAGGATATAATTGAAAATGAATGCCTATTTACGACATCGTCGAAGTAGACCCGTTTTTTCGTTTGAAACTCCTTTTCTCCTGCATTCTGCGTAATGTAATTATTTACTTCGAAACGCGAATGCATGTAATTTACTGAGCGATAAATCTGGCGCGTACAAGCGACAAAAACTTAATCCACAGAAGATGAATAAGACACCTGTTACCATGTTTTGGTTGAATTCTTCCGTTCAAGCTAATAAATTTCCGTGTGAACGATATGTTGCGACAGCAGGTGACAACGAATCCAAAGCTATTTAGACGTTGAGAAGTATCGAAGTGAAATTGACACCTTGCCATGCAACAAAATTTATGATAACGTATAATAGCGTATACCTAAATATATGTGAATAAGATGGTGCAATTAATAATATTTTTATATTTGAAAAATTAAAATATTTGAAAAAGCTAAAAGGAGGAATGTAAAATAAAAAACGAGAAAACAGTTCTACTGAACCGTTCTGGTTGTCAACTTTCTGACTATGGCATTAATTTGGCAATCACCACTGCATCAATAATGATGATATTTACATCGAAAAATGAGCGTGAAATGCTTCTAAGACATCAAAATTGCGACGAACGAAATGGCGCCTAAAATGCAGCTATATTTAAGGCACAAAATCAAAAAATTGTTCTAATCTATTCTGACTAATAATATTACCACTATATCATTGATCTGCTATATTGTTGAACTAGAGTTACAATTCTTCACAAATGAAAAAATAACGATTCCGCACATTTGCCAAACGTTTCATAACTTCACAAAAGCAGGCTAATGGTTCAGAACCATTTTATTCGGGACGATTTACGATAACGCTTGAACTTGCAGCCAAACAATTATTAGATCTTCCAAGGTTCGTTTTGATTTACGAGGAATCTCTTGTGCGTTGAATTTTGGCCGATTCGACGGCGATAATTTATACAGAGGTGACAAGGAATTTTAACTTGAAACACACTGTAAAAACCTGGTAGATTTTATCATTTATTTCATATCAATTAACTGTTGAATAAATTTGTTTTACGTAAAAAAGAAAAAGTGAATTGCACGTGCTATTTGCTCCATCATTGAGAATTTCAGATGTTCGTTTTTATTGACAACAATGCGTTAATATGAAGATATTAATGTTTAACAATCTGTCATTCTTTACTGAAAGCCATTAAATTCCACTCAATGTAGCAGCGCCACTTCTATTGGTGTTTGTCTTAATGTATGATTTTGATTGTCTGCCAAACTCTTCACACTGGATGAAACTGAACATGTCAACGCCACTGCGTTGTGATTCATTGAACTGGCATTCAATTATCGATAGAGAAACTATTTATGACAGCTATTGCGTTCCTCTTCCATAAATGAAATTTATGCGACGGATTTCAGGAGGACGAGTATTTTAGATGATCGCATAAATCGTTTAACAAGTTATAAAAGAATAACGATTAAATCATTTAGACTGATTAAAGATGCAGACGATAGAATTATTTAACAGTTAAGTGAAATTACAAACTAAGTCACCTTGGAAGCTATTTCGAAGATTTTATCCGAGCAAGAGATGACTGGATATAGTATCATACACGTGAATTTCCCACCGATTTATCGAATGATTTATGGTTAAAGAAAAGCCAAATCTAAACATAACTCGGTTATGAACGATTAGATTCTTTGGATATGTATGTATGTCACTTGACTCAACCAACTTTGATTTTGAAATAGGTGATGAAACTGAAGGACGGTGCTTCTATATTTTCAGAATTAAATTATCCTCCAAGTTAAAATATCTTCTCTATAACTTATTTTAAAGAGGAACCGATCTTATCTAAATATATAAGAAATGCGAGATCAAATTATACACTATTTGTTAAATAGAAATGAATGATAGAATTCATTCAGAAGAAGAGAAATTTGCAGATTGTTTATTTTATATTTACAACGATAGGTTTTGTATCTCATCAGAGAGAGAGAGAGAGAGAGAGAGAAAGTATCAATAAATATCTTTCCCCGTGAAGCACAAGTCAGATGATGAGTGACCACTGATACGAATTTTCTATTTTGATGTTCTGCCAAAATCTCTTAAATGCAAATGAGAAGCAAAAGATAAGTCAGATATCTTTCGCTTATATCGTGGAAAAAGAACAACTCGAAATGCTAGGAAACAAGTGAAAGTTTGTGAAAGAGCAAGTAAGAAAAAAAGAGCAAATCCACATTTGGAGAGCAAAATCATATATCTGTATAATCTATTTTTCAATCGTCAATACTTGTTACTAACAACCGACTTGTTATTAACAACTGCGTTAACGAATCGAATCAAACGAAACAATCTCAAGTATTTTATAATTAATTAAGGCCTAATTAAGAATGGAAACGAGACGTTTCGAAATCGAGAGGCATACGCGCCGTTGACCAGAGGACCGGCATGCTAACAGATTGGGCTTCCAGGAAGCGTGAAACACCGACAGAATGCGTTTCGTATAAATCATGACGGCTGCAGCGAAGACGGTAGGGAAAAAAAATTAAATTAATTAACGGGCGAGATAGCAGCTGAAGAGAAAAGCTGAAGAGCGACGCAGGGAAGAGGCGGGTCGCCGAGAAGAATGAGATACGTGTTCGTGCGTTGCGGGAGTAGTTGGAATGGCGGTGAGTTCTTGGTTGTCTTCAGTCTTTGGCATCGAACCAGATATTCTATCTACCTTCGTGCGGTGCGCCTTGGTTTTAGTTTAATTTAGATGGCGGTATCGTGACGTAACGTATTTAGCGTGCAGGCATATACGTCTTGTTAGTTGCCGTTTAGCCAATTACTCAAAAACGTTTGATGTTTCGACCTTTGTCTGCCCT